GAAAAAGGCTACAAAACCATAAAAAAAACTTCAAAGTCTTTCGAAAAGTTCTGACAGGCTTGGAAGGGATATAGAGAGCTTTAAAGTGCTTCTTTTAACTCTTTTTGTTTTACMGAATAAATGACTGCCTGGATTTTATTTTAGAAAAACTGTTGTTTTTAGACAAAAACACAGCATTTGCATGTCTTGATCAGCAAAAGTTTCAATAAAAAAACAGATTTCCTAAACAGCTTTGATTTTGGAGGATTATATATTCTCATCTCGGAAAACCTCTCTTGGGTCTAAACTGTTCTAAAAGAAATGCCAATATAGAAGGCAGGACAAAAAGAAATAACTAGGTGACCTATCTTCACAAAAGCAGCAGGGATGTCTCAAATCAATCTCACCAACAGTCCAAAACCAAATAATTCCACAGTCAAGTTCTGTGAACAAGTTCAGTATGAATCCAAAGTGACAAACTCTTAAATAGGTTAAAAGATCATTAAGTAATTTAATGCCATTTTTCCTCAATAGTTGATTTTCCTCAAGAGGTGATTAGAAGAATAATTTCAGTTGAAATTAAAAACTATTATTGGGGYATGGGAGAAAAGGTAAGTTTCTGTTCATGAAAAAGCATTTTATAAAATAACAGCTTAACAAATCCAAATACACACAAAAAAGCTTTGCAACTACTCACTACATTTTTATAGGAAGAATAGGGGTTTTATCTCATCTGTAGATATCAGTTTAGCTGAGGCATTAAGCTAAGAGTTAGTTCATTGAAAATGAAGGGATTGCAGCTCCTAAACCATACTAGATTTGTAATTTTGAAATAAGTTTTTGTACATTTGAAATAAATTTCTCTGCATACCTTGTTTTCTACACTTGCTCAAAATCTAATCTAAGTTTCTCAAAGTGTGCTAAGAAGGGAGGGTAGAACAGGTGAAAGCATGCAGAGGAGCAAACTCAGACCCAGCACTCAACATCTGCAAAGCACTCAAGTTGATCAATAAACTCAATCTTTGCAGAGGCCAAATAACAGTACTTTGGGATAATACATGAATGGATCTTGCCTTTAGAAAATATTTTTAAAAATCAGTGCAACAGTGTCAACCAAACATTTGTAATTCATTCTTGTGGCAGAAAAAAATATTTCTATTACAGCACCTTTAACTTCTGTTGGACAAGAGGTTAAAGACAAAACACAGTCTGCAAAAAATTAGCGGCACAGGGAAACACAAGCATTAGCTCTATTGAACCATTGTGGAACATAGATCTTGCTTCTAAAAGAAAGCCAGTATCACTATCCTGCAGTTTCAGTTAGGGAAGGTAAGACCTTGTGACAAACAGTCCCTCTAATCTATATTCTTAATTCATAAGCAGTTTATGTATAAGTTAAGAAAACTTTATACTTCAATTGGTCATGAATATTGTAGATATTTCACAAAGCACCATAATATTTATACTCAAAATTTCTTGCCATACCCAAATCACTTTAGATAATCATCAGAAAACACAGTTTCACTTATGTTTTTGCTGTATAAAACAAAATCCCAACCCCAAAGGTGAAATCAGATTCTTCTAGGGTTAAAATTATCACCACTACCAAACATAAGAATAAGTCKCACCCAATTCAGACCTACTATTTCTAAAGTGCATAGTCTGTACTCCACATATACAAAAATAACTTCATAAGACTTGAATGCAAAAAAGGGGYAGTTATCAATCCATGTGCCCTTTGAATCAGACTGAGTTTTTTCTGGCAGTTCTATAGTCATTTTGTTTGGTCATCAACTTGGTGCTGATCACAAGGCAAGCATAAATCAAACAAATTTTAGAGTAATTCTGCACTTGAGCCAGGCTAGCAGGCATTGCCTTGCAAGGAATTAACATCCTCTCTTGCACCTGTGCAAGATGAAACATGTGAAGAGTTGTTTCTTCATGCTCTTTTTAAAATTCAAACATGGAGAACTTTACTTCTAAACCAAACACTTAATCAAATTAATTCAATAGTAATAGCAAGGTATAAGGTTTCTATATACTTATGCTTCACCAGAAAGCATGTTTATACACAATCCATTAAAATACATTTGTTGAATAAAAAAATGGCCCCATCAATAGCACTACTGTATTTAATTGTAAAGTTAAATAGCTATGAAAGCTTTCTGTTAAGGGGTAAGAATGAACTTCACTTTTAAAAATTATTTTTATTTATTAGCTATCAGATTATGTAGATGTATTTTGATACAGCTTTATTCACTTGTATTATTTGTGCCTATACTTTTTAAAATAACTTTGCCCACCTCAGAATTTACAAATCCTTTTATAATTGCATCCTCTGCCTCCTGCTATGAAGATTCTACTCTACACATTGCTAGCTGTTGGTGCACACAGGTCCTTCCACATTTAGCTGGTAATAAGTWACAATTAAACTACGGAGTTCTTTTCTGAGTTACTCCATTTAAGGAAGACTTTGWGAGACAGACAGTATTATTCACAAGCTTCCAGCATACAGTTTACCAAATGCTACATTCACACTGTGAGCAGTATCACACTTTAGAAAGAACAGTATAGATTTATTCACCATTAACCTCTGGGCTGTCTTTGGAAGTGTAAACAAATACCATAACATATACAATCTGTCAGACTAGCTGGCAATTTCAGATAGAAATACCAAAACAGATAAAAAGTATTTTTTTAAAAAAATGTGTTATTTAACAAATAGTTCATTCATCAGAAGAGGGAGGTTTAAGACTGTCAGTTATTTCTTAATTTCAAATTTCACCAGTTAGTTTAAAAAATAAAAGCTATTAAAAAAATCTTGTTAAAAGCATAACCCTTTCTTCCCTGCTTTTCCTTTCACAGTGAACTCCCTGCTTAGGTGGGGGGGGGAAGGGGGGCAGGGAACACACATACCAAGAGCCTTGCTGACTTGCATATATCAGCAGAATAAAACAGCAGTGATAAAGGCAATATATAACTGCTCCCCTCTCGCAGTTAACGAGCTTTGAGGCTTTGGATTAACTTGAAGGAATCACCACTAATCATCATCAAATTGATCTCTGTATCCACCCAGCCTTTGCAGATCAGCAACAAATTAAACTGAAGACCCACAAGCAAAGATTCCTGGGTTAATCAAAATGCCCAAAAGGATAGAAAATGGTTAGAGCTGCTGTTTCATACAACCTATGAAAGTATAGAAAAGGCATCCCATTTCTTTGTTGGGAATAAATCTAATTACTGCCTCCTTTCCCAGATCTCAGTAAAAACCATTCCACCATTCAGGCAACTATAATTTCAACAACCCCCTACACCTCCTCCTCCCGAGATGTTAACCACCAACCTGCGAGGGAAAAAATGAAAACATATTCCAGGCTGACACATATCATCTTGCTGTTCCCCATTCTTGTTGATAAAAGTATCTCATTCTCCATCACTCTCACATTGCATTTTTTTTTTTAACTGACCGCCTATGTTTTTATATTCTGACCTGCTGTCTTTTCCATCCAGCATACCTACATATTTCCAGTCATAAATATCTATCTTTACTTCTGCAGAAAGCTTAACACAACAGAGTCCTGACCCTGGTTAGGCTCTCTGGGTTTTATCTACAGCTGAATGAAGCTTTCATTACACAGACAAGTATCTCACAAAATACTTTCGATAAGCAAACTTCCAGCATTTTTCTCTGCTTTAGATTAGAAATACTATGTTTTCTCTTGAAATTTTGCAGGAATTGTTTGAATATCAGGAGATACATTTAGAAGACCTATCTTGTTTGTATATAACCACCAAATCAAAAACAATCTGATTTGTAGTAGAGTGCGGAGAGGTTTTGGTTTCTATATAGTCTAAGAGACTTGGAAAACAAACTTAGAAAAAAATTGTATTGAATAAGCTTTTATATGGTGAACTAGAATGGTAAAAGACAAAGCAGTATTTGCAATAGATTTTAAAATAGTTGGTGTTTAATTCTCCCCCCCCCCAAATACAATAAGCACGATTTGCTACAACAGCTACAGAAGGCATGGAGACACTATGCATATTTGGGGATATTTTGCAATATTAGATATACAATCTAGATGTCTCATATAAGATTTCAGGTTCACACAGTTTTAGAAACCAAGTACTTTAGAAAGTAACTGACATAATGGCAGGAATTTTAGAAAACTGAAGGACAACAAAAATGTAAACACATTTCCATTTTGATCAATGACATACCAGATAAAAATTGCACTAGGACTAGAACAGATACTAAGCAAATAAAATGCAAATCATGATGCCATCTAAATTAAATAACAACTATCAAAAAAATAAATTCCTGATCTAAGTATTACATGCTAGAATCACAGAAAGTGATTCTGTATTTCCTCAAAGCAGAAGTCCTATGTCATTGAGACTAAACTAACTCTAGGACCTAAATTCTCATTTACACATAGGAACATAAGCTTTCTTTCCTGAAGGAGCTACTGTCCGGTAACTGACCAGACTTCTTACTGTCCAGCAGTAGATATAAAACCTTTTAGAGAAAATTCAGCTGTGTGGAAGAGGAGGTATTCACATTTTCATCAGCGTGATAAATACTACGTTCTGTAAGTCACCTTCTTTCTTTGTAGAACTATAGCCACTCGACTACTCTGCAACCCAGGAAAGCAAACCAGCCACACACAGCAAGGAATGCTGCCACAGAAAGGGAAAAAATCCATATGTAGCTCCCAAACTTACCTCATATAGCGCAAATTTGCTCTTCTAGATACAGTGAGAAATTTGGGGAAAGTATAGCACTGAAAGGTCAAGGTTTTATTCCCAGCTTAGCCATTGGCTACTGATGACCTCAGGCAAGCCATCTTACCATGCATCCCATACTGCCTGTACCTGAAAAGATTTAAACTATATGCCTGTTCTGACAAACCTTGAAATAGATTGACGAAAAGTAACATTTTACTACATTTTTTGAAATTTCATTAGAAAAAGGCCTTGTTAAGAGAAAAATAAAAGCAATAAAACAGAAACAAACTTACCTTCTCCTGGACTGACTGCTGCTGGCAGACTATTCCAGTCTAGGGTCCAGTCAGGGCACGGATGAGGAGAAAACTTTGCTTCAATACCACTTTCCTACAGGAAAAGGAAGAAAAATAACTAAAGCTCATGCACTGACTGAAGCCAGCAACACTCACAGCGATTTTAATGACACCAGATCAAGCTATATTCAACCTACTGTCTCAACAAGCAGCTTACTTCAACATATGTTATTTGAATTATAAGTTTCTCTCACAAGAAATCACAGGATTTAGGGAAGGCAGTCAGTCTATATACATAGAAAACATAAGGAGAGTTATGGAATACAGAAGGAGAGTCATATTTAACCAAAAGCCAGTGCTCAGAGTTCTAAATTAACAACAAAACTATGGAATATCTTTAATAAAGGAATATAATAGTTCAATTTAACCAAGGGGTTTATTTGGTTACTTAAAACCAAATTTTAGCGCTTCCAGCAGTTTTATCTTTGCTTAATATCTAAATAAGAATTCAGAACAAAAAAAAAGGCAAAAATGACTTCTAAGAATATGACACAATACAAATAAAAATACACTAACCAAAGACTTAGCTTCTAAAATTGTAATAACTGCTTTATTTCTATTCAAGCTGAATATTACCATTAGAGACAACGCATTAAAATGTTAAGTTACCAATAATTTAGTCATTGTGGGCCTTGGACCACCTATAAAATGATTGTCTTGATGTTCCTCCTGTAAATCACCAGAAACCAAAAGGCAGCTCTGCAGCTGCTCCTCTGCTGCTCCAGACTGCAGCTCCGGAAGCTGGAGAAGCTGCATGTTGCACTTGTCTGCAGCTTTCTTTACTCCAGGTACTTCCTGAATTCTTCGATACCAGCTGGATATCAGAGGCAAGTTTAACAGATTTATGCCTTGCTTTTCGAAGAAAACCTAGAAAATAAAGATGGAAAGGTTACTTGCTACTGTAACATTTTTCCCTTGAAGTCACAAAGAACATGCGAGCTTTGGAAAGGAGTTCAGCTCTGCGCTGTCCCTCAACACAGTCACTCAGTGCACTGCTAAGGCAAAAAGCTAGTTAACAGTTCAGGACTACAACATCTGCATGCAGAGAGTAGGGTATTGCAATAGCATGCCAATACTTCTGAAATATAACTTGTTCCAGCAAAAGGTTACCAAGATGAAGGAACTGGAACACCTGACATTCAAGGCAAAGCTTGGAGACATGCAAGACAATTGCACGTAGTCCTGGGGAGCTGCTGTATGTAGCTGAGTGCATGAAGACTGTACAGTCACCAGAGGACCTTCCCAACCTTTACTATTCTGTCATTCTGGGAGTCTAAAGTTACAAATCAGAATTATATAAAATTACAAATAAAGTTACAAACCAGGATTATATAAGACTATATAAAAAAGTGCTCTTACACATATTTCTATTTAATGTGAAAACTTCTTGCATGCTATRTTTTATAATGTTAAGATAATCATGAATAATTAGTAATAGTTAAAGGAGCAAAAATAGGACGAATTAAGTGTACATGTAATTGCAGTATCAAATTCAATATCCTAATATTAATACAGACAGAAACATATTAATTCTGTTAAGGAAGAAGTCCTTTGGAAGGCAATTCTGATAGGCACTGTTCCACTTAAAATACAATTTAGAACACTTGTTATCAASAAGTGAATAGTGGTTTCTCCCACACTGAGAACAGAGCTTTTGTTACCTTTCTATTAAACAGTTTCAACTAATGGAATGTGTAACAAGGCTAACCTCAGAAGGATAACACAAATGGAAGGAGATAATGAAAAACAACTCTCTAGCTTTATTACTTTATTTTCAGTAATTATAATTATRATCAACTGGTCTATTCATTTATTGCATGATTCCAGACAAATGCCTTCTGAAGACTTCATTATTATTTGCACACTGTAAAGTGAAATACAATGATTTTTTTTTTAAATACAATCCTGGAAGTCAAGGTAAAATAAATAAGTAATAACATTTTAATATAGGAATAAAAAAAAATAGTGCTTGTGGCAATACTGGTGGAATGACTGGTTTCAACCACTTGCTACAAGAAGCTCAAAAATCTATGTTTTAAATTTGGATAACTGTAGAAATTAAGATACAGCTGCTCAGGAAAATGATCACAGAACACAATGAAAATAACTTTACAGGAGAATTCCTAAAATACAGGCAAAAAYGAAACAGAAAGTAAAATCCCTAAATGATTTTAGGGATCATTTCTCTGAACCTAAATAACAGCATCTTCTTCCAGAATTTCTTTTGTTTCCAAATACCATAAGACAAATCTGGAAAAAGAACTTATATGAAATAGAAATAGTGATAGGTAACTGCTGTATCATTTTATTTTTAACTGGCAGGTGAAGAATCRATACTTCCTTAATTATTTTCCATGTATACATCCTCAAACTTAACTACACTGATAAGCTGAGTCTTACAACAGGAAAGCATGCCCCATTGCAAAATAGGTCCTGAAGCTGAGCTCCAGTGACTTGCACTATTCAGCCCTCTCTCTCGTTCTAAAGATGAAAATGGAAAGACATCCAGATGTAGATCCAAGTTCAGTTGTACAAATGTCTTAATGTGTCCAGGATCTGCAAAACTGACATGTACCAGATGAGCAGCCTAAGCAACAAAAATGCAAATGGACTTTTTCCTTCAAACCCAAATAAACTTTGTACAGAGCTCTCTACAAATAACAGGCCAAAAAGACACACTGGAAAAGAATCAATAATCAAACAACCAAGACTCTCACTCCAAGACAGGGGCTGAACTTTTTAACAAACCGTTGAACTAGAAGGTATAGCAACAAGGTTATTTTACTGATCCAAATTATAGTTGAGTTGACATAACCAAGCAGCTGACAAACTGCATAGTGCAGAGCTTAAATCAGCTCTGTCATTTGCGGAATTATTTAGGTAATGTCAGAAGAGCAAAGGTCTATTCCCCAGTTTTCCACATTCCATGTGCCACCCAGACTGCTAGCTATGTCCATGCTTTTCATTTTTAATTTGGTAACGTCCTTTGAATTTTTGAAATTTTCATGCATGTAGATGAGAAGACCTTTTAAAGTCTCAACACTTCACAAGGCTGAAAGTACTTCTACAAGAATAATAATTTTTCATATGTCCACTATTTAATTTTTTTCTGTGACCATATTACATAGGTACACTTCTTGTGTACCTATTCCACTTTGTAATTATAGAGTATTTAAGGTACCCACTTAAAGTCTCTTAAGGCAAATCTCCCTCTTTTCAAAATATCAAACTCCCTTCTTCTAAATCTGGTAATTTCTGATAGAATCAAGATGCCAGATCTCAAAAGACTCCTCACAGATTAAACAASATTAAGTCAGTTTTTGTAGAGTCATGACTATAATTTATTAAATTTAAGCTAGAAGGATGTATTCTTGGTATGTATCCATATATACCAAGAAAAAAAGTCAAATTTAGACCAAGCTTGGTTACCACAGCTAAATTATATTGTATTTAGTTGGCATAGACAATCACAGGCAAAACACTTCTGAGATAAATAAACTTAGAAATTGCATGTTTTGCAAAAGAAAGTCCATCAGTGAAGTCTCTGGTTAAACCTACTCCTCTACCTACTGTTTAGTAATCCTTAAGGAAACCTTTCTCCACTCACTGCATAAATCTTTGTCTTCAGTGTTATTTGTCTCACTTACTACAACACACTCCAAACTAGACTACAACTGACCTTTGCTGCTTTCTTCTCCTTTTAAGATGCTGTTTCAGATATAACAGGTYATTTACCTTGGTTGGATGTTGTGCCTCTCCTCATGCATTTCAAATAGCAAGTAATAGGAGAAAAACAGTGTTCTGTGTTATCGTTAATAGCTACGTGTCATCATACATAAAAGTCCAAAAAACAGTTACAGCATGGAAGGTGGACAGTATGGTGCCTAAGAATATTTCAGCATACAAGTTTAAAAGCAAGCAGTATTTACTGCATATTTATAGGCCATATATTTAAAAGTAATTTCAGTGACCTCACCAACCCCTATTATGCATAAAACCACACTTCTCTTCTATTTCAGGTTAAGTTCACATAGCAAATGATGCCATATAATTTAAGTGAATGTATTTCAAAAAGATACATAATACACTATTTAATATCTGCACAAGTTTTTGTCTTACCAAGAACTGATGGATGCATGGCAAAAGCACTATGTCTGCCAAGGTGAAATAAAGCCCTTCTGCAAAAACATGGTCCAAAGCTGGTAGGTCTGTTGTTTTTGTTTTCCTGATGTGAGAGGGCTCCCTGTTGACTGTAGGTGATACTTTCTGGACAAGTAGTTTGGAGAAAGCTATGCTCAGTTCTAAATTTGGAAGTGGATGTTCATGCATTTCTACTGGTTCCCCTTCTGCTGCTGCTACCTTGGCACCTGCCTTCTGTTGCTGAAGTTTCTGCCTTCGGATTTTGTCATCATTGTGCACTCGGACAGGTTCCCCAAGCTTCCTTTCAAGCTCTAAAATGTCAGCAGGAACAGTCTGACAGTGCTCAGGAGATTTCGTCAAAAATCTTTCAACAGCCAGAGGTATGCTGATCTCACAAAGTCGGGTCCATCCGCTAACCTGTCAGATGGATTGAGACAATTAATACATCCTCTACCTACAAAAAAGAAAAAAAAAGTAATATTCATTGCCAGAATCTTCCTGCTTCTCAGAGTTTTTCCAAACAATTCTGGCTCAGTCAAATCACAACTACCTTCTTCAAAAACCATGAGGCATTGGTTAGACAGCATCTTCTTGGAATAGTAAAAGCCATAATTAGCATGATTTAAAATAAGAACATATTAGTATTTTAGCAAGAAATGTGTTCTCTGGACTTTTTTTTTTTTTTTTTAAGAACATTCACACTCCACAAATCCTTCCAGGAAAATTTGACTTGACCTTTAGTTAAGGACCCTTACTTCTAGGAAAAAAACTTGTTCTGACATCCCAAGCGGCCACTTAACGATGCAAAACTTAAGTATTTGATTTTAGCAGCACAGATTTGAAGCTCAAAATAATTTAATGACACATAATTAACTGCCTACATGGACTGATTTAAAAAAAAGCACAAAATCACACAATCTGCCATCACATACAAGTCTGTCCCAGCAAAAGGGGATGAAACCACCTGTTAGTCTGCTGGAATATAATTGAAAAGATTATTATTTAAAAGGTGAAACCAGGGTAGTAAAGTAGTAAGTACAGCAGCAACTGTACAACAAAACAATCTCCTATTTCTCAAACCATAAGAGTGCTGATACCCACAAACTAGCTTTGTGAAGGGGTTAACTAATTTAAATTATTGTCTACATTACTTCTGATAACAAATCCTTCAAAATTTTCACTCCTAACTTTGTAGATTTGCAATCCAAAACTGCATTTTCTGTAAATTTAGGATTACCATTTGCTTATCACATTACAGTGAGAAGCTTCATTCCACACATGATGCACTAYTCTACTTTTAGGTATCTGAACTCAGCAAATTTAGTAATACTTGATTTGCTGTTAGTTTTGATGTCAGAATGCTGCATTCTTTGTCTACTCCAAACTATCACAGCTGTACTCTAGAGCTTGCTGAAAAATATACTGCTCAAAATAAAGCAGCAGAGATTTGACCCATTTTTTTGAATGTTAAGGTGGTTCTTGCGCCTAAAAATTATTACTTTCCATTCTTACACCAAAATTGTTATTCTGAGTACCTTTCATTTTCTAGGCAATAAGTTTTTCTAAATTTAAGAAACTTCAATTTGTATTAATATTAAAAATCTACTTAGAAATATTCAATCCTACTAAAAAACTATTAATAATCTAACAGAAAAAGTTGTACTCACTTCAGCACAAGCTTTTAAGCAGGTCTTCTTGAAGCCTAGAAGTTCCAAAACATCCTTTTTGGATGTATCTGCTTCATATGCTTTCTGTATTATATGCCTTAAGACAACAGATAGTCCAGCTCGACAGAATTTGCCATCTTTCACAACAACAGCAGGTAAACAGCAGCTCTGCACCACCATAGGAAGCTGATGTCTGGAGATCAAGCAGACCTCAAGATCGTGAGGTAGGATTTTTGTTATAAGCTCATCGTCTGCATTTTCACCAGTTGGAACTAAAAAAACTTTGAATAACTTGCAGTCACAGTAGGACAGCAAGAACAGTGAAATAGAAGTATGAAGTGGAAAGATACTATCTCCACAGTGATGAGAAAAAGCCAAATACAGGTGTTCTTCAGAAATGCTATCTTTCATGTTCCTCCCAAGTTTAAGTTCCTGAAATAGAGATCAGAACACAATACTATAAAAATCCAGAATTCTGAGGGAAAGAAAAAAGCACAGCATTTTAAAAAGTGGTCATTTCACTATTTGCTAAAACAGATTTTAACATATGGCAGTACTAAAGACATCCTGACAGAATAAGTGAACTGAAATTATTTCTCAAGACAGTTTTTAAAAATACACTATCACTTGGCATGTAAAACACTGAAAGAGAAATGATTTGCGGAAACTTYTTTCTCYATTTTTCTTATTTCTGAAATTAGTATACAACATCAAAATAGGATTTTTTGTGTACAAACATCTTTTATAAAACAGGTTTGTTTGAAAAATCCAAAATCTCTACAATACTAACCCTGCATTATTCAAAAAAAGCTCCTAAACACATCTTTATAGTAACTTATTTTGAAGTATATTGGTTTTTCTGTAATTTAGAAGTTCTGTGTGGTTCTACATGTAAATAATAGAAAGAAATACTGCTTTCTAGATTAAAAATGAGTATAGAAGATGGTGATGTACTAAATGACAGCTTAGAAGCTAAGACAACAGGAAAGAAAAAGGTAATTTCAAGAACGCTGCATGAACACCTCAAACACATAAGATTAAAGCAGTGGAGTAAAATAGAGCTGAAATTAACAGTCTTGACATTATATTAAAAGAAATCATTTAAATTTACTTCTCTTATACTTGGTTGAAAAATCACATTTCTACCATTAAACTGTTCCATAGCAATTTAATATAAAATAATGATATAATAATTATTCTGCACCATCACCTCAGAATTCTCCATTAACTTATAAATCACAATTCAAATTGAAAAGCTCTAGACACTAGATGGCACTCTTAAAACAATCATTAGAGAAGTAGGCTTTATTATAATAAAAAAGAAAAAAATCAGAACACTGCTAAGAGTTATCAGTATGATTTAATATATGTATTAAGCACAATTCACATCAGAGCAGTATTAGTCTTTTAAGTAACTGTCTAGATTAATCAGGTCTCTGTAGAGTTACATGAATATGATATAATTATTTACATAGTAAAAAGAATTTCTATATGATAAATCCAGGACACTGGACCTTTTTTGGAAATATATAATCAAATTCATTGTTTTATAACCAAAGCAACTGTCCAAAAAGAGGCAACTGAAAATAAGTCCACCACATATTAAAAAAATAATAATAATTGTCATATGAAAATATTTTTTCAACCCGTTCTATTACATGACTTCGCCTTGAAACAACAGTGGCTCAACATAAAAGCACTGCGGCTTTTCTTTAATTAATATATCTGCCACACAAAGAAYAGTACAATAAATAATTAAATCTCTACCTTCCTAAAAGCTATTTTACTCAGATAAACCTTGACAGCATGTAAATCAAGGTGGATTCAACACTAAATATAGCTCTGTGGAAGACATGGTACAGTTGGGAGTATCATTGAACAGCAAATTGAGAAGAGTTAGTCTTTACTATTTACATAGTTACCAACATTTAAATACATATCTTGACTTCAGAATATCTTCCAATATTCAGTGGTACTCTTTGTATGTATTTGAATTGTTTCCATCTGCACTAGTAACCTGAAAAGCATACACAACAAAACCCCTTCTCTTCCCTGCCACTCTAGCCAAACATACATATGCACCTCGCAAATTATACCACCATTTAATTGTTTGCTTTTTTTCCCTATTGCACAGCATTTTTCTGTGAATTGTTAGAAAAGCAGCAAGGTTCTGCCATCATCCCGCACAGAACTGTAAAATAGTTTGGTAAATTGTCATGAAGTTTGTGTTCAAACAATATTATCCTATTGTTTTCAAAACCTGTAAATCACCTGCCCKTATAGAACTGGTATTGCAAATCCATCATTCAGAATTATACAAGAAATACATTAACCTTTTCATCACACATCCTCTCTTAAATGAAACACAAATCAACTCCCTTGCTTATTTTTCTCAGAAATAAAAGATACTGTTCAGAGCTACCCATTCTCTTGAAGCCCTTATGGTAACATCAAAAATAAGAACTTGCACTCTACCCACTTACTTCAGTCCATAGAACCTTACTTTAAAGTCATCTTCCTCAACAACTTTAAGTAAGGCTCTGAATTTTGCACTGAARTTTTCATGCATCTTCATGGAAGTGCCATTCTTCCAAACGCCATGACTGGGGAACCTCTGGGAAACAGCTAGACCAGAAAACCCAGTGGCAGCAAGTCTTTAAAAAAAAAACCACAACCCCCACACACAGAAAAACCCACCACCACTCACCATAAGTAGCTTTCTGTAAGCATGCACAATAACTTACCACAATTGAGCTGTGACACAATGAACTGAGACACTGAATTATTTCACTGACCCTAAATGAACTTCTGTAAAGAAGATGGATCACAAAAACAGTGACACTTCATAATCAATTGACACAGCAGCACAAGGTTCATGCAGTAAATTCAGATCTGTTTGCTGATCAGATTAAAAACAATTWAACTTTGGAATAGTAGAAAGGGAAAGCCATGTTCCTTCTTTGCCTCACCTCCTCCTCCCCGCCTAGTAGTAAATTAATGTCATTTAGCAAGCAGTTGCAAATGTGCTATGTAAAGGAGACTGCAGAAATTTTCAGCTGCAGGTGACAAGGAGCTCAAGACGCTACATGTTTTGGTAGTGWCTCAGTCCTACACAGCAGCTTCATCTGATTTGGCATCACACACTGAATCAGGGTACTTCTCTCTAGTCCCATTACTTGTCAGCAGTATCTTCTCCACAGCACAACTCAAACTAAACCCCTATTTTGYTACTCCTGCATTTTCTCTCCCCAAATAAAGCCTTCTTGGTTTAAAGCCTTCCAGTTTGGGGAGTGCTTAAAATAAGCTTAAGAGAGCATATCAGACCCTCACTTCAGCTGGCAAGGACAACACAATTTATCGTACTTTACCATGTTAGCAGTCCTACAGTTCCCGCCTGCAAATATCTGCTCCTGATCCCAGAAGGGAATATTATTTCTGCAGTAAATCTCCACAGACCACACATCTCAGCTCATGAAGCAAAGATCAAGACTTTGATGATCTTCATGATTCATAGGAAACAAGTCTACAGAGAGGAGCATAACTCACAATACCATTTAGCTGCCCGTGTCAGCATATCCACAGTAACTCTGAAATAAAAGCTGAGCATTCAGAGCTGACTGGTAAGAATCTTAAAGAACCTACTCMGTAAAGCCCTAATATATGCTCCTGCTGTTGATATTCTGAAAAAAGTCATTTTTACATTTTCTTTTAGTTGAAGATAATGACAAYTTTTCCAAAAGCTAGATCCTCCTTTAGTTAGCTTTCAAGCATCTGTTATAGTTGATTTTGTCTTGGGAAACAACAGCTTTACATTATAAAACCTTCATTAGTTGTTCCATTGTCTTAAAATAATCTTTTTTATGTAGTATTTTTAATCCAAGACAGCTGTTTCAGGTAATGAAACACTCTCAACACAGAAGGAAGAAGAAATCTGAAGATGAACATGGTCGATATTATGAGAGCTTCCTTACAAGAAATCACTTAAAACACAATAGTAATAATACAGCAGCAATTAAACATTCTAGTCTGTAATTCCAAACTAAAAACCCACAGTAAAATGTTAAYTTATGAAAAAATACAAATAACTAATGCCTATGCTTCCAGTACAATAAGCTCCTGAGCAAGAGGTAACTCTAGCTCTCATCATGAGAAACAAACGTCTCATTTCTTTTGATTTCAACAGGAGTTAAGGAGTTAAGCCTCCACARCAAGAAATTAGGACTTGCACACTTRGATAATTTTCAGCTTCTCTCAAACCAGTTTGTCACGATTTACACAATACTTTTTCATTTTGATTCCTATAGACAATAAGATCTCTCTCAACTAAAAGGCCCTGATCCYGCAAGTTCTTAGGATGCCCAATTTGGAGGCATAATTGCAATATAGTGCTCCATTACTTTCAGCTACAGCCCCAGCTCCATCAGATACAGCACTCTACTACTTTTCCCACAAAAGCCTCTTTCTCTTCTCAGATTTGTACAACAATTAGAGCCATTTCTCAGAACTGCACACTCTGTTCTGCTGCTGAGATAGTTAATTTAGATCTGAATTATTAAACCTATCCTGCGGAGCAGAACAAATTATGTTCTTAATTAGGGTCCATTTAGGACAAAAACACCTCCCTGTTTCTGCAGCTAATCTCCCAGGGATGAAGTGATAAACTTCACTCAACAGGGAAACAGAGAAAATGTTGGGTTCAAAGCTTCTGTTGGCACCCTCCAACTGTTTCCCTACTCCTTTGTTCTTACTAGCATGGTGGTCTAAGAACATTTCTCCTTTACAGATGCCAAAGAATCTGCATATAAGTTCAAAGGAAGCTCAAACAACTATTAAAATGTGTATGTTTGAATTCATAAGAACTCATACTTAAATATGAAATTAAGTCTTTTTGAATTCTACCTATTGAGTGCTAATGAGTGTTAAGATTCACTGTCATTTTATTGTTCCACCTCTCTCCCCAAAATTCATATTTAACTCTTCATTGCTTTGTTTCACACAATTGATTTTTTTTTTAACATCTAACTATCACCTTACTAAGAAGGTACTTATCTATGTAGCATACACTTCTTCAGAAAAAGATTAGACTGTATAGTGATTGCAARCTGTTTTTCTATGACTCAGTCTCTCAGATCTGCACCTGAAAAGGTTCTAAGACAGTAACAACTATAATAAGGAAGCTACAACTACATGCACAGCTTACAGCAACTCTGCTTCCCGCTATTTCAGGTCTACAGGTCTGCTAAAATGGGTGAAAATAGATGCAAGTTTGAACATCCAGTCCCTGGAAAATTACTCTCACTGGTGTAATGAATACTTCATTCTCACGCTGTTATAATCACAGCTAGGTCTTCCTTCTTTTACCATTTCAAGGTGCACAAAAGCACATACGCATTATTTCAGTCATAGCACAYTGCACACCCTAAACAACTTATTTCACTGTCATATTCCACTCCTCTGGTTTTGCTTCAATCAGCATGCATGAGGGGAAGGCTATTTTTTAAAAATATTAACAAGGTTAATGCATGCATTTAATGTTTATTCTCCCATCTCCTGAACTCACAGCTTGTAAACTCTGGATCAGTTAGTTCATCAGCCAAATCTTTTTCCTCAAATTTTCCTAAAGCTGCATCAACTACAGGTGATAATTTCCTTCCCTTTTCTTCCATACATCCAGCTTCTATAACAAATTCTATTTTGCCCTCTGCTCTTTTTCCAGCTCCATTAGACCGCCAAAAACTCTTCAGGTGCTAGTCCATGAAAGAAGCAATTAGAAAAATAATCCGAACTCAACTGTTAAAAGAAAACGCACAAAAAAAAMACTTTTGCAAGTTACCTTTTACCCATTTCTGACTTCCAAATGCAGTCATCCCTCTCTAAGACAACTTTAACTTCAAATAGCAACAATTAAAGCTTCCTGCCTTTATTTTGCAAAAAACGGTTACCTCAATTCATAGCTTTTTTGTTTTAATTCATCTTTTYGTTAGGAGATTTAGATTAATCCAGCAAGTTTCTCATGTTCTTATTCTCCTATACATCTAAAACCTTTTGGACACCAAAAAACCCAAAYAAACAAACAAAAGAACACACTATAATCACCTTAAAATTTTATCAAAGAAATTTTCTTCTCCTGCCTTAGACCCATGTAAAGCCACCTGCTGTATTCAAATGGCCACTATTATTGATGTTATCATCTATTTTTCAAACAAGGTATTTTCTTCTTCTCTTACTGAAATATTACAAAAATACTTTAGAGATCACAAAAGTTTTCATCATTTACATTAGCTAATATCAGAAACATAGCTTTTGCCCTGGCAACGTGTTCTACTGAATACGGTTAAACCACAAGGTCACCATCGTCCTAACAGCCCAAATTTTCAAGTTTGTCCTAATCCATATACACAATTCARCTCTGCATAGACACCACTGATGTCTATTTGCCAGGTGCAAATAGATCACAGTGGTATCTTCACTAGCTGTTACAAGAAGTACTGAATCTTCTTCCCTTTATTGCAATAACATTCCAAAAATTGATTAATCGAGTGTGGTATTTACTAGTATTTTTCCCTTAAATTCTGTCTCAGATTAAAGGATTTATTTCACTGTTTTGGAGGTAAAACACACACTTTTGATTCTAAGATACTGCAAACTTAAGTTATATACTTTTCAGACCAAGAGTGAAAAAAAGGCAAGCTTCAGATTACAAGATTGATAACTAGTAGCAGAAAATGCCATACTATCTTCTACACTGAAACATTATTACTTTTCGATTTCTACTAAGCCTAGAATTTCTAAAAGAAGCGTTTTTTTAAAAGTGGTTTCTGTAATGACTGAGACTGAAATGGTTTCTGTAATGACTGAGACTCATCATATAACATTTCAAAAACACAGCAAACATTTGATTTGAAGTTATACAGTTAGTTGCTGCAAGACATTTATGCTTCCTCATCACTGCATCATCAGAATTTCAGAGAAATATACCACTGCCGTGCTTATATATATATATACACACACTCTCTCATCATCAGGACTTGTTAGTAAAAAAACATTCTGAAAACTCCATTATAAAACTGAGAAAACTGAAACACAAAGGGAGTTAACTCAGTCACACAGGAGGTCCCTGTCCTAGAGCAATCCTCAGTCCTAAGGGGATTCCTTTACGGATTTTGAAGTTCAGTCTACAAAAATGGTGTAAAACTACAATTAGGCTAATTGTTTGAAATGAGCCCATCACAGAAAGCAAAACTGAACTGTGAGTTCTTGTTATAAATAACATACCTGTGTTTCTTTAAATGGTGCCTTCAGGCAAACATATTCCAGCCCTTCTTGCTTAATCCCTTGAACTAACTGTATACACCTGCACTGCCACACATCAGCCCACTTCCCATCTCTCAGTTTGGGCTCTAACAGCACCTTTATAAAAGGACTCTCACAACCCTTCATAAAAACCTTATTTCCTACCTTTTTTTTCCATCTGTCTTTCCATTCTTCAAGATTAGTTCACTTGTTTTGGCTCTGTAGCATACATGTTACTTCAGTATTTCATACAACTTTTCTTTTGAAAAGCTTAACATTCTACCTGGCTACCTGTTCTCACATAAGCATTTTCACAACTACCATCCTTCTGTTAAAATTGGCTAACTTAAGAATCTGCTTAAATTGCTGCTTACTGAGAAAGGAAACACCCAGACACAGGCAATAAATCAAAACATGACATTAAAAAAACCCCTTAGCTACCAGAGCATTCACTGCCTTGGTGGTAATGTCCTTCCTGCATATTCTTAGTTAGAGATTTATTACCTTTATTTAGAGGGGTTACTGTTGTTAGATTAGAAATGAAGAAGTGGATACAGGAAACAAATATCACAATATCTACAACATTATAAGAAAAGTCCACATTTAGTATAAACATGTTAGGCTGTTTAACAGACATTAATCAAGCTTATTTTCTGCTAGTTGCACTGTTACCTTCYCTGTTTATTTCTCAACAGGTGCTAAGTGATTTTAAATAGGACTAAATAACAGTTAAATGAGTTTTAATGAGCTATACCAGCCATGCTACACAGTTTTTAAAAACAAGCATTTCCAAGAAATTTAAAATAATAATAAAGAACACAAACCTTATCTTCCTTTTAGTTCCTGAGAAAGGTCTCATTTATTTGCTGCTTATGCTAGGAGAAAACAAAATCTGATTTTAAAAGAGGAAAAGCAATGTTTGTGAAACATTCAATATTACAAGCCTTAAAAAAAAGACTCTCACAGTAAATATCTAATACAGCAGAAAACAGCATTTGTCCAGAGAAACAGACCTTTGGAAAGCTGAATTATACTTCTGGTCASAGGGTCATTTTGCACGATAACTCTAGGCCTACCATTATATCCCCTGGTAAATCTTAAGAATGACACAACTTTGAGAATTTCAAGCCAGAATCAGATAGGCCTGTCACAGTAAACTTAAAAAGAAAAAAAAAAAACATATAAGCAATAAAAAATATAAGACAAGCTTTCAAACGGCAGCCCCCTAAAACCAAGTCACTGCAGCCCCCACCGAGACGCTTTCCTTGGGGAATAACCACGACGCTCCAGGATTCATGAGGTAATTCTCTTTCAGCGGGGGTCGGGGGAAGGAGAGGGCAGCTAAGGAGACTCCAGCAYGGCCAGGCGACGGCGAGGGGCGCCTTTCCCGCCGGGAGCTTCCCACGTTCTCCCGGAACCAGCCCCTCGCCGCGAGCTCCCCGCCGCGCTCGCCGAGGCGGCACGAAGCCGGCGGCACCGGGGCAGCCCAGCGGGACGGCGGCGGCAACGAGCGCGGGGCTCCCCGCTCCGCGGCGCGGCGGCTCCCAARGCCAGAGCACCCCCCTCCCTAACGCTCTCCCTAACGGTCGCGGCCGCGCCGCTCTTGCCGCGCCGCGGGGCGCGAGGCCGGCGCCAACGTCCGCTCACCCCGCCCTGCTCCACTCCGCCAACGGCTCCTCCGCCCCGGCCCCGCCCCTTCCTGCACGAGGGCGCGCCTCGCTCTTATACCCCGCCCCGCCTCCCCGCGCGCATGCGCGGTCGCGCCCGGAACCTGCCGCCCCCGCACCCGTGTTGCGCGGCGGGCTATGAAAAGCGGCGGACGCGGCCGGAAGCTCCGAGTTGCGCCGGCGGCTCCGCGGTGTCCGCTCGCTTCCCCGTCCCCTCGCGCGCCGGCCGGTCCGGGCCGGGGGCCGCAGGTAGGGCCGCGGGCACCGGYAGGGCCGCGGGCGGCGGCGGAGCGGCTGCAGCCACAGCCACAGCCACGCGCGCCCCTCGCTGCGGGGCCCTTACCCGCTGCTCGCCGGCGGAGGGTGCCGGCGGCTGGGAGCGACCGTTTGGAAACGGCCGTTTGGAAACGGTTGTGGCGGTTGCTCTCCCCTCTTTCCGTGTCCTGAACTGTGCGTGTCTCGGCCGCAGCATCAGCTTGGTGGGCTATATATAAATTCAAAAATGCATTAAAGACTTTTTTTTTGAATTGAAATTTTCTTTACCCAGTCAGAAGTGTTGTCYTCTCCTTAAGGGAAGAGGCAGGAGAGGCTTGTGAGGAGCATGTGGTAGAGCATAGGGTTCTGGCTTTGTTGCTTCTCAAGAAATCCAGTTTTAATTAAAACTTGGAGTCTCTGCCTAGAAACTCCCAGGCCAAGGCTGCTTAGGGGGTCTGCCCAGCTGATAATTTAGGTAAGCAAGCTGTGGAAGTGGAGTGCAGGTGCARAAGATAATGGAGAAAGTCCATGTGCTAATGACTTAAACAGCACCACCTGCTTAACCAGTGTTTTGAGGTCCCTTTCAGTAGAGCTCTGAACCTTGGTGGTGGTAGGAGCTGGTGAATTGCAGTGGTGTATGTATGTATGACTTATTTACTTGGTTTTAGTAAAATCTTTTTATGGGTGTGGTTTAACTCCRTTGCAACAAAGATGTGTTGCTTATTAAAATGTGTGAAACTTTATTCCATTCTTATATGCTTTCAATTAAGGACTTGTTAACTTGCTTTTSACTTTTTAAAAATAATCATCCATTGAAATGTGCATTCAAATTAACTACATGTATATCCATGTATACATATAAGCAGGGTATATAAGCAGGTAACTGCATAGCATGCTCTCTACTCCAAGTTAATTTGATAGAAATGTATACTTTGCTTTTTAACTGCTTGTTTTATTTTGTGTGATTTTGATCAAATAATAGTAAAACAGATTTTATGTAAGTGCATGCTGTTCTCTGTGTAGTCTTGTGATAAACTTTTCTCTCCCAATATTTTAATCTGAAAGATTTTTACTAGAATAAGATGTCCAAAGCATCAAGACTGTTTTCTCTTTATGTGCTTTATTTCAGTTAAGTATTGAGAAAGAAAAGCAGTAGCTTATAGGAAACAAATGCAAATAAAAATCAAAACTGATAGTAAATTGACCTAGGATAGAATCATAAAATCTTTAAGGTTGGAAKGGACCTTTGGAGATGATCCAGTCTAACCCCCCAGCACACACAGGGTCACCTAGAGTGGGTGGCCCAGGATGGTGTCAAGCAGGTTTTGAAGATCTCCAGGAGAGACTCCACAACCTCTCTTGGCAACCTGTTCCTCACTGTTAAGAAATTTTTGTTTAAGTTCCTGTGGAACTCTTAGTGCTCAAGTGCTTCTAAAGAATAGACCATACCTTTACAAATATCCTCATGGGAACAAAACCTAAAAACTTCTGCCTGGAAAACTGTAGTAAGAAATCTTATGCAGATATACATGCAGTATGTCTGAAAGAAAGAAGAGTTAACACCACAAAGGCAGCAGTAACTTGCTGAAAACTTACCTAACCAAAGCTGCCCTATAAGGCTCTGCTGCTGATCCCCCTTATGCACACAGAAACACTGGAGCCTGAAAGAGCAGGTTTCAACAGGAGCCTTCTGAAGGCCCACTCCCTGTCAGAAGGGGCTGCTGATACTGACTTACTGCAATCTGTGGCCATCTAAAGGGAAAATCAGTATTTCCAGCTCTGCAATTGAGTGCCTTTTTTTTTTACTTTGAAAGATAGGCATGTGATAWGGTGGTTCAGATCCAGTTCATTCAGGAACAAAGTATCAAAGCTGTTTGATCTAATTTAAATCAGTTCTTCCAGAGAGTTAATTTTGAATTTCTGCARAGTAGTTTGTTTAAATACAACAGACTTACTGACCCAGAAATAAGATAAAGGTTTCCTTTTCACTTTTTTCTACTAGATTATCACTGAGCAGTAGTTGCTTGGATAGCAAAGCAAATATGGTAGTGTACCAAAGCTAGGAAGGTGGCAAGAGATATTGACTTGCTAGTGCAGTAARCTGTGCAGAAAGCAGCTTGGGAGGTTAAGGTGATGAGAAAAAAGGAATTATTTCTTTTTATATTTTTTTATAAATCTTAACAAAGGAGATGCATGCTTCAGATTTGCATATAGAAGTCTGAGAAARTGTTCAGGTGCTCAAATTGGAAAAGAAAAACATGAAATAAATTATTCTAAAATAAAATGGAGTCAGCTGAAATTGGTTTGTCCTGAAGCAACTTAAAAATAAGCTCCTAACAAAATAATAGAATTACCAAAATATGCTCCTTTGCCACAGATTTTTGTTTATCTAATAGATATAGCCATCTGATAGCTGAAAGGGAAAAGGTTGCTCGTTCACAGGCAGTTCCAGGGCCTGGGTCAGGTCTAGATGGCAAGGAAGTGAGCCAGGAGGAGCTAGCACGTGGTGAGCAGCTGGAGAACTGGGAACTGCTGCAGTTACTGGCATGTCCTGGGGTAACTTGTGTAGTCAGAGTTTGGTAACTGAGGAGCTGGGCTGCCTGGAAATGGGATATGAGCTTGTGGGGCAGGAGCAGAGGAGATTCCCTAGGGCTGTAGCAAAGCAGGTCTTGCACACCCCTTTTCTGAAGTCTTTCCAAAGTTCTTCGGACAATATTTTTAGAGAAGTGAGAACTGATTAATAAAATTGGTCTGTTGCAATTACCTACTGTGGCTTTTCAATTTTGAAATGTCCAGCATGGGAGCTAACTGAGAAATTGTCACATGTTAGAAGCTGATTAAGAAACTAAAACTGAGGATGAAAGTTCAATTTTACTTTCTGCTTTTAAGCTTTTACTTTTTTAAAAAATGTTCTTCATTAGGACTTAATGTTAAATCCAAAAGTGATCCAGAAAAGGTTTAGTGGCAAAATTTACCACTGTCACAGTTATTAGTTTGGGGGGAAAGAAAATCCAGAGTAATCTAAGGGGGGTGAAATGATGTTCATTAGTTACTAAATGCAGTATAGCACTTTGGAAGGAGTAGTTTGTGCAGTTTCAACTACTGCAAAAGATAGAGGTAGCTTTAAAGGAGATATGAAGGTCCTTCTTTTGTAATCAGTGTCAGGGAAGAATGTAGGTATTGCAAAGTTAACAAATAGCTTTATTTGTAGCATTACAATATGAATTGAAGGAATGCACTTGGTTAGAAAGGAATGTTCAGTTGTACCCATCAGAAATGTGAATGAGCTCAAACAGGTTGAAAAGAATGAGAATATGAACATGTCTGAAAATGCAGTGTTGTTAGACACAGTACTCGTATCACATGCATGTCTAGACTGCTATAACCCAATGTTATGCTTCACTTTTTCCTAATTTTTTCTAAGAATGTTGATTTTTTTCTGTACAAGAATCCTATTGTGACAAGGATGTCAAGGTGTCCTCTTGCCCAGAAGAGCTTGTGGCTTCATGATTAATGTGCTGTACTAGTTCTTGCACAAGAACTTGCTAAATATACATGGACTTTGTCAGTAGGAGATCAATTTATGAATGAATGTAACTAGATTTTAGTTTTCCAAGTACCAAACCAATGATCTAGTTTGTGAATCCTATGAGACCCCTATCAAAAGCATGTTAAATGAAGCAAATTATTTAGTCTGTTTGACAGTTTTCATTGTGGTCCATCAGGAGGATGTATTTATCCATTTAATTTTCATTAATAGTRTATAAAGATAGGAATATAAATAGACCAATTGTTATCACATTATTCTTTAAGAATAGACTTAATCTGAAAATATGTGCCTAAACTGAGCATATATGTACCAAGTTTCAAGTTATAGCATACCTGAACCATTTAAGTCTAGATGCCTCTTATGGGAAACTTCTGTTATTTTTGTTGTAATTATAACCTAACTTACCCTTGAGACCAGAGAGAGTTGCTGCAACTTCATATGTAAAATAAACACAAGGCTATTTTTAAATTGATTTTTACATTTGCTTTGCAGTAAATGTCTTAAATGTAATATCTGGTACCTTCAGAAAGATGAAAATGGATTTGGTGTGCTTACAGATGCCTTATGAGTTCTCTTATGTCTGTAAATGTCCTAAATTGGTTACTAATAGTCATTAGTAACTTGTTCCTTATGTACACAAGTATTAAAGGTTTTCTGGTGGGTAGTGATTTTTTAAGCAAGACATTATTCCCAATTTCTGTGATTGGTATTTTAATTCTGCTTCTATGTAGTAGGGGATTTATTGGAGTCCTACTTTAAAATGATGTGTTATTGACGCTTGGAAGCCATAAACATGGAACAAAAAGTAGCACAATTGACYTGAGCTAGATGCTTGAATAAAAGGACCCGTGCTTTCTGTATGCACCGAGCTGACTTGCTGTGAACATCAGAAAGGCTGAGGTGCCCTGGATGGGGCTTCCACTGTGGTTTCTGCTTGATCAGAGGAAGTTCCTGGTGTTCAGTACAGTCTTGAGAAGGAGTTGAGGAGTAGCAAAGATCAAGGGGTAGAGAAAAGGTTGTTGAAGAGGATTGCTAGCTCTCTGCAGGGTCGGCTGATAAAACCTGTATGAAGTCTATTGAATTTTCAACTCCTTGATGATCCTGAKAGTGATTCTCTTCTCTTGAAAAGCCTGAAGGAAGGTCAGGCTTCTTGGAGCCATTTGGGAGCTGTGGCAGCAGCCTGTCCCTGCTGGTGTGCAGGCCAGGATGGGAGAGGTTGGSTGCCTTAGGTGTCAAAACCAGTTCAGTTGTGTGGGGGGAACTTGGGATGCTCCACCTGAAAACTTSTCCAAGCAGCCCTTCTGAGCTGCAGTGATGAATGYTCTTTYGAGGGTCTCTTCTAACTTGTTACAGAGAGGAGAGGGRGGGAAAAAAAGTGCTGATATATTTCAARTGAAGCTTGAAGACTTAGAGAACAAGCTCCCCTCTGTTTTGGAAAAGCACAGGAATGTTCCTTTCCTGTGTCTCTATTTGCAATAATTGCAACTTAATTAGCAAGTTAGTCTTGCAGGGAGGTTTTCTGCTACAACTGGAGTTCCCTAGAGCTGCTGCAGAAATTCTCAGAAGCCTCCAGAGTGCCAAAAACTAATGCTGTCAAGCAAAGATATTTTTCTACCCTTTATCCCATTTGCATGGATATGGTATTTAGAAGCTCTGAGTTGTCTCTACTTGAAGTGAAAATCAATTGACCGTTACAAGGAGACTTGGATAAAGTCTGAGTTAGAAATTTTCTTGTGGTTTCAGCTAATCTTAAACAAATTGCTTCAGATTTTGTTCAAATCAGCAGTTCAGTTTTACATATTTATATATGTATATCTGTATTGAGATATACATATTTGTCTTCTCATGGGGCATGTTACAATGAGCTATTCTTTTGAAAAGTACCAAAAGTCTGTAAATTGTTTTTCCTGAAGTCTATACTTCTCTTTCATATACTTCAGTATTGTTAAAGCAGTATTTGTTCACTTTATGAAAGTACAAGTTTAGTTTCTGAATATCAGATACATTTGAAATGTGAGACTGTCTTTGGAATAAAGCTAAATTGAAGTCCTTTGCTTAAGTTCACAAACAGTCATCTTCTAATGCTGGTTAGAATCAGTTTTCATGGTTACAGTTTTCATTCCAATTTGTCATCTTTGTATGTTTTTAATCTGTGTATTGCCCAAGTTGTGATTTCATGTAGTGTTATGTAATGTTCATGTTTCTGTCAAAAGTTCTGTGACATCGTTAACTTGTGTGCTTTGGGTTATGCCCCACAAGAATGAAGGTTTGTTTCTTCTGTTCTTCCTTCAGAGATASTGCTATGGCTACCGCAGTGAACTTGGAACTTGATCCCATATTCTTGAAAGCTTTAGGCTTCTTGCATTCCAAGAGCAAGGATTCTGCAGAAAAGCTAAAAGCACTTCTTGATGAATCTTTGGCCAGAGGAACAGACTCAAGCTATCGTCCTTCTCAGAAGGTATTGGAATTTAAGAGAGCATGGGCTGTTTTCATATGCTTCTTTAAAGCTCCAGCTGTTTTTTGTTTGACTTTTGCAGCTGAAATGTTAAAAGCAGGGTCAGAAATGAAGGGAAGTAGTTGTAGAGTGTTCATCATTCTCCTTCTATGCAGTATACTTCATTCCATTAATTGGRGTCAATGAAAGAATTCTTTTCACCTTTAGACCTGTAAGAGCTATGCTGCACTACATTGAAAGTATGCAAACACAAACAAAAAGCTATATACTGATAAAACTGGATCTCCTGTCCTGGAAAAAAAGTTAATTTTAAGCTTGAAAGAAACAAGGAAGCAGAGTAATGTCTCAAGAGGTTTGGGAAGCTGAATCCTATAAAATTAGCTAGAAGAAATTCTCTTGTTCCTGTCTCCCGTATCTCCAGTATCAGCTGGATAGCAAAATACAGTAATAGAAAAATTAGGATGCCTTTCCTTGCAGTTCTGGTCCATGGGATTAGTTTATTAGCAAGATAATGCAAGAACAGTGTGAGGAGCATGGGGATACAGTGGTTGGACAGGAAGAAATTCACTTGAGTGCAGGTTCAGCCCTGTGAGTTCACTGACTCCCTGCTGAAGCTCAAGGCTCAGGGCCAGTGCGAATGTGCAGCAGATAAGGCAATTACCTTGCCTAGGTAGAGGGGGAAGCCTTGCTCAAATATCTTGCTGTGATTAATCACTCATCTACAGACTTGCTTGTTTGTTATCCATTGCTGGCACTAATGCATAACTAATAAAAACTAAGGGTTTTTGTTGATCTGTATCTAAATGTATTGACCTGAAAGGTGAATATGGACTGAGATTAAGCACAGGTCAATATTTCTGTCCATGAGGGAATGAAGTATTGATGTCTGATATCAGATGCCTACTTGTATTTTCAGCATCCATTGAGTTTGTCTTAAACTATCTGAAAATTGTTCATTATCTTATTGAACTTCAAATGTGGAAAACTTTCACTTTTAATTAATGTTTCAAATAAACTTTTCTAAATAAACACTTTCACTCTGGGTGGGAGAAAGCTTTTAATTGATTGCAACTTTAATGTGTAGATGTAATATTAAAACTTCAAAAATTTTAATACTTACAAAATGCAATTCTATATAGACATAGGTGAGTAGCTGTTTAATGACATGAAATGTTGTTCCATGTTTTCATCTGTATGTTAGGTGTATTTTTCTAGACTGCATCCAATAGAAAACTAGAGGGTAACTCATGTATGACTTTATTTTTTTCTCTTATTTTTTTAGGAAGTAGAGCAACCAAAAGTATCTGTTACCAAACCTATTTCCAGTAAGCAAGAACCCAAAGCTGCTTCTAGTTTGCCTTCAGGCAACAATGGCAAGCCTGCTGTATTGGAGAAAGTGAAAAAAGAAACAGAAAAGAGATCTGGTGATAAAGTAAGTTTAACCTTGGTTCTCTAATGATGAAGCCTGGCTGCTCTTCTTGGAAGTATTTATCCACAAGAATGTTCTTCACAAGTGTGTAACTTGTGTAACTCGGCTCTTGCCTAACTGCCTATAACTTATGAGCTGTTTTATGCAATCATGTTTGGGCAGTCCAACAAAGGTTTTGATTTTATTCTGAATGCTCTATACTAAAACTGAAGAGGTAAATAAAATGTAGCAATGTGACTTGTGTATCTTCCAAGGCAATTGGCTTTTGAGGTGATGCACAAAAAGTGATCTTGAGCTTTTAGCTCTGATATATTTTGGAGGAAAATATGCATCTAAGGCAAAGGTGTAGTGTGTATGCTGAGTATAGTATACCTTCATATACTTGTAACCTAGTCTTTTCAGTCACTGTTAATATATCTTGGGTTTCTGCTTTTTTGACATTCTCTCTGTGCTTAACAGATGAAAGGGGAAACTGCTGAAGTTGTTGATGCTCCAAAGAAACCAAGGCTAGAGAAGCAAGAGGCTCGTTCATCTCCTATTACGGTTCAGACAAGCAAGGATTTATCYGTGCCTGATTTATCTAGCTTTGAGGAAACCAGTGCTGATGACTTTGCCATGGAAATGGGTTTGGCCTGTGTTGTTTGCAGGTAAGTCAACCTGCTGCGTTGTAATTGTGTAGATTTTGTGTACCATTTAGCTTTGTTTCTTGAAGTTTTTATTTTGGAATTCACTTARGCACCCATCTAAAACTAGCTAAAAATATCCTCTTAATGGAGGGGGGAACAACTCTTCAGGAAAGGCAGTCAAAAACAATCAAGTTAAATGAGATGCACATCTAGGACAGCTATTGAAAAGCAAGTTCCAACATCAATGGCTAATGACCAGCAGCACTCTAAAGCAAATTCTTTTCTGTGGAAGTTTSATCCTCCAGTCAGACATTCCTTTCACTTTCCAATAAACTATGTGAAATTAATACAGAAGATAGATTTACAAGGAAGTAAAATATAAAATGTGCTTTTAAATATACATACAGGGATCAAATCACTCGAGGATTTGGTTTCATAGCTGGTTTATGTTCCTGCAAGTTTCTGCTTCTGCTGAAAGGAACAGTTTCTTTCCCCACTTGTACCTCCTTCCCTCTCAGGTTTTTCAGTAGGTTTAGATTTCAGTTGATACAGTGAGTGTAATGTTCTAGCACATGGCCCCACATTCCTGTATCCAGCCAGGATAGGGAGAAAGATGGGACTGCTTTTTCAGTGGCAGTATGGATTTGAACTCAGCTTAAGCCAGTTGTGATTGTATATCCTTATAACTTTGTTTTTCTGCCATTTCTATGGCCACTGCTGTTAGGTAAGGTGACCTAACTAATCATGAATTGATGAGATTTCATGTCAGATTCTCATGTATTAGCTTGAATGTTCAGCAGCTTATTACAGACCTTGAAAAGGGAAGAGCATGTGAAACACTTCATGTAAAATATAAAAAGTYTTTCAATTTGACCTTGTTTTCCTCCACATTCTATTTCTGCTGACTCTTAAGGGACAATATATTGAAATGATACTAAACCAACACGGTATTAACTCACTGAGCAAGAGAGGAAGAAAAGTTTAGTGTAGATGGTCTTGAGCTGCTCTAGTGTACTAACTGTCTCGTAAGGCAAAGGAAAACATGCTCAGGTGTAATGAGAAACAAGCAGTAAAGAAGGAGAATGAGCCATCCTGCCTACTGCAGCTAACAGCTTATTGTGGGCAGCATAGGCCAGGGATGTGCTTCYGGTAGCTGTTCTGTAATCGGTGCTTAACCTGGCTGCTGAAGGCATTGCTTTTAGCTAATCATTAGGGTCACAACTTCATAGTGCTCTTGCAAAGGACTCATCTATCTTGACCTACTAAACTARGGACTTATTAAACTGACACTGGAGGAAAGTGCATCAGGAAAAGGAGCCTTAGAGGTAGCATCAGTCACCCAAGGCTCAGGATTTTCCCTTTTGTTCTGTAATATGTAGTTAGCCACATGGGAGTGGGTAGTAAGATAATGTCATCTTTTCCAACATATGCAGATTCCAGAAAGATAGGAGTCACTAGTATGGCTTTGCAGTTCTATGAAGAAATATYGCGTGTAATTTGCAAGTAACAATGAACTCATCCCCATCTTCTGCTCTCACAGAAAGTTTTCTGTTTTTAAAATCTTGATTATCTCTAAGGATTTCTTTGTTTTATGAAGGCAAAATGATCACTGGGTTTCCTGGTTATCAAATCATCTTACAGTAAGGTTAGTTTAACTTTTTTTGGCCATAGAAAAAAAATCAAGTTTCTATTTGGACTGTGTGCTGCTCCTGAAGATACTGCTGCAATAATTTCCAAATAGGATGATATGACTTCTTCCCTAAGGCATGTGATTAAAATACCACTGCTTTGTCCTGGCCCAGTTTTTTTGCAGGGAGTGATATTTTTACTATTTTACTTTTAGCCTAAAATGAGATGCTGGAGTTACTGAAAGGTTTATTCCTTTGGGCAGACACTTTAAAATATTGCTTAAAATGCTGTAGTGGACATATGGACGATATCTTCTGACTTTGTTTTCCTGGTATAGGAAGAAATGAGGTRTTTCCCCTCCCTACCCACCACAAACAGTTTCCATGGTTACCTGCATACCTGCTCCTCAGGGATAGGAGCAAAAGCAGCTTAGCAGTTAAATAGCCTGATTTGTCATCTGAAAGAAGAAATCACTAGGAAAGTGGTATTTGGTTAATTCACAGATGTACTTCTAGTCATGTGTGTATCACTAATTTGTCATTTATACAGCATGATTACTTTCACCAGAGGCCCACATAAAATTAAGTCTTCATCACCAGCTTATGTTTGCTGCAAGGCAGCACTGCACAGTTAATCCTTTCTGTTCCATCTTTTTGTGATTTTTGCTATTATCTCAAATTCCAAATGTCTCTGGTTAGTAGGGAGCAACAGAATGGCTAATAAAACCTCTATAAAATAATATATCTTGCGTGATGATGATCTTAAATTCCTGAATGGAAAGCAYTCACATGGCTGTCTCTGGAAGTTATTGGTCTTGAATTACATAGTTTTGCTGTAAGCTTCTGAACAATCCAAATGCAGACTAGGTCTTTGGATGCTACTATAAGGTGAAAATCATATTGGTACTGTACAGTGAATCCCWGGGTAAAATAAAGTGGGTAAGACCTGTTATATAAAAATTGAACTGGTAACACTGCTAGTTATGCATGTATAGAATTTAATGTAAAAYTTTTAGTTTTCTTGAGCTGACATTATAAAAGTTTCTAAATCATTTAAGAAACTTATACCAGGAGAAGGGAATATTTCATTTCTCACGGGTAGAAAACTTGTGAGACCAAAAATAGTCTTATATAAAGCCTTGATTTGCAACAATTGGATAATCCTTAAAGTGCTTTCTCATAATCTATTCTTAACTATTTGCTCTGCAGGCAAATGACAGTTGCTTTTGGAAATCAGTTAGTGGAGTGTCAGGAGTGCCACAATCTCTACCACCAGGATTGCCATAAACCTCAGGTGACAGACAAGGAGGTGAATGATCCTCGACTTGTTTGGTATTGTGCACGCTGTACCAGACAGATGAAGAGAATGGTAAGAATCATTTGTCTAGTATGAACACAGCTTGAGGACAGCAGGCTATTTTTGATGCATGAGCTTCTTAAAGGTTACCGAAGGCAGAGGCTTGTTCAAGAACTGTTTTTCACAGCATGTTTCTGTTGGTGCTGCTGTGCCTTTTAATTTAACATCTAAAAGAGCAGAAATGTACTTAGATTTTTAGAAGAAAAAACGAACTCAAATAGCATTCTTTCCTACTTGATAAGTAATCTTGAAAAGTACTTGAAAGTAAACACTTTCAGGTGATGCTGTCTTTCAGTGCAAATCTATCATATAGGCCTATAGCTTTAATTTTCATCTTGGTTGTRGAAATCTTATCTCTAACAAGAGGCTGCCAGTTTTGGCCCAGCTCTGAGCTGCTGGGTGCTCWGAATATTGAATAGCTTGATTATGCTCATACCCCTTTGCACTAAGAGGAGTTATTTGCAATAACTCATAGGCCTTGCAACAATTCRGCCTTTCCCTTCACGATGCTAAACTCTTTTAACAAACTCTACATTTCCTGCTGCCTTTTAGCAGATGCCCACAACTTGGGTCAGTACTGCTGGCATCTGTCCATACCTTCCTCAAGTTCACTTTTTCTCTCTTGTAGAGGCCCTGTGCTTTTCTGTTCCCTATGCAACCACATCTTCCATGCTGGAGTGCCTGCCTATTCAGTACGCTTTTTGATTGAACTTTCTCCAGTATCATACTCAGAACTACTTTTACAATCCTGTCTTGATTTCCCAAGCATAATTCAACTTGAAATCAAGTATTGTAAAAGCTAGACTGCAATCTGAATGCTGATCTCTTTGTTCAAGCTGTTAATGTGGTAAGGACCATAACTAATCTGTGGATTTTCTTCTTATGTAGGCTCAAAAGACCCAAAAAACACCTCAGAAACCAGCTCCTGCTGTGGTTTCAGTTGCACCAGCTGTGAAAGATCCCTTGGTCAAGAAGCCAGAAATTAAGTTAAAACTTGATACCCCACCAGCTTTTCTAGCATTCAAGAGAACAGAAGTCAAGGTAATGTAGTTTAAATTTTCCAAAGGATGAGTTTGTTTCACTGCACAGATATGATAATCTYAATTAGGCCAGTCTTTCTTCATAAGAACCATAACTGAAAAAAGTCTCCTATTCCATGTGTATGAAATAGTATCGTAACACTCTTAGTACTAATGCAAAACTATTGTTTAAAAAAAATCTCAATTCAATTATGAGTCTCTAATGCACCCAGCTCCTGACCCTTTTCTATAGAGGAGAGAACAATGTTTACTCGGGGATTTTTTAATGATATTTTGTACAAGTAGGGGCCATTAAAATTGTGTAAAAAGATGGTGTTTGCTCTCTGTGGCCAACTAACATATCTATAGTTTAGTAATTAGAAGTTTTTTCATGGTAAGAGGGGAACCCAACTGATCCCCAAGATGTAATTTAGGAGACTTCTCAGACATCTTGCTACACGTGTCTGAGCTATTCAGGACATAGGTATGAGTTGGTTAAAGGTGGTAGCAGCGTAATAAATAACAAAGTAGTCTTAAACCATGACCCTTATCTAGGAAAGCATATCTCTAACTTAAAATCATGGCAATTTGTGTGTTCTAAGTTATGTTTGTAGTTGCTTTGCCTGCATGGGAACTTGTAAATGCTCCTGCTCAAGTGCTTACATGTGTAAATAACTTCCACTGCYGCAGTTATGTTCCTAGGTGCCATTGTAGGAATGCAGTCCAGTCTCATGCATCTTTTTGTTTACAAAATATCTGGCTATATTATGGAAGAGATTATTTAAATATAGGATCTTAATTTTAGCTTTGATTGTCATCTATAGATGTGGATTAATAATTCAGCATGTATGTTATCCTGAATTGAAACCTGGGACTAGATAGTATTGAGGTGTGAGGAAACAGTTAATGGCTACAAAAAGTTTTCTCCATTACGTTGTCTAAATGGGAAAACAAGACTTCTAATTATGCATTGTGATGAGAAATAAGATGGGAAGAAGGAAAGTTTGGACATCCCTGTTTTGTCCAAAAGACTAATATCTGCAATATTTAATTGTTCAGTCTGATTTTTTTTTTGTCTGAGCATCTGTCAACTTGTTAAAAAGCAACACCAGGTAACCACAGTAGACAAAAGCAAGGCAGTTGCCTCTGGTCAGACTTAGCAAGTTTGGGCTTCTTATAATTACTGGAGTTAAACCCTTTTTCAATAACTTTATTAATTATGATGCCAAATGGCAGCCTGTTAGCTGTAGAGAAGACAAGAGAGAAAAGGAAACACTGGATTTATTTGACTGGGAAATTAAGTTAGCTGCACCTGTGTCCTTTCTCTTGTTAGTGCTGCTAACTGTAGTGGCCAGATGAAAAACTGTGGTAGATTTTTCTAGGGGAAAAAGCCGAAGCTTGATCTATTTGTGTYGTGATTTATTATATAAATGTTTCTAATAAAATGGTTTGCTTATTTCTAGACCTCRGCAGCAGTTTCAGGGAACTCGTCCAGTACAAGTGTTTCCTCTTCAGCAACCAGCGGCCTTACAGGATGGGCTGCTTTTGCAGTCAAAACCTCTTCCACTAATCCCTCTGCTACCAAGCTGGGATCCGCAGCGCAGAGCGCCAGCGGGAAACCCGCAGCCTCTCCTAATAGCCAGAAACCCGTGGGCTTGTCGGGGTTGGCAGCTTCCAAACCGGGACAAGGCTCCAAAGCGGCTTCGTCCAACAGCAGCAGCCCCGCGCAGCTGAAGCCRCCGCCGCCGCTGACGCTGGGCAAAGCGCCGCTGAGCCGCTCGGTGAGCAGCGACAACGTGAGCAAGGTGGGTCTCCCCAGCCCGGGCGGCCAGGCGCCCAGCGGGGCCGGCCAGGCGCCCGGCGGCAACGGCGGCGGCGGCGCCAGCAGCGGCGGCAGCGCCAGCAAAGCGGCCGGGGACGCCGCCAACCAGCCGGCCTCCCTCAAAGGCCCCACGTCRCAGGAGTCGCAGCTCAACGCCATGAAAAGGCTGCAGATGGTCAAGAAGAAAGCGGCTCAGAAGAAACTCAAGAAGTAACCCTGCTGCTTGGTAACTGTGGTGGTGCTGATCTGTAAAGCAGTGGTGGCCTCTTAAGGAAAATTCCACAGCTACCAGATGGAAACAGCGGTTAATCTGGGGAAGACCAAAATCTGTGTTCTACAGGAGGTTAGATTAACTGAACCTAGCAATTCTCTGACTTCAAATCCAAGAACTGAATACAGAAGAAGAATATTCATTRTAACATGCCTTTTGTTTTTTAGCTCAAAGCTTTGAAACATGGTATTGTTAAACTTGGATTTTTCTACATATAAAGAAAATATTTATATGCATCCTTAAATTGGACTTCCAGAACCTGTCATTCTTAAATGGCACTGTTAATAAAAGTGTTATTAATCTGGGACATTGCTGCTTCTCTTTCCTGCTCCATTTTCCAGTACTCAAACTGAGAAATGCTTCTGCTGTTCAGGGTTGTGTTATGCAGATTTAATGAAGTTAATCSTAAATTATACAATTCTTCAGGAGGGGAGGGATGTGTTTCTTGGAATGATTCCTAAAGTTAACAAAGAGATATATTCTACTTGAAGTGAGAATTAAGTGGTCTTTATACTGAGAAACTTTGGTCACTTGTGTTGTAATTGTCTGCAGAAGGCAGGAAGAGCATTGGTAGAAGGTGAATGGTCCCTAACCTCTAAGGGTGATAGAGCTAACACTATTGTCAAGCTGTGCTAATCTGTGAGGAAACTTGGAACTGTCCTATTGTAATACAGATGGAAAGTAAGTGGAATTGGTATGCATTAGAATTAAATAATCTAGTTGAAGCACATCTTAATTGAATTCATTTCTAATTTTCTAATGTCTAGGGGGGAAAAAAGGAGAAAATGGAAGGAAATAATCTTGGGAGTCAGTGCATTAGCTTCCTGACACCTGAAACACGTGAGACCTTCCAATTTTCTAAGTATTCCATGTTCTAAGTACTGCTGTAAAACTCAGGCCTTGCATGAGTTACAGTAGAAATGTCTTTTAACCTGCCTGGGAAAATGTGGCCTCTAAACTGTTTTATTCTAGCCTTTATGATTATTTTAAAATACAGTTTTTGAAATCACCCTTTATACAAGGGACAAGTGCCAGAGATCTCTTCAATCTGGTATAGTTAGTGACAAAGTTGAATGAAAACCTGGAGGTTTTATTCTAATTTGTTCTTAAATAAGTCTACTTAGCATTTTCCTACCAATTTGAAAATCTTGCTGATGCAGACTTGTGCCTTAGCTGGTGGCTACTAGAAGGAAGCCTGTACATACTGCAGCTGCCTCGCAGGAGCATGGAAATAAGGTCTGTATCTTCCTATATTGCCTATGACTTCAAGGGTAACTTAAATATCAACAAAAAAAAATCAAAACGTTTTACTGGCTCTGGATCAAGCTCTTCTGCTTTCTAGCACAGAAGGGTTTTAATGATGGTGTGGTAGAAAGACAATGAACTAGTCATCACTTGCAAATGGATGGTATTTTTTCTTTTCTGTTGATGTGAAGTATTGCCTATACTCTGAAGCGGAGCACGCAGATGAATTCAGAGCTAGCATTTAAGGGTATTTGTTCCAGCAGTAAAGTCTGCTTCCCCTAGGAAGATACAGAAGTACCYGAGTTGTGCCTCAATGTATGGATAGTTCTACCTGGGAGCCTGCATTTGAACTCCGCAGTTGGCTTGTGGGTATCATGTATGGAGAGAACAAAGCAGGCAGTAACTGATGCTCTTCACTTCCAGATTCTGGTAGCTGTCCCACCTAGAATTTGAGACCCAGTTCAAGGTTCTCTAGATGTTTTTTCCTCTAGAAATCTACTRGAAGTTGAATGTAGCTTATCCCCTGTTCATTTGGGGGGTAAAACACCTTGTGTTATACTTGTCTTCTCTCTAAGGTGAAGTTGAGATAGTGTTTGATATTGTTATTCTAGCAAAATCTTTTGCTCATAAGCTGCAACTTATGAGCAAAAGACTTTTCTCCTGTACCTTTACTGGCTTTCTGAATGAAATATAAAGTCTCCTTGTTTTGSTATAAAAATCAGTTAGGATTGTGGTTCTCTGAAGTATTGTATCAGGAAGGATTTAAAGCATAGACCTATTCTTTTAAACAGTGTTTTGCTTGAACAGATCCAAGGGAATGGATRTTTTCTGCTTTGAAGTTAGGGTAGAATTAACAACTGTTTTCTTGTGGGAGGCACCCTGAATTCATTTTKYACACTGAAGAATCCAGTGTACAGCAGAAAGAATGAAGGCATTGGAATGATGCTTGTGCCTTGGATATAGGAAAGATGACTTGSAAATAGTCTGGCTTTCTGTCTCCAGTTCGGGTTGTTCTGTGACTTATTATAAAAAGTAGTCACCTAGTGTTTCTTATCCTTTTTATAAACTGGTATGACAATATTTTCCTTCCACTTAAATATGATGTTCTTCATCCATGTGCAAATTGTGATATCCTTAGTATTGAGGATATAACCCTTGTGTTCCATTAAAAGCTTCTGTTAAATGTGTTCCATTAAATCCCCTAGGCTTAGGGGATGCTGCTGGTGTCTGGATGTAAGGGGAAGAGCTGGAATCTAGCCCAAAGTTCTGTAATAAACTAGTAAGAAACTTCATTACAAATGGCAGAATAGATGGGAGGGAGCAGTAATGGTTACAGCTGCAAGTGCAGCTAGGGGAGAGAAGAGCTGACCTGCCATGTAGAGCCTTGACGTGGATTTTCAAACTTGCTCAGTGTTTTGATAACAAGTTTTGATATTTGAATCTAATCTAGGATGTAAACTATGCTCTGTTCTGAGGCAACTGTCCATTTCTCTTGTTCTGTTCATTTTGTAATGACTTTTACAATTGATAACCAGTGTTAAAAAGCRTATAAACCCTTGTGTCTCTTATAAAAAGACAAGCGTACAAAAATTAGAGTTTTATTAAAATAATTTAAAAGAATTTTCACAATTTCTGAACAAACTATAAGGAATTATCAGTAATAGAGCACCAGGCATCAGCTTTGTCATTACTAGACTGTAATCAAAGGCATGAGGTGAGGTCTGTTTCACATACCTGCATTTTTACAAGGTGTTTCAGAATAACAGTTTTCTTCAGCATTTGAAGCARCTATTCAGTGAAGCCTCCTAAGATGCAAAGCCAAAAGGATCAGTCCTCAACCTGTGTCAAAGGTGGGTCCTCGGTAAAGGTTTACGGGTACCCTCCAAGAAGAGGGAACGTGSTGCAGCACAGAGCTGCCAAAGATCACAGGCTGACATTGCCCTGCTTGGGCTCAGGCACTTACTGGATTCCAGTTTATTGCACAGAAATCAATGGCAACACTAAATAGATTCCCTGAAGGAAGAAATACTTTAGTTCAAATGCAGCCCATCTCAGAAATGTTTTTGAAAGCTTATTGCCTCAGTGATTCAAGTCAGTAAAATTCATATTTGAATATATGCRTGATTGGTCTATTAGACCTCAGCCTGTCACAGCTTCAGTCAAAATAAATTAGTTTTGTCATTAATAGGAAGAAAATTTAGTGCTGAAATCTTCTCTACATAAAGGAAACAATGATGAAAATGTTGCATAGTWTAACAATTTCTGGATCCTAAGAGTGGAGTTTCTAGCATTTAAAGCATTGAGTGATGTGTCTGACCAGGTCTAATCTGAATTTTTKTAAGTCTCCTTAATATAGGCAGGCTTTAGATTCTAAGAGCTTTCCTTCATTTTTATAAATTATAGTTTTCATTCATGYGTTTCACAGATAAAAGCTTGCAATATGTAATCTCATAAAATTATAACAGCTGAAAATTTAAATTTATGTTTAATATAAGACTAACAAAGTATTCTTTGACTTCCAAGTTTCTTATGAGCATAGGAAGTCATACCCTTTTCCAAAGTATAAAAATTATAGGCCTTATCCATAGACTGGAAAGTTGCATCCTCTTAGTCTACAAATTTCCCAGAAATTCTATGGAATTTGGTGGCCAGCTCCTTTGTTCTCTCCTTCATTCCTTGTATCAGGAGAGCAGCATTGGAATACTGAGATACCTTCATAGAGCCTGAGTTTTCATAGGGAACACATACAGTGCTCTGTCAAAATCAGGGCCCTCTGTATGACTCAAGATGAGCACTCAGAGCTAAGACTTCAGGATTTTTGACTCCAGCCCTTAATTAGTATCTTAATTACAATATCTGCCTCAAACCAATTTAGTCATTTCTAAAACTTATAACTAATGCAAAGTATGGATTGCATCCAAATAAAATATTCTGAAATGTTAAGACATGTTGGAAATATCCTGTGTTCCTCCTTCCCTTAATTTTCAAGTATAAAAGCCAAAGTAGTATAAATAGGGTAGGGTCAGTTCTAATCTTGCTGTCCCTTCATCTGAGCTGATTACCCAACCCCAGTGACTTTTCTTCACTTAACCTAGCAGCAAAGTTATTTGTAATAACAATTTGAGTTATGGATAAAAGGGGTGGGAACTTGCTTGCTCAGGGAAATCACAAGATTTAAGTGCCCAAGCTTGTGTACAATTAAAGAAAGCAGTGTGGTAGCTATTGGGACTGCTCATTGGATTGTAGTACTTGAGAGATTTGCACACCAATTTCTGGATGATCATCTGAGTTTAAAAGCTTTTCATATGATTTAATCCAGCGCAAATGTCTGGACTGCATCTCTTTCACTGCGTTCATCACTTGAGTAAACTCAGGAACCTMACCTACACTTAAAATGAAACTGGATTCATTAGTGTAGCAAAACTCTACTTGCATTAGCTCCTTAACTGCTCTCATTCGTTGGCCAGTTACTTTTACTACATTTTGGTAAAGACTTCAATCATTTAATTTTCATACCCCTTACTTGAGCAATGTGAGGTAGAAACTTAACAGCCAACAGCTTTAGAGCATGCCCTTGCCCTTGATGAACAACCTTTCCCCACACATCTATTATAGCATTGTCACTTTAACGGTCAGCTGGTGATAAGGAATTATGCAGCTATGCAGAAAATACCTGTCGTGTGTATAAGCTGCTTGTATTTCACCTGCACCAACTGCTTCAAGCATAACCTTTTTGTCTTTAGCACTGTTTAGCACAAAAAGGTCCTCATTCATCATTAGAGGTCCAAGATGTTGTTCAACTAATTTCATCACAGTTGATTATCAATGGCAACAGCAGCAATATGGTGCTGGGCCTCTATTTAGTGTAGCTTAAATGTGGTGCACTGGCCCATCCTAAAGATCACTATAGTCAGCAAACCTAAATGACTAATCCCTGATACTGTATATTTTATCTTCTATACTTTCCCATGCTCATTGAAGATAGTGTGAGCTAATTTAAAATTAACTTAAACAGTTTTGAAGATACTTTAGTGTTCTTACAGGTATCTCTAGGAATAAATTTGTATCTGACCTAAGGAATCAGATAGGCAGTAAATATTCATGGAATAGCACTTTGTTATTTTAAAGCATGGGCTATTAGTCTTGGGAAACCTAAGTTCCTTCAGTAGCAGATCCTGCAATATAAAGCTGTTAGTGTGGAAACATTTTGCAATCCTGATGCACATTCATATTGCTACAGACTTTCCTGTGATATCAAATAGCTGTGTAATTTTTTATATATTAAACTTCTGTTTTTCATAGTACCTTGTTTRTGGCATCCCAGCATCCTTGTGCATTTCAGTATTAAACTTGTTCTTTCCATGAGACTAGTCATTGGTGTCAACATAGTCTATATGTTTTAAGTTATAGTCTGGAAAATGTTCCTTACAAAAATGAAACCCTTTTTTACAGTCCAGAGGAAAAAGGTTCATTGCAAAAGTGGCTGAAGATGAGACAGCCAAAAGCTCAAGTTCTGAGAAGGGTCTGTGTTGATTAAGGTGGTAGTTCATGAAAATTCAGTCTGAACTACAGAATCCCTGAAGATAGAGGCTATCCTTCTTCAAGGTTAGCTTCTTTCATCTTCCATGGTATTTAGCAAATAACATTCAAGAAAAGCATAAATTTAGATGTGACTTGTATTTGTATGTTGACTTTTGATGTAGGACACTTTGACAAAAGAAAATTATGRGGTAATGAAAAAGCAAGCTCTTCAGGACATTAATCAGAATCAGTCTTCCTGTTAAATGTTTTGTCCCTCAGGTCTTGACAAGGTGATGGCTTTTGGAGAATAGAAGATCTCAATATCATCTCTGGGCTGTACTTCATATTGTGGCTTCTGTCACTCACCTGTGAGTTTGCCTTGCTGCAAACTATAATAGATTATTATTCTCTCTCCTTCAGAGGAACTGGCTCAATGGACCTTTCTGTTCCTAAGCGTATGTCATCTTCCCAAGGTAATTAGATGGTACATATCCTTTCTGACCTTTGGCTTCTGCTAGCCACCATTCTTTATTGCCACTCAGGTCAGAAAAACGAAGTATCCTGACCCTCTGATACTCCTGAAGACTGAGTTCCTGATCATTTCTTGCTTGAAATGCATAAACAGCATAAAATGTCTGAAAGGGAAAGACAAATGTTTCTGGATTCAGAAATGTAACTGCATTTTAAATTATTCTTTTATATTTGTACAAATTAAGTGCATACAATGTGTAATATATACAAACCAGTGTGTAATTAGTCTACAATGGCTGCACAGAGTATGAATAACAGGGCCGGGGGAAACAAAGGTAAAAAAAAGTTGGCAAAAATTTGAATATTTGTCTATGGGAAGAAACAAACCAGTCTCTGTGGCACCATCTGAAGAGCRCACACCAGGTTAAGATTTTTAATTCGCATCAGATGTCAGCAATTTTGATCAGAGCATTTACAGCAAGGTTTGATCAATGAGAACCACCTTTTGTAAAGTGCCTGTACTTAACATGGCAACTGCTAACAAATCCCTCAAATCATCTTCTCAGAGCCAAAAATCTTATTTGGAATAATTTCACTTGGAAGTAGTAAAAACACGGGTTACCTCTGTGCTTTACTAATCAGCATTGCCTCAGCTTTCTCATCAATGGTAAGTGGAAAAACCCAGAACTTAAGTATTTCTGAGGCCTGCACTCCATAGGAGAGCCTTGAGGTATTCTATCTATGTCAGGTAAGGTGCACCTGCTGTCCTGTGATAGAGCTGTAACTCACATTTTTAACTGACTTTTTCCCACCTTGTAGCTATTTAAGAAACCCAAAGCAGAACAGAAGATAATGAGATGTGGGATGTTCCTTGTCATGCTGAGAGTTTAGCGGAAGCATTATGATATAAATGGGAAGCCTTTTAAATTCTAAGCAGTGTAATTTTGGATTTGAAACAGAAAAGACAACCACAGCATACATCACCCTTACCTGCTGATCATCCCCATCTTGAATACCATCAACTTCTGGCCCACTAGTTGTGGGATTTGGGGAGAAGGCAGTAGGAGATGAGTTGGAGTTGCTGTCACTTGTACTGTGTCCTGGACTACTTATACTGCTGTCAGTGGAGGGCCGTGAGGAGACAAAGAGGCTGATGTTATCAAAATCATCATCATGAAAGCTGTTTTCTGTTACRTCCTTCTGCACCTTGGCTGGATTGTAAGGCTTCAGGAAGGAGGAATACACATACCCTTTAAGGACTAGATATTAGAATAAGAGAAAAATATATCTTAAAACCAGCCATTTTATGCAGGTGTCTGAAAGGCAAACAGGTGGGACCAGAATGGAAAGAAGTCAGTAGCCTTAAGAGAATGTTATGGGGATGTTTGTGCAGGTAACTTACTCCCTGTGTCAACCAGCCATCTGCTTGTACTGCCAAAGGGATCCTTTTGCTCCACAACAGCCACCAGCTCTCCTTCGTGTAAATCAATATCATATTCCTGTGTGGCATTGCATTTGCGCTTAGCTTGATACAGCAGCTCTGTGCTGTATGTAGATAACAGCTTGGACCTGTGCTCTTCTGTTTGATGTGGGGTTTCGAGCTGAAAAGAATAAAAATTTTCAGTCTGAGGCCATTTCTAGAGCATAAAGGGGGTATAATAGTCACATGCAGTATATACCAGTCTGTAGGCCCTGTATTTATATRCAGATCAAGGAATTATTTAAAGAGGAAAAAAAAATGGTAGTCTCTGAATGGTGGTCTTTGTATAAAATTACTTTGCAAGTGTGAGATGCTGTTAACCACTTAAAATGCATCCAGTCACAGGTTGCTTAGAGGGCAGAGCAGGAGGTGCTGCCTATCAGTGTGMTCATAACATGTAACAGGAGCAAGAGCATCTGTGCCTTATTGGTGCTAAAAGGAATCTAGAGTTTCCTTGGCTTCTCCACTGAATCTGCACCTAGGTTGTTTTAATTGAGCTATAAACTAAAGCTTTGGAAGTGTCTCATCAGATGGGGAACTAGGTACATGCATATTGCCTGGTGGATTTTCTGATCTGGCTRTGTGTGTATTTATGTGTATATAAATATACACACAAAGAACTACAGCTGAAAGAAGTACATGAAGATGCTCAATAAGAATATTTAAAGAGAAGCACCTAAACTTTGTATGTACAGTTAATGAGCTTCAAGACCTAAGGAGTGACAGAGATTTCAAGATATTAACATRAAAAAGATAGGAAAACCTTCAGAAACTAACAGTGAATGGAAAAGCTTCATTCCAAAAACCCACTTCAGRTTCCCACTGAAGGGACACAGTGCAAGCCTCTAGTTGGCATAAAAGCAGATTTGTTCCAGGAGTGATCAAAAGAGGATGCTTCATACACAATTTAAGTGTGACACACCGGAATTGAGATAGGCTTCTTTTTCTCCAGGCTCAATTTTCTCTCAATAAAGGTTGCACTGCTGTTTTCTTTTACAAAACTCATCTTGTGAACCTCCTCCATCAACTGGTTTTGTACTTCACAGATGCTTGAGGAAGACAGCTGCAAACACAAAGGTGGGTTAGATCTCAAGGACAAGGGGCTAAGATTTCAGACAGCAGATTTGGTGTTGGGGGCTGAATACAGGGGATGAGGATATCTGTCAAGTTACTGTTATTTCCTGGAGAGCCCATATTGCACTAGATATGAACAGCAAAGTGAAAGATCCTTATTAAGAATATATATAATGATTGCTGTTAGATTTAAAAACAGCTTAAATCATTAAAATGTATTCCCAGCAGTATTTAAAATTATGAAATGAAACAGTGATTAAAATAGTGATGAACAGCAAGAAATGATGAAAATGAGCAGCCTTGTGCTTATGCTTGAGTCAAATGTGCAAATGTGCATCATAGCACTTACTGCAGAGTGGCCAATGTGCTGTAAAACTTCAGGTAATTACCCTCACAGCTGTGTGTTCATGAAACTGCACTGCTACCAGGTCTGGGATAGCTGGGTTAGTTGAAGCTCTGTCTGTGGCATTAGATAAATGTTTGTAGCCTGTACCTAACCCTACATGTTATCTGCTGATATAAATATATATAAGCAACTTCCACTACAACAATGCTTGATGCAACAGCTTCCAAAACAACCTTTTTCCATACTGTAATGTGTAATACCATATGTAGCATACAGTTTATAAGGATGCAGATTCTTAATGCAAGAAAACCTTTTTTTCTCATTTTAAAATTGTATAGCTCTGTTTTGATTCTGACCTTGCTTTCTCAATTTTTTCAGCTACAAGTGACTAGGATGTGTTGTGTTCAACCCCCTACCAGAAAGGAGTGCTCCAAATGTGGTATGTAGTGTCTTGTCCAGTCGCAGTCACCTAAACAGGCTCTACTTCAGGTGAGTGGGCTTATAGTTGTGGAGGCAGCCTCACTGCTCTGTTTTTTAGTATTCAGCTCTTCCAGGGAAAACTACAGCAAAATTGAGATTTTGTGGGTTTTTTCCCCACACAATTTAGTATAGAATTTCTTAATGAGACTCTTAACATCATGATCACAGTGCAGAGTGTAAGTTGGCTGGAGGAACTAACTCCTCAGCATCTCAGACGCACATTTGGTGCTATTGATTACATCAGCAAAATGATCGAAACTTTCTCTTAATGTCTTCAGAGCTTGCAGTAGCTTCTGTGACATGTTTGGGTTTAAAAGTAATTTGCTTATTGTAGAATTACATCAGATTTTCTAACCCACTTCTGCCCTGCAGTCTTTTGTGTGACTCTACAGACATAACAGTAGCTGAAGTGTTCATGTACTTTCTTGGATTTCTTTCTGCAGTTATAGACTTTGTGGCAGACCCAAACAAGTTTTGACTAAAATGTTGGTAATGCCTCCTTTCTGTTTTACTGTAATGTTATCACCATTAATATCACTGCAGTGGGTGAAATGGCACTGTTAGGATCATCTTAGTAAAAATGCTGAAGGTGAGCAGAATTTAAATGCCAAGTTTGCAAAGTATAAAAACAAACATAACAGGATTTCCTGTAAGGATGTTCCAAATATCTCCAGCCAAATCACGCAGAAAAGACAGACAAACACATGGCTATATCCATTTCTACTGCCCTTACTGGAACAGGCACCACCACAGCAGAACTGGACTCCAGTGCTGCACACATGATGTCTCTGAGGAGCGTAATGAAGTGATGCAGGCAGCTCAACACAATCTTCTTGGCTGCTCGGTTGAATATCTGAAGTTCTTCAACTAGCTGGGCATTTAGAGCCTCATAGTCTTTCTTTGCTAGGTCCAGCTCTTCTCCTGCTGACCTCTGAAAGCAGCTGTTATAGTCCAACAACTTGTCATAGCGCTTCTGGATGAGCTTTTGTGGGCCTGGGAACAAGGCCTGTAGTGCGGAGAGAGGAGCCAAAATGAGCTTGTCCAGTTGAACCATCTGGAAAAGTAAAAAGCAAACTTCCATCTTACTTGAAGTAAGAGGTTCAATTGCTGCATAGTAAAATTGCTGCATAGGCTGCAAATAGTACTTCACAAAGCATTGCTGTCAGCCTCAAGTGGGGGTCTAGCATGAGCTGGAAACTCCTTCASAACACTGCAAAATGGAGGCTTATTAAGTTAAAAGAATCTTAAATCGTAACAGTGAAATCGTAACAGTGCCTTGGAGTATGTAGCCTACAGTACTGCTGTCAGTGTATGATCACTAGAGAAAAACTGAGGCAAGGATTAGTGAAGGGGTCATGGGAACTACAAGAACTGAAATCAGTGTGCAGGTGAAATCCTGGTGCTTAGTGCCTGAGCCAGCTACTAACTTCATAACGTGACACTGGTCAAAGTGGGATTTCCATAATTATCATCTCAAGATAAAGTCTAGAGAAAATAAGGTCTTGGTAAATGGCATTCTTTCTGTTTAATGATATTAAAGTCTTGTGGGGTTTTGTCGCTTGTTTTTTTGTTTGTTTTCCGGAAACAGCTGTAACAAGCCCTGTTTCTGCAAACATGCGGGCAATCACTTGATTAAAATATGCTGTGCCTGTTTTTATTTCATTTTAACTCTTTATCTCCAGTAATAAGTAAATTAGGCAATGAGTGAAAGAGAATATTTTCCAGATCTTTCCATTAGTCTCAACAGATGAACACCACATGAGAAGTTTTACTCTTGTAGGTCACTTGTTCAAATACAGCACAAGCTTGTGATGAGTGAAACTCTGTCATGGTAAGGCTTGTTGTAGGACCAAGTCTGAGAATAAGTGGTGGGTGGCATTCCTCTCCTGTCTGTAACACCAGAGGAGCCAGAAGTGCTCCCCCAGAATATGTGCTGGCTAGGTAGTTTCCATTTTATTTCTACTTGAAAAACTAGGTTGTGTGTAGTAAAGCAATTTTTGATACATTAAGAAAACACTTCTTCAAAATGTTGCTCCTGATTAGTGGAAAAGGAGCTATTACAGCTTTTAGCCCTGAAACTGTCCCTAAAAAGAGGGGAGGAAAGTTGTCATTAACAGATGCATGAAGGGAATAATACAGCAAACTGGGCTCTTTGAGTTCTCCATTGATAACAACATCTCTTCAGGAAAAGATGAAAACACCATGGATTTTCATTGAGAACATCTGCTCATTATGCAAGGCTAGGAGAAACATTTTATTTTTTAATCTTATACATAAACCAGAGTTGTAAATCCAATAACACTGAAATGAAGAAAATGAATAAAAATAAAAATGGCTAATGAAGTCTATTGTTTACAATTTAAAATGCATGCTTGTTTAAAGCAAGTATATGGGCATTCATGMCAGTTGGGTCATGAGCCAGTAACAGGTACAAAGTTGTTTCTTTGTTTTTCTGTTTCTGCAGAGGAAGATGTCTTCCATATTGGATGCCGTTACCATTGCAGATATAGGAATTGCTTTTCTGCTTTTATGCGTTCATTTTAAAGAAAATGTCTTTTTGAAGATTAATTTGTAAGGTTCTTGTTAAATACAGGAACTTCAAAGGAAAAGAATGCAACATCTTATTTCTCTATCCTTATCTGGAAATAYGTGATTTGCTAGAGATCCATTTTTTGGTTTTTTTGAAAAGGATAAAGTAGCTGCAGCTTAGACACTACAGGCCTAAAACTATAAAAAAAAAAATCTTTTTGTTCAGCTTGAGCAGCTGTTGAAGCAGCAAGTGCTGTTTTAAAGATAGATTTTATTTATTTTAAAGATAGATTTTATTTTTGCCTAGTAGAATCAAGTATCATAGTTTACTTGGGCCTTGAAAGAAAGATGCTATTTCAAAAACTAATACATCTAAGTGTTTTTCATTGATTTTTAAATTTGAGCTATATCCAGATTTTGAAAGCTTTCCCTTTATAAAGGCTGTATATAAGTCTGTTTCTGAGAAATTTTATAGATAGGAGCTAATAGGAGCTAACTCTAGGAGCTCATGARTACAACAAAAATCACAAAACCCATTCTAAAACTGTGAGTGATTAAAAACTCCTAGCAAAAGCAGAGTTCTGCTCCAAACTGAGTTTTTTCTCACTTCATGTAGAAAYTCAACCTCCCCCAACTTTTCCCTGTGGCTTCCTAAGGTTGTTTCTTTGTTCTCCTCTATCCTGAATCTTCCCCACGTATACATTTTTCGCATACAGAGGTAACTGCAACACTGGATATTGCATAAACTTACAAGGTCTCCACAGAGATTTCTAGTGTTGTTCAGTTTAATTGAACTGTCATTGACTTCATTTTCTTTATCTTGCAAAATTTCTTGAAGCCCAATTATGTTCTGTGCAGCCAGATGTATGGAATCCTAAATGAGAAGATAGTACRAAGATGAAAATGTAGTATGATTTCTTTAATATACTGTATTCACTCATTTAGGCACTGTAAGAATATTGATAGAAATCAGAAATACTTTCCACTTGTGATATCTGTTTAGTTCATAGAACCATAGAATCACAGAATGCTTAAGGTTGGAAGGGACCTCAGAGGTCATCTAGTCCACCCCCGCCCCAGTATCAGTTTCTAATCATTGTGTGTCTACTGGGGCAATATTGCATTTTTTTCAACTATTTCTAATATTTTCCAACTATTTAAGGATAATGTTACTTTTTCTTTCAGACGAACATTAACCCAGAAACTACTGAGCTTCCCAATGCAGGCTAGCTGTGCTTCAGCAAGCAGCCAGCTCAAGACTCATGCAGCCTCCCAGGCCTGTTTTGGAGGACTAAGAAGGAATGAAGTGGTACTTTTCCCTTAGAGTGAATTTCAACCTTAATGAAGGGTGCATCCCTTTGGATAATGAACTGTCAGCATCATTGCAGTTAGCAACTCTGTTGGGTGAGTACACAGGACTTCTTTCTTGAATAGAACAAGGTATGTTTGGGATGAGCTCTGCTCAACTGATTGCTTCTTACCTCCTCCTTAAGCAAACCTGCAGTTTGAAGGACCTCATGCATTCTAACTGGTAACTCATCCACAAGAGGGAAAAGCAGGTAAGTCACAAGCAAAACAATGTTTTCCAAGAGGCAGATTAAAGTGAGGATGTATACAGCACTTTGATCACTCTGTAAACGTAATGCTATTCCCTGATTCAACACAGAGCATAAAGGAAGGAGTCTTTAGTCCAGTATGTGTTTTAGAAGGTAATTCACATGGCTGTAACATAATTCTGCACACTTTGAGAACAAGCAGTACGTGCTTCCCCTCAGCATGGGTGAGGCCTTGCTGTGAACTCAGTAATGCAGTAGAAGCACAATTTGTGTGCTACAAACTGTAATGCATATAGGCCTGCTTACTCTTAATTTGTTTCTCCCTAGCCAGTGTGCAGAGTGGGCAGAAATGGTTATGGATCTTGTTTGTGGCTAGATTTCATAAAAGCATGTACCTACCTGTAGATGCTGTGAGAAGAATGAAARGTTCTTCACGCAAAGTTTCACTGTCTTTTCTAAACTTCGAAACAGCTTTTCTTCCTTATTAAAAGTCTGATCTTTCACCTAAAATAGATGTTTGMACCTTTACTTTGGCAGTAGGAAGGAGCCTTGCTAATGAAAGGAAGGCTTGGAACTTTGTCGGAAATATCTAAAACTTTCCTTCAACATCTCCTTTTCAAGAAAGATTCTCTAATTTTCCCCAAGCTAACTATTCCAGCTTTCTTCTAAGAGAAGTTGAGGGGCTACATGACAGCCACCTTATTTTTTGCTAAGCGTTTTGGCAGGAGGGTACTAAGCACATCTGTATCAGCAAATCCCTTCATTTGCTCTGGACTAATGTCCCATTTGTGAAAATGTTGGTAAAAAAGAAAGCTACCACTACTGTCATGGCCCCGAGTGCTGGTTTTGGTGGCTGCTGGGGCCATTTCTCAGGAGGGCTGCAGGTGGTGCTGTTACCTCTAGAGCAGGACCTGCTTTTCTTGCCTGGTCATCTCACCTAGCTGGGAATGGGGTGGTTTTCTGCTCTCTGAAGAATCCCAGTGAATAAGTTTCTACCTGACTACTTTTGTTTTGAAACCTATGAGAAATCAAGGTGGGTTTCCAGTGGCTTTGCTGTAAGCATTGCAGTGTCTCAGATATAAACTGTGAGCTTTCGCAGTCTCCATAGGGTGTGGAGGGCTGAACTTTTAGCAGATATGCCCTATTTTGAAAGCCATTTGCATCTGTTTGCAAATGGAGTTTGCAAGCTGGAAAAAATATGTATTTTAATCTAAACAACAGAAAATAGACTGATAAAGGGAAGAAAAGGCTTAACTCTTCTTACACTCATGGAGCTACATTTGAATCTCTTATACTTTGTGTTCCTATTTGTAATGGAGTTTGGTGGGAAAAACAAGGAAAATACCAGAATTTCCCCTGTGCATATAAATGAATAGAAAAATGAATGTGGGTAGTTTGCGTCAGCCTAGGGGGGGGGAAACCGCTGATCAAGAACAAAACAGGGAAAAAAAAAAAAATCTTGAAAGGTCACATCTAGAAAGAAGTGACTGTATCAACTGTCTTGTGTAGTGAGATGCACCAGATACCATTGTCAAGGTCAGTTTTAGTTGATTTTATTTGAGATTTAGATATAAGACTTTGTAAAAAAGTTTTTCCTGACAGCTTTCRAATTACTTCAGAACTATGAGGGAGTATTTTATCTGGGGCCACCCACTGGATTTATGACAAAGTTCTTTGTCCCTGTTTTGACAGTTATAGTCTTTTACATGTTACACATGTAGAGGCAAACAGATTGCTTTGATCAGAAAATAAGTGTTATCAATCTTCTATGGTAAATTCAGGATTGAATGTTATGGTGTAGACTGAGGGACTGAGCATGTTATCAGCACCAGCTCCACTCATTGCCAGCTGATCTCAGCATGAGCTTCATAAAACTGCTGGTCACTTCCTCTCTGAAGATGTTACAAAAACTTAGATGCAAAAGGAAAGGTATAAAACACACTAGGTTATTCTCTCTTTCACTCAGAATGATCTTTTTTGATCATTCAGAAAGTGACTTTATGGATGATGCAGAAAAGCAAAACCCCAAATCTATTTCTAATCATTGGGGTGGAGGGGGGAAGAGGGGAAAATGTGCAAAACCAGAACTGCCAATGCAAATGGGAGAGTTGGTACCTGAGGCTCTCCTCCTGTCAGTATTTTCAGATGGCTGGTGACCCTCTTGGACTTCTTGCTAATGGAGTGAATATTCAGTCGGGAGAACTTTTCTTTAAGGGATTCATCATCATCACTTCTCTTATACTTCAGTACTGCAGACAGAGAATTTCATAACATAAATAATATCCCAAGGTTCACAGAGTTGGCCATACAAATATGAAGCCATTGAGGCCATATGAAGTGACTGATATCACTTGCAGTAATCTCATGTGAAAATACCTGAGATGATGAAAACCTTGTTATTAATCCTTGTCTTGGGAAGAGTACTAAGGCTTCAAATGACAAGTCTGTAAGAAATCACTACTGTCCTAATTATTAGGACAACTGCATTACTGCCGATGAACATAGATATACATGGATTTTGTCTTTCATTTTTTTATGGAGTCTGTGGCCCCTGTAAGATAACATAGCTGGTAGAGGACATGCAGCATCAAGACATTTACTTACTTTTGTAAAGCTTAGCGTAGAGCTTAAGTAGCACCCACCAAAACTGCAGTATGACTGAACTTGAAACTCTCTTTAATCTCATGCCTTTTTCTTACCTAAGTCTTTCCTCCTTTTGAATTCATTAATGTTCACATTAATGTTCTTCATAGCAGAAAGGGCATCTTGTAATGCCTTATGGTCAGGGTGAGAAGCAGGAGTTGAATTCAGGAGTTCACAGAGTAACAGTGGATATTTCATCACCCGTTGTACTGGTTTGATCATCAGGGAWCCCATGTCCATTAGATTTGGCTTTCCTCTGTAATTTATACAAAAAGAAATTGTCACAAACTCCTTTTAGACAAAAATTTTTCRTTATTGTTTTCAAGTTATTTAAGCTGTTGCTGCTTCTACTGTTCAGTTAAGCTTTCAGCCACACAAAATACCAAAACCAGAGCACCACTTTGCACTGAGTCATAGAGATGCAATTACCACTTATGTCAAAAGTAAGACACATCTGTCAGGGAACATGGGCAGTTGTAAATGAAACCATCTTCTCACCCCCTCAGTGAGACAGCTCTGAGTTTTCTGTATTTTCAGCAATTTGCCAGACTATTGGTTAGACGTTACCTCTGAAATTGTCCCACTCAGTCTGAGGGGGTGTATATGGCACAACTTAAATACCATGACACCAAAGAAGGGAGACGTAGGTGGAAAAAAAACAAATAACAGGAAGTTTAAGAAATGCATGTAAGTGGGGGTGTAAGCAGTGGCTATTACATCCTGTTATGGCCCTTCAACACTGTAATGTCTCATCCTATGAGTAACTGGGATGCCTCTGTGTGCTGCTGCATCCTTCACAATGCCTCCTACCTTGCCACTGGGACCCTTTTACCTTCTGTATTTCCCTACTGCATTCCAGTAGGTTATATCTAATGGTTAGAGGCTGTGCAATTTGCAGACCAGTTCTTCCAAATCTGGAAGGAAACACAGAGAGAGGGCAGGCGTGTCCATGGGCATTTTCACTTCCTTCCCTGGGGCTGCCAGCCCCAAAGGGCCCTGGCAAGGCAGGGAGCACCAGGGGACCAAGCCCTGCGGTCGGGGCTGGCGGCCGCTCGGCCTGTGACTTRGTCTTTGCCTGGGGAAAGCTGTTCTGCTGCAGTGGCACAATTTTGAATTTTGCCACCTGTAAGGATGAGGACAAACACACTTTCTTGTACTTGGGCCACAGATAACAAAATTCAATGTTAGTGGGGAGCTTCAAACTAGCCCTGCTCCCTACTACTTCTGTAATGCTGCAAAGCTGAGCCACACAACAGCAGCAGCAGCTCACGTTGTGCTTCTTGGCAGCTCAGTGCCAGAAGGATCTGTTTCCCCTCCTTATGAGAGCACCCTCCTGAGCAAACTGGGAAATGCTCTGCTACCAGCGCTGGTGTGACCTGTGGGCAACCCACAGACCTCCCCTTGGAAACTCAGAGTGAACTCCTGGCAGCAATGCAGGACCAGAGCACAGGAACACAGACCAGAGCTTTCCCTTTGCATGCCTGAAAAGGCTATCTTGGAGAGAAAAGGGTTGCCAAAAGTGAGTACAGGCACCATAATGCTAGAGGGAGAAGGATTTCTGAATGTAGAAAGATAAGGAAATCACACAATATAGAAGGAAAGTGCAAAAAGCACCATTTGGTTTTGCAGGCTGCTATCTATTGTTCTGTGTAGCAGGAGGAGTAAAAGAAGGGGAAAAGGCTTTCATTCCCACTTTTATAGATGTATGTATATATAAATAACAAGAGCCAATCCTTACAGCTGACTAATTAACTGACAATTTGAATGCCTTTGAAAAGAGGCATCTGCATATTTAAACCATCTCTCTCGCAGAGCCATTATCCGTAAAAGTTCTGCATGGGAAAAAAAATTAACAGTAGATGCCTTTTAAGGCTTTTTGATGTCTCTAAACTTTCTCCTCATTTCAATACTGCTCACTTCCCCTGTATCCTACATTAAATATAGAGAGCTATTTTCCCTTCTTTCAGTTTCTGGCAGCAATAATGTAGGGGAGAAAAAAAAACTTAAATTGTTATTGTTTTCTCTGAAAAGGCCCATGAATGCAAATCTATAAAAGCTGCCTCATGAATGGGAAAAGTCTTCAAGTGTCTTCTCTTTATATAGTTGCACTTTGGACAGCTGCCCAAGTGATAAACAGCCCTCTGTTCACATATCTGCATGACAGTCTAGCAATATGGTCTGGAAGATAGTAGGTTTGTTATAAGATAATGACTCCCTGGGGCTACTAAATGCTGCGAAGTTCAACTCATCTGATTGTCCCCAGCAAGACTATCTGCTGATAATGACTCTCCCCAGATAAGTCCCATTTCTGACAGGACCCTGGCAGGACGTGGCCTTGCCATGCAGCCGAAACAGATGTGTAACAGCTGGCGACATCCATCATGCAGAAAATAAAGTTGCTAATTCATTTGCACTGCTACCTCGGCCACCCCGTCTTACCGTGAGTTTAGCAAGTATTCTAGGCYGTAAGTAGTTGTACTAATCCTGTTGCAAATTATTTCTGTGGCTCTGCAGTAAACGTGGCTGTGTTAACTGCAGTGAGCTTCGACACATCCCGTTTCTTCTTCCACGCAACAAAATAAGGTCTCAAATACAAAAAAAGAGTCCTAAGAAAGCATGTTGTGGAAATCTATGCTGAGATAGGTGGTTTGATACCGTTTCACATTCTCCCCTCCTCTCGCAGGTACTTCCAGTGTAGAACACGAGAGCCAGTATGATATATTGGGGCTGAGCCTGGTGTCATACTCTGCTTGGCAGTTTGGGAGCTGTACATGCACCGTAGCTTGCAAGATGATTTAAAAACTTGGGCTTTATGGTTTACTGGGTGTGAGTCGAGTCCATTTTAGTACAAAACACGTAGGGGAAATAATTTACCCTGCCTTATGGTTCTCATGCAAAGCCAGGGAATTCAGAGGCTGCACAGCTGTAAATCCAGGCAGGAGTTAACCTATCCTGCTGACAGCAAAGGGCAGCGTTGGTATTTATGTAATTGTTTTCTTTAACATGCTTGAATGTAAAAGGATCTGGGACCAGTGACATTGCAGATGGGTTAGGGTGAGCTACGCTCTACTTCCTAGTTCAGCATTAAGTCAGTTTTTAGGCACAGTCCTACCCAGCAGCTGCCGAGACTCCACAAGTTCTACACATGGGAGATGACATTTCTGAGTGACTTTTTTGATAGTTTTCTGGTTAGGGAATCATGTAATTGCAGCAAGTTGTATCCTAGACTCTATTAGAAAAAGTGTTTGAAGGAAGTAACTGGACATTTATTTCTGAATAGGGTTATGAAAGTCAGAGCAGGCAGTCTTGTGCTATTTCTCTGTTGCTATCTTATATGATCTTATGGGTATATTTTACATATCTGTATCCCCCTTAAAGCCCCAGGTCTCTGAGAAAGAAGATCCAAGATTTTCTTTATTGAAACCCTAAACCAAAACACTTTCTTAGTGTTGCATGAAGCTCAAAAACCCTATCTTTAGAGGTTGAAAATGCAATCCTTCAGTGCCTGTTTATTGATCAAGATTATTTTTACACTGATCTCCTTTTTGATGTGTGACTGACAGATTGACAAATTCTTCGACCTTACAGATGTTCYTCTCCTGCCCACAGAAAGGACACATGGCCTTTTCTTTCTTAATATTTCTGCCTGGGACTTAATCATTTTCTTCAGTTCAGCTAACCCTTTCTTTGGCCTCTCTGTGCAGGTAACTTGTGGATTTGTTGCATTTCCATCATGTTGACCTGCTGGATGTCCAGAAACTGCAGCCTTGGACTCAACTCTCTTTTAAGGCTTTCCAAAGAGACAACATTTGGCTCAGAAGTCCCTCAACCACAGCTCACTGGAGACTGGGCAAGTACTGTGGCAAAGCGTGATTAGACACTTGTTCTCTTCTAATGTTCTTCCAGGCCCTTTGTCAGAAGGAAAATCCTGGGAAAGATGAACCTCTTATGCTTGGGGCTACAGARAGTTGTCACTTCAGAAATAGCTTTATATACAAACCTAATGTATGTTTAGTAGGTTTACCGAGGCCTGTACAAAATGATTTCAGGACTCCTGGACTTCAAAGCCCTCACTGTGCTCTTGAGAAGTGCCCCTGAGAACCTCAGAACTCCCTGGGCAGGTCTAATAGACAGCAAGGTGATAATAAGGGGGCCCTTAATGGGTTGGCAAGCAGATTAAATAGCTTCACAAAGCACAAGTTTGGGAGGATGCTGCAAAGCTGGTGCAGTGCTAATTGGAAAAGCAGTCAATTRCAGAAATTAAAAGTGAAGCCTTTGTCATTTATGTCCTGGAGAAATCTATGGGTTATGCTGAAACAAAATGCTTGTGTTCTTAATATTTCCAAATATGCAGTTTTAAGTATATTTAAGATAAAAATAATTAAAATATTATTTTACACTTGAAAAAGGCATAGTACTTACTCTTTGTCGTATATCTTTCTGTAAAAGGAGAAAAAAGAACACATATTAGCTTCCCCTGAAAGGATATATACCAATCATGGGCCGGATTTGCTGATCCACTTCAGTGACACCGAGCAGCCATAACTGGCCAGTTAAGTGAGGTTTATGGCTGCTGTGTGTCAGCACAACTGCACGAAACGGCCAGAGGGCACCAGTGAATCTGGCCCTATATCTTTTTGAAAAGACAGGCCAAATGAGAAAGGACTGTCAGGAACCTGGCTTTACTTACCCTTCCAACAGTATTAAGACATGTTATTCTTATACAGTTAAAACATGTAATTCTTAGGCTTTATAAACACTTCCCTCTATTTAAATATAAATGAGAAATCTAAATGAGAAAGAATCGTTTCAGTCTTTTAGGATATAGATCCAATAGCTATGCTAAGTTCTTTTTGTATGATACAGTTTCAGCTGAAACCTCTTTATAGTTGAATAGAGCCTATATACGTAGTGAAAACAGCAGGGAGATACAGCTCAAGTTTGGAAACACTCAGATATGCACAAAGAAAGCTRTCTTTATGGTGTGATTAAATTTAGAGAAGATGATCCAAATGCATGGGAACCAAAATGTCCCCCCTGCCTTGTCCACAAGGACTGAGTGTGAGTCTGAAGCAGCTGCTTTCATTGCTTCTGTGCTGTCAGCTCTGGGAGTGCGTGTGGTGTCTCCCTGCCCTTATAATAGTTGGCCAAGCTCCTTCAGACTGAAAGCAGCGCAGGTAGTTGCCATTATCCTTTCATTTTTGCCAGCTGCATTTCTTTGGCCAAGCTAGCAAGCAACATCCCCGGCTTCCATAATTGCTGCTGAAACTGGGAATTCTGCGCATCTGGTTTTTACACACATTTCCAAGGCAGGTACCTACATCTTGGGAAGGAATTTCTCGCCTCAGTCAGCAGGAAGAATGGGAATCTGGGCCTGGCTAATTAAACCTGATTTGCCTGTACAGATGTGCAGAGTGCCACACTCAAGATGCTCACAATACAGAAGTCATTTTTAACACAGCAGGTGCAGTTTAGCTGAGGAAGAGAAGCCCACAGTAAAGTCAGCCCTTTTCACCTTTTTGAAAATGTGACAATATTCTTCCCAAGGGAAACAATATTTAMGAAGTAAACACTGCTCATGAGTAGCAGTCAGTGGTCCCTGAATACACTRTATCTCTCAATGGAAAACAGTCTGTAACTTACTCGAGAAGGGTGCTGCATGAATTTCCTCCTAAGACAAGTATTCTCTAACAAGTAGTAACAGGTCTAGATAACCACAGCTCCCTATTTGAATGTGTACTTTCAGGCTTAACATTTCAATTGGCTGCAATTTTTAGCTACYGGGGAAAAAATACATAGTAGATGTAATGGTGGGGTTTTGATGGTTTGTGTGTGTGTGTGGGTGGTTCCCCTCTCCTCCCGGTTTAAAGGCTCATAGGAAAGAACAAGATAAAGGCTTCATTGTGAGGTAGTTTTTGTCACTTCCTGCTAGCCAAGGCTACAATGGCTCAGCAGAAAATATCCTTTCTGTTCACAGATCCCAGCTGTGATACTGGAACGGGTGCTTCTCTTACTGCTCTAGAATCGAAGCGGCAGCCTCTGCCCTTACAGGCACTATCTTTTAACCTTATTTCCTTCCACAGTTTCTTGCCTCAGCAGTGGGGATGAGTGAATGACAGCTGAAGCTTCTCTTGATTAGATGGAAAAAATATTGTAGGAGTCAGCAAGTGAAACACCCCCTTAGGGAAGATRCCTGGCTATCCATTAGCTTGAAAGTCGAAAATCTATTTCTTCYAACTTACAGCCTGCTAAAGCAGGGTAGCATCCTGCACTTGTACTTTCTTAGGTATTTAATAACCAGACATGTTGCCTTATTACAAAGAAGCCTTATTTTTGACACAGCTGGTCTTCTAAGTAAATACTTCTGGTTTTATTTGTTAATATGTTTCTCTAGTAGCTTTTCCAGATTTCATTCAGATATATTCCTTATGCCCTAAGTCTTAACACCTCTCTACAGACTGGTCATTAGCTTAAGTGTAGCAGAAATGTCTGTCATGGGTGCACATGCCAATAATTGATAGTTTTACACATCTCCTTGGGAGCATGCAACAGGGGCCCTTTCTAGAGGTCGACTTCTGATCTGAAATGCAGCGCTTCAAGGAAAATGAAGGTGAAAGAGGATTTGCAGGGGGGAAGAGAAGTGCTCTCTCTGGAAAGGGTCTCATGGATCACATGACTGGATTCAAGGGGAAGTTACACTGGAGGAAAGATCCATTACTTTGCTGCACTCCAGTTCTCACCAGGATTTTTATCCAGAGCTGGAGACGGAGGCAAAGAAACTAAGCCGTTTTTGCTGTCTGAACATGACAGCTTCCTTCAACACCAGTCACTTTCAGAAATCCTCATCTGCAGGTATCCAGCACTGCAATAACTCCTTGTCCTGGGGACCTATAGCTGGGGCACAGAAACACCATCGCGTATTATTTTAATTCCAACAATAGAATTGCTGAAAATGGGAGCAGGATGTTTCCTAGGAGCTGGGCAAGGTGCTCCCAGCAGCCCATTATATGATGCAGCAYTTTTTTTGCCAGTATGGGGCACTGAAGCTAAGGGAACAGAAACCTTTCTTGTGCTATTTTTGGCCGTCTTAGAGAGAAAGAAATCTAATCATGGCCTCTGGCTTGTCATCTTCTCATGAAAGCAGCATAAGCCAGAGCTCCCAGCAAGCCTCATAAAACTCTGGATTTACAGGAGACCTTTCATCTACATCCATTTAAAATGTTCCCTGCCAGGCAACTGACTATGGATGGAAATCATCATTTGAAAAGATCTTACTTTAAGGACTGTACACAGTGTCTTAAATGCTGTTTCAGTTCTTCATCCTTTTCATAGGATTCCAGCATGGTGTGTGCATCATCGTACCGATAGCAGTAGATTTTATATGTGTCTTCTAGTGGGCCTTTAATCTGCAAGAACACTTCCCCTGTTAAAGAGAAAAACAAAGCGTGTCAAGCCAGACAACAGCGTCTCAGAAGGAGTTTTATTATTCCACCACATTAGCCGTGAGCTAAAAAGGCTGGTTTCCACTTTACTTTCCTCAGAAATGATCTGGTGTGTTTATGTGCATTATTTATTACATGTATTTCTCAGCTGCTTGTCTTTGTTGTAGCCAGGCAGCATTATATCAGTGTTAATGCACAAAAACTCCCTCAGGAAAAGGGAGGAAATCTCCATACGCTGCACTCCTTCACACACAGCCCCCTAATTCACTGCCCCAGCTTAATGCCCCTTCTATGAAAATCAACCAGCACAGCTTAACTCCTAAAGTGTGAGCATTTTTTGTTCTAGGCTTTAAGCATGCTAATTTTCCTTTTGACTTTTTTTTGAACTTGAATGAACTTAAATGAGTTATCACAGGAATAATGACTCCATTTCCCATTAGCCATTTCACTTTTATCATCTGTTTTGCAGAATCCTGAAATGGCAGTTGTTATGGCCTAGACTAGAGGGTTTTTTCACATGACAGAGGAACAGCCTCCACTTGTCCTCTAATTAAATACAACCACAGTCAGTTACAGCCATTTCAATAGACTATTTCAGTTTATAAACAACTGAAAGGRGAAAAACATTTACATCTCCAGTCCCTTACAACACCATTTCTTTCCTSAAAGAACAGTTGGGATTTTTAGAGGCACTAAAGTAGTATTACACTCACTTTATATTTAATTCTAGTGCCTGATTCTCTAAGCCTAGAATTCCTGTGCTGGTGCCTGTGTATGTGAGAAATACTATGTGACTGGAAAAGGCAGGCTTTTCCCCTTTTGCCAAGATACTCATTCTTACACCCATATCTGATCAACATCCTTGCAAATGCATCTAATAAACAGCCACCACAGTGAAAAACTACTGTCTGAAGCACTTATGAAAAATTACATGCGTATGGTAACCAGTCAGATGTGTTTGAAGCATTCCTGTTGAGTTACAGCGAAGCTGATSAAAGTTAAAAGCCAAGCACTGCCACTAATTGGGTGCTCTCCGTTCATTTGCGGGGCGAGCACAGAGCTGTCAGGCATCCTGCATGTTTCATCCTGACCAGAGCGGGCTGCTCCACAACACGGTGCAGTGAACTGCTCCGTCTTAAAGTGAAAAATGAGTCAGTTACCACAGTAACACAGCTCGGGGTTTTCTTCCCCTAGCAGTGAAGGTTAACTGGGCTGTCTCATGCACGGTGGTTTCAAGGTGTGAATGAGGGAACAACAATGATTGAGCTGAGACCGCGGAAGTTCATTTTAGTTAGTGTAGGGCCGCAGTCAGAAAAGCACCAGCATCCCATACTCAGATGCTCTTTGGCTGTCTCACATCTCCGTCTCCTCTGCCTCTTGCTGAATGCTAATGCTGACTGCTGGAAACACACCCTGCATCCCGGCGTTCCCAGGAACTGGGAATAAAGATTCCAGCGCTGTATGGGATCTCCAGCAAGCTTCCCTGCGATCCTGCTCCCTGGGCACCTGCTTCTCAGGGCTGCTGCCTTCCCACAGCTTTCCCTAACTTCAGCCGGAGCACCAAGTGCTCAGTGTGGCCCTTAGTATGCGAAACCTACCAAGAGAGGTCATATTTTCCATGGCAAAAATGCAAAATGCAGACTTACTGCTTGTTTCATCATACACTAGAGGCAGAAAATTATCATGTTCTCCTCCAGAATGGAGAGRTGAACAATATCTGTTCATTAATGCCTCGTCCCTTGATGACAAATATTTTTGCTGATGCTAAGTGATGAAAAAAGTGATGTGCTGGTTTCATAGGCAGGTCCGTCTCAGAGCAGGCATATTTCAAGCCTGAAGCTCTTCTTGGTCCTGCACTGTATGGCCAGAACCTGCTGCCCTGGGCAGACCACTGTGGGCTTGCTATATGGGCCAAAAATGGATTGTTTGGGGGCACAGGTTTAAACATACTCTGAATTCTGTGCACACTCTGATGAAACCATATTTGCTTGATGCCTACTCTTGAGTGTGATAGTCAGACAATCCTGACGAAAAAATCCTAGGAACAAGGCCTGACCAACAGAAACAATTTCTCCCTATGGCTTTCAGTGGAGCCTTCTGCTTCAACGGCAAAGGAAGATGGAGAAAGAAGGAACAGAATGACAATAATGAAGCTAGGATAACACCTAAACCATCATATTCCTCCACACACAGTGACTGGAACAGAGAGGGAAAAAAAGAGAGAATCGGAAAGGGCAATTGTGTCTCTGCTGTGCATAGCTTTAGAAGACCAAACAACACAAGGTATGTGTCTACATTAGCATTATAGCTCAGATTAGGAGAGTGCTCTCAGTAATTCCTGTTAGAATATGTTAAATCTGTCAGAATATGATGGGTACATTAAACAGATTGTCACCAGCCCACTTTTTCCAGGGACTGGTTTTAACAACCTTTACACCGACTGTGAGGCTTCTGAAGACAAAAGGATCCTCTCCTATACTCTTGGAGGATGACAAACACTAAGTTACTGTTTATAGTCATGCAGTCATTCCCCCTGCTCCTCTCTTAATTTTGGGAAGAACTGCTCACACCTTATTTTCCAGTTCTTTCCTTGTCATACTTTACCCAAGTCTCTGATCTAAAATCCCATACATTCTCGTGGCTCTTTGTCTGGTTCTGGGGAAGCACACCTCACAAACTGATGAAATTGTCTGTCTTCTTCTGGATGTGGCAGGGAGCTAAGAGGATGATTCCCCTTGCTGTGAAGAAAGCCACTTCCTGCTAGAACAGAACATTGCTTATTAAGGGTATGACTCATCGTGATGCACTTTTTATTGAAATATTGCCAAACAACAGTCTCATCAAACCATGTTAAGCTGTTGCCCTGGCAAATCAGATTGAGATGTGCTAGGATTAATGCATTTTCCCAAGCCTTGTATGCTTCAGAATCATGTTACTTAGTCAAAATGGCAACTGATAATCTTTTGCTCCATTTATTTGGCAAGAGGAGGGGCTCTTTCTGCAGCATGCTACGTGTGGTCTATGGTGTATATGGTATATGAGGAAAGAATCTTTCTGACCTCTGAATCACAGCTGAAAAGTTTTTAAACTAAACTGGGTGGCTTTACTGAAGCAAATTAAGAACTCTCACCTGATCCTTTAAAGCGGCTCAGCTACTGCCTCTGCATTTAAGCAGCAGTTAAGGGAGAGCCAATGGACAGTAACAGACGTCTCTCCAGCTGTGTCGGAGGAACAAGYGAATAGATCACAGCCCCAGCATTCCTGTCCTCAACTGCAGAGCACGTGATTGCCGTGACAGAGCCAGGGGTAATCCACTTACTAGAAATAGCCATAATCCGAAAAGACATACCTACACAGTTACAGCTTTCTGTGCTGACCACGTCCATGTTAAAAACACTTAACCATCTCTTGTGTGAATTATAACGTATATAATTCTATATATAGATAATAGACTATAGGTGGGGAGGATATAACAAGGGGAGTAGGCCTGAGGGTAAAGGGAGGTTAAAAAGGTACGTTAGGAGTGATAAAATTATCAGAATCTCCTGGATGATTGAAAGTATTAGAAGTTACAAAGAAATGCCCTTAAYTTGCTTTACGTTTYCCCAAAACTTTTCCAATATTTTTGTGAAATATTATTGAAAGGAGGTAGAATTATTGTGAGCTATGAAATTGGAAGGAAAACRTCGTCCTTATTTAGGACATCTCCTGCAGTATTTGAGAGCTGTTGCTGTCCCTGTTTCGTAGCAAGGTCATTTCTGTCAATACCATCCAGATGTCTGTCCTCAGGGTCTGTCTAAACATGGTTTTCCCTGCGAGCAGGGCCCCACTCTGGTGCCTTCACCTCCCTGTTTATTTTCTCTTGTTCTCCTCCCACTGCTTTTCAGTGTATTTTTCTTGATTCAACTCTCACATTCCATCAAATTTTGGATTTCTATCAGTTTAGCTCAGAAAGAAAGCAGCATGTATGCCCACTCCAAAGTACTGCTGTTGATTTTTCTTGTTTTCATTATGTTTTAATTGTTTTAGGTATTCATAACATTTGTCTTAAGGAGTATTTTGATATGTATGAGGCACAAAATGTCTAACATTAGGTGACCTTGCCATGTATTTCCCTGAATATCTACTGCTCAGGAGTAGGGTGAGAGTAAAGAGTGATCTGGAGGTCTTCAAAACCTGCCTGGATGCCACCCTSTGCCACGTGCTGTAGGTGTCCCTGCTTGAGCAGGAGGATTGGACTAGATGATTTYTAGAGGTCCCTTCCAACCTCAACCATTCTGTGATGGGTRTTTACCTTGTGTGTGTGATGTATTTACTACTCCAATCAGTATTTTTGTGCTTTGCTTGAATAGAAAATTACAAATATGCAATCTAAGAGAAAGTCTAAGTATCAGCAGAGTTGGGTAATATCAGGTTAGGTGAAAATGATATTATCAGTACATGGCCTAACTTGAGTGCCGCAGTTTTGCTGCAGTCAGATGTAATGTAAGAGCTGGTCTAAGTGTCAGCAGAGTTAAGTAATATCAAACTAGATGCAAATGATATTATCTATCTGGCATAACTTTGATGCTTTAGTTTTTACTCAAGTTAAACKCACTCTCTCATTCCCTCCTTCCCCTCAACATCCAGAAGGTTTGAGTCAGAGCACCACGATCAGGCCTGACACGGCAGACTGACTGGAGAGGCTCCACATTCCATGTTTCACTTATTACTGCAGACACCTGGAGGCACGTTAGTCTCTGCAAGTGGTACTAGCTAAGTCTGATGAAGGTAGTGGGCAGGAGAGCCTTATATTAATCCTTTCACGTGGCTTTGTAGAACTCAAGAGGATGCTAAACATACCGATTACTTGCATGGGTGGCTCCACATCTGCCGTGGCTTCCTCCAACAGTGACAGCAGTTTGGCTGATATTCGATGGACCGACTCGATGTTGCCGAACAAGCCGTCGACGTCCAAGCGAGCCATCTAATGGAATGGATAAATATTAAGCAGCTACTGACAAAGGATGAGGAAGGACACTGTGTATTACAGACCTTCTCTTGCTAATCCTTGAGTGTTCAACACTCCAGGAAACGCCACTTCTGCAAAACTTCATGTAAACATCCTTCTTGTGACTTCAAGGACACATAGGCAGTTTTCAGATTAGCATAACAAAAGGTATTTTACCAAGGGCTTTTAACTTATTTTGAACTATTCCTAATCTGAATGTGTCTACCCAGGAAGGAAATAAATATTATCATCTGACTAAAGAAAAGATCTTTAGTTGGCTTAAAAAAAAAGGTTTCTATATTTTCCCATAGAGAAGAAGAYGAGTTGCAGAATTTTTGGTTCTTTGACTACCAGTTGCTCCTAGAGGCTGCATGAACTGCTACATATATTGAGACTGGCGTGTGTTCATGCCAGGTATCAAGTATGTAGACTTTCAACAGAGGGTGGTACCATTTGAACTTAGTTATCCTATAAATCCAAAAGTACAATCAACACCACAGAATTTCCACTAAAACACACAGATTTACAATTATAGGCATTAATATAATCATAGAAGTCTTCCATGGAGAATGACTTCAGTGGCTYCAGTGAATTGCACCTGTTTATATCAACAGAAAATTTGGCGCTATATCCCTCTTCATTTTAAAGTAAATGCATATATTTTTTTCAGAACACAGTTTTCATACATCAATAATTAATTTCTGTGCACAGCAGGGTAATAATTAATATGTAAGGACAAGTGGAACTAAACTAATTTTTAACCCTTTGGAAATATGAAACAAATTCACTGCTCTGAGAATTTTTTAAATACTATACATCTCTAAATGCATTCCAAACTTCCCAATAACATAGTTTACCTTAGAAGCGGTCTTAAAACCATGTAGCATTCTTGAAAGGCTTTAAAATGCAGAAGTTATTAAATTAAGGGAGTTACAATCTCTTAAATTACTTTCCTGAATACATCTATGAAAAGACTTCTGATCTCTGCTCCAGCATAATGTCTACAAAGTATTTGGAAATCTATTGTGCATATATATATATGCTTATATACATATCAACATAGACGGTGACAAAGGACAGCATCAGGACATATGCTTTCACTCGGCTTGAAAGGAGCAAAAGAATACAGGAAGCTTGTTCAAAATCCAATATTGTACTTGGTGTTGGCCAGGCCAAGGGAAGAGTCAAGTGCAGAATGCGTCTAAGTGGATGAGCAAGTGAGGAGGAAAAAGAAGTCAAGAAGTCCTTAAAGTTACCCTCACAGATGCCAGCTCTGCTGAAAACAGGTTGGAGCAAACTCGGTAAAGCTTTTTTTTTTTTTTTAATAAAATAAAATAGAATAAAATAAAATAAAATAAAATAAAATAAAATAAAATAAAATAAAATAAAATAAAATAAAATAAAATAAAATAAAATGTTGCAGGAGCTTAAATAGCACAGGCTTCAAGGAAAGTGGAAAGGAAAGAAAGGAAAGTGGATACCATTGGCCCATAAGCTCTTTTGCCTGAAAGATCATTTCTGAGCTATCCTTCTTAAGCTTAGCTTTGCTGAGTAAGATGCAAATCCCACTGGGCTGTCTGATATCTCACTGAAACTGTCTGAGAGGCTGGATGAAGTCATCCTGACAACTGAATATAACCTTGATGTGGAGATCTATGCCATTCCAGGCTGTTACCAAGGGAAATATTGCAGCGGGTTGATACTGCTTTGGAGGTGGCACTAACAGTGTGCCAGGGCATGGTACCAGGGTGATGACTGCCCAGCATCCTGTACTGTGGCACGGAGAAGCCAAAGCTCCTATTCCAGCCCAGGCCTAAYGAAAAGCTTAATAGAAACAGGATTAAAAAGAGGTTGGGTCCGGACTGCTCTCAAGGGAAGCCGTTTCCGTGAGCGCGTTCCCGCTCCAGGATCAATCCCGGCTCCGGCCCCGCGACGCTCGCGCCGACGCTGGCGCTTGCGTTCGTTCCCGTGCAAGCAGMGGGTGGGTGAGGGCAGGCCGTGCGGCCCCGCAGCTTACCTGCGCCTTTCTCAGGGGCTGAATCACCTCCCTCATGCACAGATCGAGGTCGCTGATATAGTCTTTTTCTGTCTGTATCAGCTCTGCAATGATTTTCACCCTCCTGGCCATCATCTGCCTGGCAATTTGGTCTTCGTTCTCCCGGGGCGAGGTGGCAGGGGAGCAGGACCCAGCCTGGGGGGCCATTTTTTCTGTTGAAAAAAAGTATTTAGAGGAGCGTTAGGACTTTGTCATCTTCACCTGCTTGTTGATGCAAGGGACTCCAAGGCCCTTTCTCCCTGGCTCTGCCTTCTCCTCTTAAAAGAAAACCTATCACGGAACACCTCTGCTCGGATATTATATACACAGACAGACATTTTCCATGGAGTATAAGACAGATGCTTGTCACACTGAAATCCAAGGGGGTTCGTACCCCACATTCCCTTCTGCTCCTTTGAAAATACAGCCTCACCCTGAAGTCTGCTATGATCTGGGGGGTAGGATAGGAACTGTGCTCCTGTGAAGGAAAAAAAGAAGTTTGTGTTTACCACACCTAAGCTGCACTGGAATAATCTTTTCTCTGGAAAATGCAGTGTTGAGGTGTGTTTATGGGAGGCTGAGGCCTGTAAGTACTGGAAGATGCTCTTTCAAATGATAATAATGATAGTAATGATGGCAGTGGAACTTGTAATTCTGTTTGAAAGGATCCATTTGAAAGAGATAAAAGAATGACAGGAGAATAAGTCTTTAAAGACTGATAATATTTCTTGAGACGTGAGAGATCATTGGGATCAGGGTAACCTTAACTGTTTTTCCATACTTAACACCTAAAATACCTGTTTTGTTCCAAAATCAAGGAAATGGAAGAGAATCTTGTGCAGACCAGCAGTCTGCACATGTTACCATGTTACCACTGGGCCCATCCTGCTTCTCTGTGATGACCCTCTTCCCTCTTGCTGGCTCTCAAGCCGCTCTGCGGACACTTGCCTCACCTATTTGATGAGCAAGGCACAACACTTTATGTGCCTGCACTGCCAATCTGCGTATTTTCCATTGGGCAAAACACTGAAAGCGAGCAGAAAACATAGTGGGTATTCTGGTGTTTTACTGCCAGCCACAAGATGGTGCAGAGCACCAGCAAAGATGGACACAACATCACCGTTTGCAACCCTGCATTGCCCAGACTGCGGCTTGACAGCCCACGGTTTATTCCTTACTGACAACAGATGGAAATCTTGGATGAGGATGAGGGTCACCTTCTCGTGAGAATGGTCTTGCACGCAGGGCCCCTGGCGAGCAGCAGCCAGAACTCCAGGAGCCGATAACCGGCACTTGGTGTCTTGACACATCGGGTGGATTTTCAAGGGTGGATTTTTGTCACGGGTGCACAGTGAGTGTCGCTGCTCACCAGGCCACGATGGGCAAGGTTCGGGGATTGACAACCTGCGGCTGAACTTGGAAGAAAACCAAGCGACTTGCGAGAGAGAGGGCTCGAAGCTGTCATCCCCTGAAAGCTGTCGACACTGTAAAACCACTGCTGCCTCCTCAGCCCCTTACACAATTACACTGACCACTGAAACTCAGACAAGACAGTGTGGTGGTTAGTATAAAGCAGCCACGAATGTTTTGTCCCCAAGCTCCTACACCGATGTGACAAGATGTTTTCCTCTCCCCARGGTCTGGGCTGACTTCTCGGCTGGATCCTGCTCCTGCGAGCACCCAACGGAGCACCCATCAGCATCCAGCCTCCTCCGCAGGGGGCCGCTCATCCCTAAAGATGTGGGGAAGTGGGAGACACGACCTGTCCTTACTTTGGTGAAAAGTAGGGTGAAAGAAGTGCTGCTAYCACATCGTGGCTCCCCCAACAAATGTCCTGCCAGCGCCTCAAAATGAGACCTCCATGTCAGCTGTGTGCCTGCTCAAATGGGACAGTAGCTACATCTAAAATTGTGGTATGTAGCCATGAACTTGCAATGAACCACAGAACCATCCATTTCCATTCCATTTCTGCACCAAAACCAACGTTTTTCTTGAGATCAGGTGTGAAACAGTGCATGCGTGTGCACACATGCACACATGAGAGTTGCACGGGATAATTCCCCAAGAAGAGCACAGAGGACAGGACCACCTGGAAGGCATTGGAAGTGCCTCCTGGCCTTCGCCACAGCACTGTGGCGATATCGGACAGCACGCAAAGGTAAACACAGGATGCTCGGCACAGGGACTTTCTAATCTTCTCTACTGAGGGCATAACTTGAACAAGATAAAGCCGGCGCATCCCACTCTGGGGTCCAAGCTGCAATTCTGAGAGTGGCTGTTCTTTCAGGTTTATGTCGCTAGATTGCCTTGATCAAATCTGATATCTGAATTATGTCATGGCCCATCTATTACCCTCTTGCATGATAGATAATAATGCCAGGAAATAAAAACTATTCTCAACAGGAAGAAGTAACTGTGAAAAATATCAAGGAGATGCTGTTTCTGCACATAAAACATGTTTTTCTATAAATGTATCCTTTTGTTAAAAGTAATATAATTTTCCATTTCACTCAATATGTTCACTTTTTCATTTTAGACATGTCTGTCTCTACAGAATGCAAGAGCAAGACACTAAAGTGATCATTACAGCCAAAACCTGTGATTTTACATTCAAGCAATTGCTTTTGACCACTTTGAGAACATTAGTAGCTTGCTGAAATCCTTGTGGAACAAAGGAAAGTTCAATGAATGCAGAAACATCAAGTGCATATTTGGAATATTAGCATGCTTGTTTCTACCTGCTATGTGTACTAACAGCCAAACCATTTSAGGGAGGATTAGCAAGAAGAGACCTTGCTGAGGTTTAACCATTTTGGTTAGAATTTGGCTGATTTATCCTTGGAGATGCCAGTTTAGGTGTGTGTGGGGGGGAAAGTTATTTGTTGAATGGTTTATCCATCAAGTATGTCTGAAGACTAGTTTACAGAAATGTGGTTGCTACTTTCAACAGATACAAAAAATGTATAYGAACTTGTAGGTCTGCACTGCTTTTTGGCATTAGTTTGCAGYGGTTGCCTTGCTCCAGGACTTTGCTTTGGTGGGGAAAAGGCAGGCAATGACTTTGGTTTTTCAGCTGATCTACTGAAGGACACAGCTTTAGTCACACAACACGAGAGGTTTCTATATGACGCGGACAAAGCAGCTACACAAATTAGAAAAATAAGAATTTCTGAAAGCATGAAGTCTCCAAGTAGCCCCCAGATGGAGACATCCAGCAGCACAACGGGCGCCCAGAGGAGAAGCGGCTGCGGCGGGTGCAGCCGCAGCGGGAGGGAAGCCACCGGCCCGGGGTCGGGCTGCAAAGGCAGCGGCGCCGACGCCGAGCGCGTTGCGGGCCGCTCCGCTGCGCGAGCTGCGTCTCGGGGACCCGCGGGGAAGGCAAGCTCTGCCCTCGCGCTGCGCAGACAGGGGAGTTTCACCTGGCATGCAGGAGCAGGGTGAAGGCGGGAGCTAAAACCACACGGCAAACAAATTACAAGGTTACTGCATTGTCACGTGTGAAACCGGAGTCTCGCACCACCTTGGATAAAACTATTGTTCTGCAGAAGCGAGYCCTCAGGTAGCCGGTACCCTCAGGTAACCTGCAGATTACACATGGGAACGCACACCATTTTTATCAGGTGGCTTCACCTGTACTGCACACAGTTCTTATGGTGCAAACTGGAAGAACTCACACACGGGCACGCAAATACAGAAGGACTGAGTGGGACGGTGGATAAGCATCCTTCTTTTTGTTTCCACACACATATAACAGCAGTATTGTTCGGGATCAGGATTTCTGCACGTAAGCTGCGGTTAGCCATGCAAAAAGCCCCTTCTTTTTTCAACACAGAAGGGGAATGCTGCCGGACCAGAAAGGCCTTGTGCCAGCGGCGGCGGACGTGGCGCTCGCAGTGCTGGCGGCTCAGATGCTACCCGTGCGCGAGGCAGGCAGGGCCCCGCGGGCGCAGGCACCTCGCGAGGTTTGCCATGGACTAGCTGTGCAGCGTGGGCGGCCCACAGAGTGTTTTGCTCAATACAGTTCAGAAAAGGATCCCTAAACCTCTTGGAGTCCTCATCTTCTCTCCCTGAGCCCAGCTGTTCTTGCAGTCCCTAGGAGCCCTCCTTAGAGAAGTGATGCTTCCATTTGGCTGATGGAAAAGATATATAGAACAGAGATATATATGGCTTGATCCAGGTATTCCTGGACCAAGAATAAATCTGCAAGAATAAAATCCAAGAATAGAAAATACAATCTGGTATAACCATCCCATTAAGCTGCCATTGGATAGTAATGCTTATTTCACCCTGATTTCAAATGAGGCCAACCGTACCTAGTTACCCACGGGATGAACTGGGCGGGGGGGGCGGAACTCTAATGTTTGCCAAGCCCTTCCAGCAGGATATAATGGTTACTTTGCACCTTGTTTCCTCTTTAAAAACAAGTAAAAGCTGGAAGCCTCAAGGTCCATTCACACCAGATAAGGTGGTGAAGGAATACTAAAGGAATGGGAGGGGTAACTAAACACAGCTTTCCAACCAATTGGCTTGAGGAGCAAGGACAAATTGTTGCTGCTTGTATCTTCTGGCAAAACATTTACCATTTCAGAGTGATCGGGGCCACTGGACCTGGAGACACCCAACAGCCTAYGCCACCAACAAGGGCTGCAGGGTTTTCTTACCAAAACCAAAGAACTTAAATGCTTTGTGCCAGCACAAACGCTTCCCRTATCTTGAAGCAGACTATCTCTCTCGTAAGAAAAATGGAGCAGACAAAGGCCTGCAGGCGCAGCACATCATCCGCGCTGGTGGGTAACACATTAGGCCTGTGATCCAAGATCATTACTATCAGATGCCGGCACATCTGGCGCACCCAAATGCGATCCAGATCAGGCCTTGGCACCRCGCTGCATTTCTTTCTGTTGATACAGTGAGCTCACGGCAGAGGAATTTCTATCGGCTGTAGATTTTTACTGCGAGGATAAACGACTCCTAATCCAATATAAAGCCCGCAGGTACCTTGTTAACCCATCAAYGTTTTCCTTAACGCATGTGCCTAAGCAGGGGGAGCCTGTGGCAGAGCAGAGCTTTGCGATCAGTGGCCGCGGCAGCCTTCAGCTGGTGGCAGGAGCCGTAAAGCCGGATTTACCGTCTTGTTGGACGGCTGCCATAGACATAACCCAAGGCTGCCGTGGCTGCGGCGGCTTCCTCGCCCTCCCGAGCGCCCAGGGGACACTTGGGGCGCAAAAACGCAAGACTCGATACGGCGAAATCTCCTGCTTTTTGTGGGATCCCATTCCAGGCACCACATCACTTTGCAGGAGTGCTAAGTTACCTTGCCAGGGCAAACCCATCACGAGTAAAGCTGCTCTTCTGGAGAATCAAATGCATTTTCAGCACAGCCTTGCCTGCCCAGACACATTAATCTCTGCTTACACCCCAAAACTCCTGCAATGGGGGCTTTCAGGGCAGGCCTGACTATATGAGGATTTCTCATAGTCCTATTGATTAGCTATCAGTAGGAAGGAACCAGGTAATCAATGAACCTCTTTGTTATTTTCAACAAATGCGGCCTCCATATAAATCGCATTACTTTCTGTTTTATTATTTCATTTTCTGCTTTTATTGTCTCTCTGAAGGAACGCTATTTCCTAATTAAATGCATCAAAGCCATAATATAGTAACCTGAAGTATATTACTATTTTATTTCCCAGTAAAGGATTATTGCCACGAGAGTGACTGTCGCTAGGCGCTTTATGTCGCTATTAGTAATGAATGTTTATATTATAATATTACACAAAACCCTCATTTACGATGGTATCAGGGTTTAAGAACCTGAAAGCCCACGGACATTAGTCAGTTTGTGTTCCAGAGCACTCCTGGAAACAGCCACACACTTTTTTAACGTGGTTTTACTCGATTTATGGCATTGCATTTAATTTTTGATTGACAGGTTCATTGCTGACATCACTAGACCGTTTCTGGTGCCGATGCGGTCTGGGCCTCGGAGCAGACCGCTGCGTCCTTTGCAACGGCACAGCGTGGATCAGCGGATCCGCGCAACGCGGCGTCGAGGTCCCGCGGCAGCCCGGCGCGCTCCGCGACGCTCCCGCTACCTTGCAGCCTCTGGCTGTACTCGCTCCTGTCCGACTGACTCCTACGCAGGGTGCCGTGGTCCCCGCCGGCGGGGCCCTCCACCACGGGCTCCGTCCTCCTCCTCTCGCCCAGGTAGAGCTTGTGCCGCAGCAGGGCCAGGCTCCTCGCGGGGCCATCCCCGCTGGCCATGGCCGGCCTTGGCGCAGAGCGGAGCGGAGCCCGCCGGCGCGGCGCGTGGGGCGGCGTGTGGGGCGGCGGGCCCGGCCCTGCCACCTGTGCCGCGCGGCTCCACCCCCGCGAGCCCGCGCCCCGGGCAGCCTTTGCCTTCCCCTGCGGCGCTCCGGCCCGAGGGCTTCTCCAGAGGCCCGCCGGGAGCAAAGGGGAAGCAGGGGCAAGGGCCGGAGCGGAAGCGGCCGGGCACGAGGCCCCCACGCTGCCCCCCACGCCGCTCCCAGCGCCTGCGATTGCACCTGCCAAGTTCCCGGCCCCGCCGAGGGCTGCACCACACGCTGGAAACTCCTGATCTGCGGCTTTGCAGGGAGTCGGGTTCCCCAGCCAGAATCCACTGCTGGCAGGGCAGCGGTTTCCAGCCCAGGGAAGGGCCAGGAGCAGCCGGTGCGCACAGTGGCAACCCTGAAGGGTGCAAAGCACCCGTGGGGGCTGCCACAACACATCACTGCAAGCAGGGATGTGAGGTGGCCCTGGCACCCCAGCTCCCACTTTTGTTTTTCATTGAACAGTTCAATCTATGATGGTGTGTCCTCCTGAAAGCCCCCGATTTCCACCCAGCAGCAGAAAGGTGGTGAAATGGTTGTGCGACCACTATTTTGCACTGCAGCCGCTGGCTGAGGAATCAAGCAGGAAGGACCCAGGGAAGCTTTTGTGTTCACATGGGCAACACAGGCACTACGTCTCCCCTTGGATTTTGCCCCGAGACAGTGTCTCGTTCCGCCAGTCAGCCCAGAGCAGGTCCCGAGCAGCRAGGGGAGGAGCGCCCAGGGCCAGGGCTGCTCCTGCGACAAGCACGGAAGCTGCCGGAGCTCCGGAGGCTGAGAAGATGAAGGTGGGAACTGAGGGAAATTCAGTGTCCAGTTTCTTCACTGTGGGGACTCCCTGAGGCACCTTCCCTCCCGCCAAGCAGTGGTTTAGCATTCAGCTACAGGGAGGGTGGTAAAACTGGTTTAAGCAGCCACAACTCTGCCACCTCTCCCCCTCCGAATAATATCCCCGCTGGGTTCCCTGCAGGCTGCAAGCACAAGCTTTGGAGGTTACCTGGAGGAACTGAGCCACAAAAGCCCCTCCCTTGGCCCTGTCCCCGGGCTGTTTTCCAACGGGATCTGCTTTCCCATTCAGTTCCTCATGCGGTTACRCAAGCACTCGCTCGCGGCACAGGACCGTGCTGGGGTCAAAGCAAGCAGCCAGAGATAAGGTGCATGATGCCTGAGGCTGGCTTTGCCCTGAGCAATCACTTATCCCAGCTAGGGATAGAGGTGCTGTGCTGTTCAGAAACCTCAGAGTCTGTACCTTSTAAGAGATCTTAGATATAGACTTAATATAAATTAAGTCCATTTGGGGGAGAGCAGATGGGTATATATCTTGGCTAGGTGTTAAATGCTTGGCTCTGTGGGCTGCCTGCCATATATGCACAGTTGCAGCCAAGGTGGGATATAATTAAGTTTGTTCAGGTGTTTCTTATGATGGCAACCTGCCCACATGCAAAAGGAATCTTCCTCTGGCCCCACGGCCCATTCATCGTCTCTGAAAAGGTTTGTGTTCGCTCAGCGCAGAAATGGTCCTCAGCGAGGCTGGCTGTGGTTGGCTGCTGTCTTTGTACTCGTGACAGGTTGCCTGGCCTCAGAGGCAGCCAGGAGCCCAGGATGAGCACCCAACGTGGCCTGGAAATGCAGGCAAGGGCTCCCTGGGGGCTCTGGATAGCCATGCTCTGCTGCTCGGCATGGGAAAGCTGGAAAAGAGCAGGGGAGAACGAGGGGGTGTTTGGCACTGCGAGTCTGGGGACCTGTCCAGGTTTATCCATTGGCACCTGAAGCCCAGCAAGAGGCTGGACCTTCAACTAGATACCCCCAAACCTCATATTCCTGTTCACTCTGCTTTACCCAGGCTGTAGTAAAATGCCCCAGAAAGCATTGTCCGAGCTGCACATGAAGTACTTGACTTTAGCAGCCACATGCAATACTATGAGCAACGACGTCCTAATCTGCAAATTACTCCCTTTCTAGACAGTGTAACAACTGATGGTCAAGCTGTATCAAAGTAACTAATCTGTAAAACAAGAGGGAATGTTTGGCATGTATGTGGTCAGAATGCTCTTTTTTACAAATAATGTGAAAATCTCTTGAACCCYTGTATGTCATCCTCATGTGATTTTCCTAAGCAAATAGGAATCTAGCTGACATTAGCACTCACATGTGAGTTATTGACATGGAAGCCACTCYGCCTAAGAGACAGAACAGGTGCTGGTGTCAACATGGAAAACATTGGCATTTTGTTCCCAAGCAACTGTATTAGAAATATATAAGAGGTTATTGTTGCATGGTCAATGCTAACCTTTATCTCAGCCCGAAGCTATAAATGAACCCGGAACACCATCAAGCCTGGTAGCCATTAAGTAAGCAAACAGTTATTTGGTTTTTTGGCAATTCCTTGCAGCTGTTACAGAAAATTTCTTTTTATGATTTAGACTCCCAGTGCATATGTGAAAAATGCTAGTGCTGACTGACTGACTCCCATGCCTGCTATATTTCAGTGGAGGTGTACAGCACTGCTGGAGTCCTGTGGCAAGGAAACAAGCCTGTTTTCAAGTTTGTTCACTGAGGTGGGCCAGCACAGCCACCAGAAGAAAGCAGCCCCTCATGACTGTTGCATTTCGACTTCACCTGCCAGTGCAAAGTTACTGAGAACTAACTTGTCCAGCACAAAACTGGGCTTCAGTAGAGAATGTCAGGCCCTGGAACAGTGCAATACAGCAGGAAGGATGAAGCAGGATCTCACAGAGAGGTCCGCAAGGTCTTCATCTGTTGAAAGATGCATCTGTTACTTCTTACTGGGAACTGATCCAGGCTTGGGGACAAAGTCTGCACAAATAGGTGGGTAAGTCCACTAATGCCAAAGGAGTTTCACTGTGCCCTTCTGTGGGGCTGGTAACAGCTGCAGCTGAGGGAGAAGCAAGGCACGCACTATTAGTGCAACACCGATGTTAGAAACTTTTCCGAATGGAGAGTAGTCCCTCCCGGGCCTGTAAACCACTCAAGAACTGTAATCATAATTAACAGTCAATCAGTTTGATATGTTTAATGACTTGAGTCCATGGGATCATTTTATTAGCAGATTGCTCAGGCTCAGCTGCAGACTCTTGAATGTCTCTGTCAACACCAACCTGTGGAGCATTCAGTCAGCCCTGGCATCCTGCTCCACTCCCRGGAAAGCTCCTGTGTGTGTGTTTCCCCCTGCTATATCTTCCTCTTACCCCTCTTTACACGGGTCAGAYGCAGGCAGCCGAGGCTGGAAGCTGCCTCCCACCCTTGCTGTTGTTGCTCTCCTCTTTGCACAGGTTTGCCCTCAAATGATTGCACATGAACATACTGGTGAATTAGAAATTAAAAGGATGCTGCTAGCAAAGGGCTCTATTACCATCTTTATAGGTGGAATGGGACGGCCAAGAGTGCAGATGTCCCTGTTAGCTCCCAGTCCCCCTAGAAGGGAACCTCACCCTGCTGCATGTAAAAGACAGCTCTTATCTCGCGTCCCTCCGCGGGAGCCATAGCAAAGGTTCTTTTAGAGAGACAAAAAGTTGATGTTTTAAATAGTGATAAGAACAGTCACGTGTCAGGCCCACCAAGGACTTTGAGCACTGGGAAGTGGCTAGTACGTATACACTATTTGTTTGCAGCTATAGCTGTAAGATAAGAATAGGATGACAGATCAGGATAAAAGCAATAGAAAGGGGAAGACTTAAGCATAAGTAAAACTGGAGTCTACACATTGATTTTTTTCCACAATGAATGAACCAGAATGACTTTGAAATATACACAGAAGAAAACTTCAAACACATTTCAATTGCAGAAAAAGGGGGAGCGGAGGGTGGGAAGGCCTGTCCCGCTAGTGAAGTGTTATTTAGAGCGGCAGTGTCACCTTCATTTCCCTGGGCTGATCTTGCCAGACTGGTGATTCCAGTAGAGAAACGGGTCTTCAGAAGTAGGGCCTGCAGAGCCCTACTTCTCTCTTTCAGAGATGTCTATAATGTTCCTTGTCTAAATATTTGTAGGAGAAATTAATAAAGCATGTGCCCTGAGGGCTCAGGCGAGCCGGTGGGTGTTTTGAGGAGGGGAGGGCTGGAGCTGAGGCCGTGCAATCAGCCTCCCGGGGCCGCCGGGAAGCCGCCTCGCTCCGAACAAAGGCTCTGCCCCACTTTACGTACAAAAGGCATCGCTACGCGTTTCATGTGTACAGAGAGGGACCCAGCTTTCAAACGAGACACCTGTCAGAAAAGAGGGGGAGAGCGAGCGCYGAGAGCGGGGTCAGCAGGGCTTGCCTTGTTCTCAGCGGATCCGTCATTGTCCGGCGACGGGGGCATTTTATTAGTTTGTGAAACGTGCTCGGAGCCGGGCCAGCTTTCAAAGGCGCATATCTAATGGCAYTGCCTCTTTGAAAGGGCCAGGAGGTGCCCAGGGAAGGGGAACTCGCTCACAAACGGAGCAGCCTTTTGATTTGCTCGGGGTTACAGCTGCACAGCTATTTTCTAAGGAAAATAACCTGACTCTGTTGATCAAGTAGATGGCACTGTGATATCAAAGCTAATGAGGAAAGACGAGAAAACGAGTGAGGCATAGATAAAAGTACAGRAAGATGAATCTCGATGATTATTATGTTTTAATGTAAAATACGGGGTGTAAAATTACCAAAGAGAAGGTTTTCTTTTTTTTTTTTTTTGGGGGGGGTGGTGGTGGAGTTCTTTGAGAATTTTACAGTTGGCAATTCAAAAAAATCAAGACAAGAATGGAGCCTAAAATTACAGGGCTAAGGCTACTGTGAACCTGAGCTGAGATCTTCAGTCTAGACCCCAATTTCCAATTATTGTAGCTTGCACCTTTGCACTGAAACTTTGTACTTTTCTAAACAATGTTTTCCAGCTGAATGAAAACATATCTTTTTCTTTCCTTTTTTTTTTTTTTTTTTCTCCTCATCTCACTTTCTCTTTGTGCAGGCATGGGAAAGAAAGAATGAATGAGTGAACAGGAAAGATGACTATTTGGGAGTTTTCTGTTTTGCAACGTGAAAGTCTCTAAGAAGTGACAAAGCTCAGACTTTTAAATGACTGAAGTTAAGCTGCAGCTCATGCTGGTAAACAATTACTGATTCCCAATCTGTAAATCACTGCCTAGGCAAGTCTAACCAGCACTGGTTACGTGCCTGTGTGCCTGACCATCCTGCCATTCCCCGGGAAGTTAATCCTGTAAGTGAATCCTCATTTTTACTATGGGGAGTCCAGTGGAAATAATGGACTCCCCACAGGAAAGGGAGCCCATTACTCCCTTTGTGGAGTGCATGATTAAAAACATGCACTGTGTTGTGGAATGTGGAAAGCATGATTAAAAACAAAACAAGCTCTGTAAACTTGAAATCTTCCTATACACAGCAGTGAAATTTATGACCAGAATCAAATTTTGCTTGAACATAGAGGATCAGTCCCTTCCAACCAACAGGGCTGTTCACTACTGTAACTAAAGGTATGCAATCTGACCCAAAYGACAGTTTCTTCAGGATAGGAGCCTGTCTTTTATTCAGTTCAAGCTGTAAAGTAATATAACCTAATAAACCTTACCCTAGTTACTGAAATGCACAATTTGTTCCTCTTAATTAGATGATTGCTACCATGGGGTATTTGCCAGCACATAAAACATAGATACTTGTGTGAATAAGCTGTGGATAGACATCCTTTCCCATACCCAGCTGTGCCCATGAAAGAGGTTACTGACTCCAACAACTTGTCATCCTCTTCCTGCTGGAGACAGTGCACGGAGCTGCAGATAGAGCTGTTCACGTGCCTTAACTCGCTGTAGTCACACAGCAGCCTCGCTAGCTTTAGGCCTCCAACCTAGGGAGCACTAAAAAACAAGTGTAGGCAGCAACCTGTTTCCTCAGGGTAGCGGGATGGAGAGGACGGTCACCCTCCGGCTGCACCAGCCCTTCGCACAGCRGTAGTTGTCACTTGGCAAACAGGAGGCTGGCAGGCACTGATTCTGATTAAGGATCTTACAAGCAACAGAGATAGAACTTATATTACAGCAAAAGTTAATGATAATGATGTGATCACCAGTCAAGAGCAAAGGCACTGAAACAGCACATAGATATACTAATGAAATTCTTCAAAGCCTTATTAGCTTAAAAGATGAAAATGACTTTTATTCAGGAGGACGGGATTTTTTTTAATTATAATATAGTTTTCTGCATTTAATTTGCACAGCATTTTTTTTAGGCAAAACAGATCCACAGTTTCATGAAAACTGTATCAAAAAAATTAAATGTACAGAGCAGATAGCAAACTTATAAAGTAAGGATGTCCTTCAGGCTTAGATGATAATAATGGTGTTGAGTTTTTGCTATACTTCAGTGGCATTCTGGCGGATTGAGATTCCAAGGTGGATTGCCCTGTGCAGAGGGCAAGCATAAAACCTATGCACCATGTATGTGCTACTTAAGTCTTACACACCTGACTCTAATCCTCTTGAAATAAATAGCAATATTATTATTATCCTTCAGTGAGAGCTGGTTCAAGGTCAATAAGCAGGAGTGTAATGCTTGGAAATAGGAAGAACTGGGRAAAAAATTACTTGGCTCATAAAAGCCTCAATAGTTTTGAAGAATTTGCTTAATGTACATGCTGGAACCAAAATACTCACTTGTTTCAACATTCAAGAACTATTAGAACATTAAGAAAATTTATACTAACAAGGAAACTGCAGTATTTCCTAAATCTGACTTCAGGAGTCTTGTGTAATATGATGTGTAATACTGGCAAATACAGTAAAAACCTATTKAGGGCTTTATTATTATTCCTGCAAAACTAAAAGAATTTTGGATACCTTAGCGTAGTAAAATTTCATGTTCTCAACTCTGGCAGTATTAACAGAATGTCTATGTGTTTTTCTGCTGCATCATGTACCCTTGCTAGGTGACATGAATAGATGACATCATTTATGCATCTAAAAAGTGTCTGCACAGAAACTCGTTTATATTTCATAAATTACAAGTGCTCCACAGTCGATTGCCCATTGCAGATGAGAAAGCTTTACATAAGACTACATTCACACCACGAAGCAATTGAGAGCTCTGCACTCAGATTTTGTGCAGCTTGCTGGGGCCAGAGCTATGTATTTTACCTCATAGTGTACCTAGGCAAATAAACATGTGGTGGGATCCTTCTGGAATAACATTACACTAAGCTCTAAACTTTACAAGTTTAAAAATACTCTGTGTGCACCCTCACTGAGTGACCCCCACTGAACTTACAAAAACGAAATCAGACTCCAGAGAAAAGGTGGAAAGCTACGCCTACAACATGGATTCTTTTTTAACCTTATAAGCTGCAGGAGCAGGTCATCTCAACATCTCAAAGGGAGTTTTGGGGTTTTAATAATCAAAGTTCCTCACTTTTTTTTTTTTTTTTTTTTCCCCTCCATCACTTCACATGAAAAACTGCTAATTTCCCCCCTTACAAACTTAAAAAGTGAGGAAGAACTTCAAAGAGAGTCCTTACATGAAGAATTTCAACACCCAAGTGTCCAGTTCAGGAAGATACCTCTGGAAAACTGAGGTGTGGTGTACTTGGTGAAGACAGATGCCAACTACTCTAGTGAAATGCCCACTAGTATTTAGCAGCTTCTCGAGATAGGTAACTAATGATAAAGCAGCCTGCAATATCGCCTTCTCCCTTGTTCTGGAGACAGGCTGGGATGGGACAAATTTAGTAAAAAAGGGTGCAAACCAGGAAAAAAGATCAGCACTTTTTTTTTTTTTTTTTTTTTTTTTTTTTTGAATAGCCCTGTCAGTATAATAAAAAAATGGGCCAGAACTCAGCAACCATGAGGATCTAGAGGTGCAACTTGCACATTTCACAGCAGCGCAGTGCACAGGGCAACTGTGCATGAGGGCACCACGAAAATCTCCTACTTTTGTGCAAAATAACCATTGCTGCATCCTTACTGCACATGCAAACGGGCCATTTCCATTGCCTTTACAGCCTATCTACCAAACACTAGTGGTGACAGGGACTAAAATAAGTTATATCACGCTCAAGTTTGGCAAATGAGATTGACTTGGCCCTTGTGCTGCACATTATTTATTGCCAGTAACACTTAAAAGGGCCTATCACCACATAAAATAATCAGGGCAACACGCAGCCATCCTGTGTAGATCTTTCTGAGTAATTCACATCAGAGTTAAAATGAATGTTGACCCTCTTTAGAGATGAAGTAAAGAAGGTTGGCTTGGGATTTTAATTGCACAACAGCAGCAACAGAAATTGCTCTGCCTCAGTTTCCCCAACAAAATGAGAATAACCATATAAGGAACGTATATAAATGCAAAGCTCTTTTCTGTATAGCGTTATATTAGGAGGACCACTCGCTTTTAGGGTCGTTTTCTCGTGTTTGACACTTCCCCTCCGCCCCTCCCTCCGCGGCGCAGCCCTCCAGGGGAGCGCCCGCCCGCGCCGACCGTTACAACGGTCCGCGTGCGCCGCCGCCATTTTGAGCCCCGCGGGGCTAACGGCCGCGCTTGCCCACCCCCTTCCCTCTCTCCCTTCCTCCGGTGGCGGCGGTTCTCTCCGCTTAGCGGCTTAGGGAGGGCATAAAGCCGGGGTCGGGGCAGCCCAGAGCCCCCTCTGCTGCCGTGCGAGTTTCCCGGGCAGGGCGGGCGCAGGAAGGGGAGGGGAGGCGGCGGCCGCCATCATGCGCGCGCCGGCGGGGCTGCTGCGGCTGCTGGCGGCGCGGGGGTGCGCGAGGCCGCCACGCCGCTGCCTAGGCGCCATGGCCCGCTACGGCACGGAGCAGCGGGGGCAGCCCCACTCGGCCGATTACCGCCTCTACTTTAGTAAGTAGCAGTCTCTCCCCACTCTGGGTTCCGTGAAACCCCTTCCTTCTTTGCAGCCGCCCGCCCGCAAGGCAGAGCGTGGAGGGAGGAGCGCGGCCCCCGACAGGGCTCTTGAGGGCTCGCCCTGAGCCTCCTCCCCATCTCACTTGAGGGAGGGAGCAGTTTGGTGTGAAAACTGTCGGGATTTCCCAGCTGATTGGGATACTCCTCCCGCTCAGCACAGGGTCTGGTGGCCCTGAATGGTCGTGGCCTTAGAAGCCTGCAAGGGTAAGGGGATCACAGAATCCTGAGGGTTGAAAGCCAAAGCCATGCCTTGCTCCCCTGGCCTAGTGGCAACAGGGTCAGCCAGGGTCACAATGCGCTCTTTGAGGACAAGACCAAGCAAGGCCTTAATGGCAAGAGCCTCTCCTCTGCCTGGCAGGGAGCATGACTAGASCGGCCCTCTCCTGCAACCACCATGGTGAGGAGAGGCTGCCATCCAAAGTGGGAGTTACCAAACGCCACCCCTTGGTCCGATACCATGGGCCCATGGGTGTGGGGAGCGATCTCAAAACCCAACCAGAGCTGTTGGTGCACAGGCTCAGGGCTGCGCATTTCAGTAACAAGTAGCCCATGTGGATGTGTTACTTACTTCACCAGTGCTGGTTTTCCGTAGCTGTAGCCCCCTGACTCCTTGCTGGTGTGAGAGAAATGGTGGTGCTGAGTTTCCTGTCAGCAGTGCCCTGCTGGGACTTCCTTGTGCTCAGTCCCCCAGGGGGTGTCTGTCCAGGGAGTGCATGGAGCGTGTGCAAAAGCAAGCAGTGGCCGGCTCAACTGTTTTCAATTCGAGAGCCTTAGCAGTCATCGCTTCTCTTACATGCGGTGTTCTCGTGGCCAGTCAGAGTATGCTGGTTGATCTTCTCTTTCTGGTTATGTAATTCAGTTTGTGAGAAGAAATTCACTTTATTATCAGTGAACCCATATGGGGAGTGTTGCTATAAACCCCCACAAATTCATTGGTAACTCATGGAGCTGAGGTTCTCCGGGTATTTTGTATCATTTCCATCTCTCCCACCAATGACTGTATGTTGCCAGGGTAAAAAAGAACAGAGAATAATGGGATTTTTTTCATTTTGATGCATTGTAATGAATCCTTGTTAAAACTTTCTGTGTGTGTGTGTGTATATCCTGTTTACAGTTTTTTTATAGTCCTTAAACTCCAGAAAGTTGGGTTTATATATAATTATTGCACACAGTAAATTTCTATAATGCATAGTAAGTTTTGGGAATGCAGGCATCTTATGGCATATGTTTAGATTTGTAATGCTTTTTTTTTTTTTTTTCTCCAGAGAATCCAGAGGGTAAATATATTTCTCCATTTCATGACATCCCACTGTTTGCTGGATCTAAAGAAGTATGTATTTATGCCTTGATATACCATTTACTTCTAAAATGAAAGTGGTTGTGTTGGCACAGCTTAGATGAAAGCATGCATTTATTTATTTATTTTTCTCCAGCTAGTATTTTCTGAGTTCAATAACATGTAGTGCAGCTACATGATAACTGTTTAAGCAAACCTAGGTTTCTTAAGACCCCAAGTGATGGGAGAGAAAAAAGCCCTTTATCTTGTGGTAATTGTTTAAAGTTTATGTTTATGTGCTCTAGAATTAATTTTCTACTCTAACTCCTTTAAAATGATGTTTTTTTCTGTGCCTGCAATTAAATGTGTGCATTTCCTTGCTGCAGGAGATGTACAGCGTGTACTTGTGTGACTTACAGTGCATTTCTTTAATTCCCCAAAGGAGCATTGTAATTGGAAGCCAACCATAATGCCCAKGAGGAAAGTGGTAATCGCACCTTTGGAGATTTAGAAGGCACGAGGTGCAGCTGAGCACTTTCACGTCTTGTTAGCCACGCTCCCTGGAGTTTCATTATAGCAATAATGAAACGCCTGTTTTATTTGTCACCAGTGGGAATGCCAGTCCTTGGTTTAGACTTAGGTTTGCTTGTTATGGTATACTTGTTGCATAAACAGACTGGGAAGACTTCAGCTCTTTCCTTGATTTGCTTTGGGGATCTTCTGGATATGAATGATGAGAAAAGTCAATACCTATAACTTAGGTTGAGATTGATTCATTAGTTCAAAAGTCTTAATCTCTTTAATTATTTAAAGTTAGAGATTAAAAATATCTGAAATTCTTTTGAGCAACAGATGTAAGCATGCTAGTCAAAAGAAGAGGTTGGCCTTATTCAGGTTCTCATTGCTAAGATGTCCAATGTAGTTGGTGCTATTGCTGAAATCTGAAAGGCATTTTCACCCACATATTCCACAGGAGACTTGTTGCCTGTGAATCTTGAGTTTAAGGTTTGGAGGTATGGATTATGGAAACTTAATAGATTGATAAAACATGTGTGTTCTATGATGTAATATGGAGAGTCTTTGACTACTTCAAGAAGCACTTTCTACAAAATATAGGTGCTAATGGGAAGAGAATCATTACTAAGGTTTATATGGATTTTACTTTCTTTGCAAGAGGAGGAAGTAAGGAATTTTATATTATGGTTTTCCGTCCTCTGATCTAAGCTTTGTGACTTTGTTTAATGATGGATACCTCCAGACCAATTTTCTGTACTGCTTTTTAATTTTACTTTTTATCTTTTTCAAATGAACAGGAAAATGATTCTGATGATATTGGTTTTGGTTTGTTTGTTTTAAACTAGTTGAGGACAGGGCTAAATCACTGCTTAAAAATTTTGTGCAACTGGGAGAGGATCCCTGTCCATTTTAATTATCCTCTGATAACATCTAGAAAATTATAATTTCACAATCAAAAGAGACTGAACACACACTTTTAAAAATAATAGTTTAGGTCCTTATATTCACAGGAGGATGTTTCAATTGCTTTTAAAACCAGAACTATCAATATTTATGTCAGTAAGTTATTCTTYTCGTATATTCTTCATACACTTTTCTTCACTCTTTTCTTGTAGGATAAAGAGATTCCAGCAAAGAGATCAAAGACTACTGGAAGTGAGGTACTGCTAAGATTTATTTTTTATTAAGCATCATTTGGGTGTTCTTTTATTGTAATGGACAAGCTCTAACAGCACTTCTAGTCATGGTGCACAAAATGAGAACTTTTCAGCATCACATGCCTTTCCTGGAATATAGTTAATATATTTTCAAATGTAAGTTTTTTATGAGGAGAAGGCTTAAAGGAATTTAATAAGCTCTTCTTTGAATGGGCCAGTAATGTTAAGATTCTCTTAAACATTCTCTGTTACCACTCTCTGAAAGATTCCTTGTGACTATTGCAAATTTCATACAGTATCTTTTTCCTTTTTCTCCAAATGCATCCAGAAACATTTTCAAAGAAAACTCCTGTAATGAAATATGAAATATTCATTGTACTTTGACCATGAGATGGTATTTGGTGTACCACTTTGGAGATCTTTGGAGATCTAACAGGGACAGAAATTATATTTACTGTGTTTTTTAGACCTGAAGGTATGTCCATTTTCTTATCTGAGAATTCCAAAGTAGAGAAGATCACAGGTGCTAATGCTTTAGAATTTAACCCGTACTAAAGCTAAACATAAGAGAAGCCTAAAAAACCATGGAAGATCTGCTCTGGCTGCTTTTGTGGAATAAGATTTGTTTATGCAAGCATTTCGTTTCCCAAGTATAGGATTTTTTTTGCAGTGCTTTCTTTGCCTGTGGCTTACATCAAAAATTCAGTAGGAGAAAGTGGAAAACTCACTCCCTAGACTCCCCAGAATTTTATTTTCTCAATATCTGTTTGACCAGTCGCATTGCAAAACTGTAATTACCGATGTCCTGTGACTGAACTGACCTAACTGTGTAGGTTCAAATTTGCTCCTAGTGTGTAGTACACTGGTTCTCCTACTGTGCATCTGTCCCCATGCAGTCCTGCAGCAAGGCATTAAATGTATTTCATCTCCCTTTACCCTGTAATTTGTTTAGACTACAATGCCTAGTAATGCTGTGACAATATCTGTGAGCTTTGAAGATGCAAAATTTCTTCTATGCAGCATCTGAAACTTTTTTTTTTCCTGTCTGTTTAGTGGAAAGCATGATAGCTTGTTTAAAACCATGTTTCTAGTTCACTTCTGTTACCTGAATCAGTCTGTCAGGGAGAGGGGGTCCAGCAATGCTAAGCAGCTCTTTCCTTGGGGCCAGTATAGACCTCAGTCTGCTTCTCAKCTTCTGCTGTGAGCATGCTCTGGACTGCAGTTTAATAGGAGAAAAGGAGCAGAGGCAACCGTACCTTTCAGTTTTTGTGGGCTTCTAGTGTGAATAAGCAAACATGCAGAATATGAGCTTCCCAGCCAGTCTTGGTCTTTACTTAGATGGTGAAATGCAGGAGGGCAGGTGATTCAGAAAACATATTTTTTCTGTTTGGGACCTGGGGAGAAGGGTGAAGAGAGGGGTCTTTATGTTCAGGAAGTAGTGTTCCTTTGTTTTACACTGGGTCCTTCGGTAATTCTTCTCATCTTGGCCTAGTAAGAAATGCATCCTTGCATTTAAAGAAAGTGTAATCAAGGGAGAAAAAAAGAGGAAAAGGGGAAATTAAAGCTATTTATTGTTTTCCAGAGACCTTTGAAGCACTGTCTCCTTACTCTCTCGTCTAGGTATGTGAAAACTACTGTTGATATCTCATGTTTGGTAGAACCTTGCACTGAATTTGGCCAGAAGCCAAAGGTAATAGATACTTCCAGTTGCCCTACAAACACAGCCACATCTTTAAAACTTGTGCTTTTAAGATGGTGATTATTTGTTAGTCTCCACAATTGATAGGCCCCTTAAGAGTATGTGTTAAATKGTGCCAAAATGTCTTTCATAAGATGGTAGTTCAGTTGTGGAAAAGGAAGATAATTTTATATGAGTCTCTTCAGTCTGTCTAATCTATTTCAAATTGTTCTTGGCATTTGTGATAAGAAAAGAAGGTTTCAAAAACATGAGTTTCTGCTTTCAACATTCATGGGATAGGATAGCACATATCTTAGAAGTCTGTATGTTAGCTGGTTTGCAATTCCAGCTTGCCTTAGTTCTAAGGGAAAAGTTATGGTATTTCTGTTCTCAGTAGTGCAGCCTTTTTTTTTTTTTTTTGCAACATCACAGATCTCCCCAAAATTTCAGTTAAATTTGGCTTTGCAGCTGCTGTCGACAACTAATCATTTGACTTCTGTGGATGTTTTTCAACTGTGTGAAGACTTGAGTGAGGCTCTCTTCGGGGAAGAACTATATTGGAAGAAATCATATTTAACTTTAGTCTCAAATTATTGCCAACTTGCAGTCTGAACCTCAGCTTTGTCTTAAGCATTGAAAGCACTCAGAATCCATTCTTGTCCAAATAAATCTCTATGAAAGGCATCAAAAGTTTCACATCTCTGTCTGGAGGGGTGGATGTTCTGCCCGTGCTTACAGTGACAACTCTGTTGGACACTGATTGTTGAGTATGGCCTTCAGAGCCAGGTGGCAGGAAGAAAGTTCCAAGAGGTCACTGCTGTCTTTTCAAGACGTGTTGCTTCCCTGCTGTACTGAAAGGATTTCTAATCCTCTTGTCATTATATGTGTCTTTGGTGAAGTGTTCGCTTATCAACTCATTCAGAGGATTCAGGTGTTCTTGAATACGTTTTATTTAAAATGTTGGCCTTAGTAAGGAATTTGTCCATGCATGTCAAGATTATCCTCCTTTAACTTGGAGAGACCCACAAGAGCAGTTTAAAAAAATAAATTAAAAAAAAAGGCAGGGAGAGGAAGAAAGAAACAGGACAGCTTTTGTTTTGTTGTGTCTCGTGGATTGCACAGCACTGCAATGCCCTTATGGACTTGAGTTGAATTCCCTCTGTCAGGCGAGAACTTTTGATAAATAAGCCAGTCACATGAGATATAAGGGGTCATCAGAGTGGGCAAGCAGTCTGAATAGGTGATCTGACTCAGGGCCTCAGGCTTGGAATGGAGTTCAAAACTGTGGTGTCAGGAGTTGTCTTATGATTAAGCCAGTATGTTTCGTGAGTTGGGAAAGATGGCAATGTTTCCCATACACTACAGGTGCAAATTTTGTATTCTGTATTGAAGCCTCTGTAATAGCCTTCAGTCATGCTGGACCCCTTTTTAGAATATGTCACCCAGATTGTAATGAGTCTATTACATGTGCCGTTGCGTATTCCAAATTCTGCCCACTGGTAGAGGTTTCATCCTGTTATATGAAATTGAGTCTTTTTCTATGGGTCTGTCATAAACCGTGCTTTGCGCTCATGTAGACTAGCAAATGCTAAGAAGAACAAAAGTAATTTTCACATACTGATCAGGTTAGTATCTACTGRGGTAAAAATGGTTTACTGAGAAAGCTGTGTGAGTGAATTGATCAAGTTCAACTTCTAAGAAAGTATTTCTTAAAATTTGAGAAATTTGAGAGTTTTTTCATCTGTGTCAATGCTATGCTGAGTAGTTTTTCAAGCTAATTCACCCAGTAACTAGTTTAGTTCATAAGTGAATGTGCCTGACACCTAGGATACCTTGGAGTAAAAACTCTTCATAGTGTTCTTGACTACCTTTTCACTGCAACATGAGAGAAGTACTTTAGGAAAAAGACTGCAGACATTTTGCATTTATGCTTGGCATTGTGTGCATCCTTCCCCCCTGCTCCACCTCGCACCCCTCCCTGCCCCCCGCCGCCGCCCTGGGCCCAGTTAATTTGTACTTGAAAAGTTCCATTGACTTTTCTTTTAGACAGACACTATTTGGTCTCCAGATGTTGCTAGCATCTGTTTTGATGTTTTCTTTGGCAAATACCTTGTAGCAAGTGTTAGGTTGGGAATGGGACTCGTTATAAGCGAGCCCTTCTCCATTTATTCCTGGTTGTATTTCATGACCGTCCTTTTCATCCTTTTTTTTCTTCCCCCCCCCTTTAAACTTCTGTTATTGAAGGCATCGTTCTTTGTTCAGACTGCTGCTGGACTGCAGCTCATCCTTTTTGTTCTCATTAGTCTTCAAGTGCGTGCTGCTGTATTCAGTCGATGGCTGGTGAGAATCCCTGTAAGATTGCAAATGAGCAGACAGAAAAGAAATGGAAATGGTAGCTGCTTTTTTCTTCTTTGTGTCTTGTGAGTTCACAGCTTCTCAGTGAGGAGGGTCAGCAGCTCCCAAATGCTGTCTCTAATGCTTTCAGATTTTTTTAAAAAGCACTCTACTGTAAAAATGACTGAAGTAATTGTAAGCTTCACCATATCTTCTTTCTCCCTCATGCAAGGGTGCTGCTGAATGACAATCAGGACTTAAAAAGTGATGATGGTTGTCTTTCTATGTAATCTTACTGACTTTCTGCTCATTTTGCATCTTTTTCTACCTCTCATTCTGTTACTTTCTCTGCTCTATACAAATTGCTCCAGTTTTGATTCAGATTACCTGAACCTGCATAGTTGAGCATTACCTGTTGCAACCTTTGGGCAAAGTCATACCTGTTCAAAACCCTCCCTTCAAATGCACTAGCTCAGGAATTTAGGAAGACTGAGAAGGGAAGTAATTGAATGGGAAAAGGGAAAGTCAGGCAGGAAAGAGTTGTTTGGGGGAAGGGTATATTGGAATCCAGAAAGCTTGCAAAAATGGAAAACTGAGAGAAATATGCTTCACTGAACTGTACTAATAATCAAGTTTGTGATAACAAAACCTGATCTGAATGAGCTGTCTTTTATAAGAGTCTGTACGGTGAGAGCCAACAGTTATCTTKTGCTGTTTTCTCCCCTCTCTTAGTGGAGAGAATGGTGACTTATGGCTTACCTAGGTTCAGCAATCTCTATTTTCCTTGCTTTTCAGAACACTTGCTACATTAGCATCTCGAAGTGTATTTCTGTGCTTTTCTATCTCTGTGTGCTGTTTAAAAAAAAAAAAAAAGGAAGGCTGCTCTTTTTCATGTGGAATGGCATCAGCAAAAGCAGTATCACGATAAATTAAAAAAGATGCTCAGTTAAAGTGAAATGCATTAAATTGTCAAGCCCTGTTATAGAAAACACCCTGGTAAAGCAAACATGTCCTATGTGTGTTTGCATCTGGTGAACTTTGACTGTAGTTCTTTGGAAGTTCTTATCATTTAAAGATACTGTTTGTTCCTTCTGATGTCATTTGCTGCCTGGATTCATATTCAATTTTAGGAATTAAGAAATACACTTTTGACTTCTCTATGTTGAGCAAATGGATTTATTTTTTCTCCTTACTTCCTCAGTGTGTCTAATAGCGCTTAAGTGTCCGCCTTCTGTTCATATTAACCAAGTCAATCATACTACATTATATCTTGAGTTGAATGTCCTTTTGGGCTCTGCTAGCGGTTTCTTCCCCTAGCTGTTGGGGTCTGTCAGATGAAGGCATCTGAATCTAGGAAACTTTCATCTCCTTTTTTCTCATGCTGTGGAGTTCTGAAGAAACCGTGAGCCAACAGGATTAGCCTAACTGTAGCTTGTCTGAACTACTGTCTRACCTTTTGTGCAATTTGCCCTTAAAGTGAAGTTCTTTCTGCATTAGGCTCTTGCAGAGCTGGATTTAGTCTGCATTTTGTTAAGCAGTGCTCTCCTAGGCAGGCAGTTGACTGACAACATGCTAAGGGTGTTACATGGTAAATTTACTTTATAAGTGATAATTGTTTGGAAGACAAGATGTTTTTTATCATTATTCTATACAGTTCTTATTCCTGCAGGATGTATGTGACTCTGGAAAAAGTACATACACAAACTGAGAATTCATTGCTGAATAGAAATGCTAAAGGAAGGAATGTTAAAGAGGGTCAGTAAGAAAGGGCTGGCAGCTTCCTAAACCAGATAGCTTTCCTTTCAGGAGACATCAGCTTTTGGGTTTTCTTCTTTTTTTTCCCTCTGAAAGGTGTGTCAAATGGACTATTGGAATATTGTCCCCATTACTTGAGGGGATAGAATTAGCCACTTGGGTTTTTGGCAAGATGGGGTATTTTTGTTTTAATGTCAGGTTCATGGACTGGACAAAGCTAATCACTCAGTGGCACATGAAGGTAATCTAAGAAGTCAAAGGGTGTCTGATGTTTGCATTTCAGTTGGTAACTGCAGCAAGGAATATTTTGCAGCAAGGATCTTYGAAGAGAACGTTCAAATGGACAGAAGAAATAAGTTCTTGATATGGGGAAAATAAGAGTAGTGGGAAACGAAAGTCCTTGAATGTTACTTAGGCAAGGAACTGATTGTCCTATAAGTAAACTTTTTATTTTTAAACAAAAGCACTGCATGAAATTATTAATCTATTGTAAATGCTGTGGCAGCTTAGTATTAGAGAATACTTTATGKTTTTTTGTCTTTTTTTTTTTATATGAATTTATCTGTCAAGCTGTCACACTTAAGATTCTTGGCAAATCACTTTTGACTGATACCACAGACTGTAAAGCCCTGGTCTTAAAACTGACTTAAATGCAAATGATTCTTTGTGAGAAAAACATTAAATGCTCTTTAGTCTAGCTATGGTCCAGTCATGAGAGTTTTTGTGAAGACCCCAAGTAACTTTTAAGCAAACAAAGTTCAGAAACAACATTTGCAATCTCTTCAGGCCATTGGACTAGCAGTCAAGACAATATGTAGTAGTATCTCTTACAACAAAAGTATAGGAATACAGTTAAGTGGAAGACACTTTGTATCATTCCAGGAGTAGTTTTAAAGGTGTTTTTTAAAATAATAATAATAATAATTTTATTTATTTATTTTTCCTCATAGCTACTAGTCAGGACACTTGCTGGTGGTCCCTGAGAGCTTCTTGTCAATATTGCCTTTCATGCTGTATATTTGTTTTTCCTGGTGTTTCTTGGCTGAGTAAACTTTTTGACTTCCATACCTACTGCTGCCTGTGTATCACCACCTTCTGTGTCTGCTTCCTTGATGTTGACATCTTTGAGCTTATTTCAGCTATTCTCATACACCTGTGCTTACTCAGCTATTCTTAAGGGGTGCCTTATTAAGTTGATCTGAAGCACCTACTTCCCCCTTCCTCTTTTTTTTTTCTTCTTCTCCTTGTTTTAGTGTATTTGATATCACTGGTTACAATATGGACGCAGTACTCACAGATGGCAGACTTTTCTTTTAATATTCTGGGAATTGACTATTTTTGTGCTATTTTGTCAGTTTTGTGGATAGCTTGTGATCTTGCAGGAAAAACAGTAAGTGACAGCTGGGATTTTGCTTTGCTTTGTTGTTCCTGTGTTTCTAGGTCTGGGCAAAGGAGAATGGTCCATAGAGCCATTGGAATGACTTCAGTCAGACTGTGACATTGGCCCTGGCAATGATATTGGTTTACTGAAGCTGTAGGTTACAAAAAAAAAAAAAAAAAAAAAAAAAAAAAAAAAAAAAAAAAAAAAAAAAAAAAAAAAAAAAAAACCCTGCCAGTATTTTAATTGCAAAGGATCTAAAGAGTCAGTGCAACTTTTTGATTAGTTTGGCCTTGCATTTCTCAACAAATTTATTTAAAAATATAGTCTGTCCATCCTTGAGTGGTACATTTTTAACACTAACACTTCTAATACCAGTACTAGTACTACTATAAAATACTAGTACTACTTTGGCTGTAGTGGGATGTCAGAGTACTCTAGACTGTGTGGTATTTTGGTATCATCTTAGTAATTTTGGAGAAAATAGACTGTAGGGATTGGTGTATGCATTGGACTAGTTACTCATTTTGATTAATTCTCTATCCTCCCTTGTAGTGCTTAGCTCTGTTTTACAGAGAAGAAATCTTTCAAGAGATAGCTACACAAATAGCTTTTTCTCTTTGGAAAATATCACTTCAACCTCTCCAGTAAGAAGAGTTTAGACTTTAAAAACAAACAAAAAACTATACCTTACATATTTTATTTATTCATCTGTGTCCAGTTCCTTCTTCCCCACCCCTCATCACTCTTGAATTCAGCTTGGCTTCCTTCAAGTGGCTATGACTAAGGCTCAGGTATGTCTGTGGTTGTTCCTCATTGACTGGTAGACTCAACACTGTCTTTTGATATATCATTCCACAGACTTGTATGTGCCGAATAATATGGAGATGGGGAAATCCACATGATGCTTTTCATTACAATCTTGTAGTTGTTTATCTCCTCAAAGAGGAAGGAGGAACCAAGGAGACTGAATATCACTGTGAGGACCTGGTGACCGTAAACAAATATTCTTAGAACTTATTGCAAAGAATTCATTGTCAATTGGGCTTTCATTTCAGATTCTTTCATTGTTTTTATTTTAGGTACTTTTTAATATGGTTGTGGAAGTACCTCGTTGGACAAATGCAAAAATGGAGGTAATTAAAAAAAAAGTTGATTATTTAGATATTTATGAAGCATATGACATCCTAATCTATTCCAGTATTTCAGAGTTTAATCAGATTGAGGGATATCTTTTATATGTAAAWTTTTCTTGGTTGTAATATTTACCTAAAGTTGTTCATACAGAGATTTTTCCTGTGGTTAAGGAAAATGTTAAGGTTCTAATTATTTGTGACAGAAAATACTTGAGGGCCTCACTGCTTGAAAATACCTGTCCCTGCTAGAAGATACTTCATAAGCAGAACTTAGGATTGTTCTGCTACTGATAGAATACAGAAGTTGAGTAATGCTTCATCTGCATTGTTGGTAAAACAGATCTTGCCAGGGTTTTTTCCATTTTTTTTTTTACATTTATATTAATTTTAAGGATGTTTCCTGGATGCATTTAAGGAAGTTGGTTGAGTTGTTAACTTTTTTTGAGTATTACAAATATTAATAAGAACTTCCCCAAACTATTTTTTCATAATTTCATTATCTTCTTTCTATGGTGCTGGAATATCATTTGAACTATATTTACCATCTCAATTGTTATTTTAGAAATAGGACTGTCTTGTAAAATTAGCTTATATTTTTGAGATGATGTCTTGTTGTGGAAGCCGAGATTCATTTTTCAGAGTTTTCCCTTGCCTCTAGTATGTTAAGTCTTTGGTTAAAGCTCAGAATGTTTACTTTCTTTCCTTCCACTCCACCTGACCCTTTAACATAAAGGAGGAAAAGAGTTTGCTGTCCTAGCGGATTCAGAAATCAATGAGTTTTAATGTTTTCTGACTTAACAGAAGATGTGGTCTCAGTTGTTGACGTATATAGTATAACTCTTGACATATCTGGAAGTTTTTGCATTATTAATAAGGCAGACATTTGTCTTTGCCATTCTGCTCGGAGAATCTTTCAGCTGAGGATGCAGTAATGGGTTGGTACTGACTCTGGATTCCATGCTAGGACTTCCTCACGTGAAACAGAGAGTAAATGATGCCGTAGATGAGTATTTCCTACTATTACGGTTTCCTACTATTTCCTCTGTGCAAGATGTCTTACTCTTCGGTATATCTCTTATCCCTCCCTTTCTATGAGTGCTTTTTATGGGGCTTTATTGGGCTGCTGCCTACTGTGTCAGTTGCACCTCTTTGCCCCTGATCATGTTAGGAGAAAGGTGCTTGAGTTACACTTGCATCAAAATCCAAGAGTARTCCAGGTCCATTCTTTTAAGTTATGGCCAGAATCAAGTTGAATCAGGTGTAAAATGAGAAATGTTTGAGGCCTGAGCTCAGTCCTTGGGGAGGGTTTGCATATTTGCTTGCTCTTGAGAGTATGATGTGGTCCAGAAAAGTGCGATTCCTTTGGGATAACTTTGGTGGCATTTGTAGCTAAATTACAAAGATCTTGTAAAATGTAGACTAAAGATGGTATGCTTGTGCACACAAGCTCTGAACCACCTGAGCCAGTGCATGCTCATAGCTTGCGACAAATACAAGGCTGTTCATATGAGTCTTCCTGAGTGTGAGCCAAAATTAACATGAATTGTGCTGTGATGTTGGAGTGGCAAAAGAATGGTTACAGTGAATTAGCTAATGTGTGGTAGGTGGCTGATAGGATGAAGGGTTTGTATTTAAAGTATCTGTGATAGAAGATGTCTACGATAAACTGTTCTGCATTAATTTAGTCCTTATGATTCACATAAGGAATGAAACAAATGCTCACAAAGCATTCGGCTCCTTTGGGAATAGAAGTGATTTCCCCTGATTCTAGCTTAACTTACTCCAAATTTGCCGAAATTTGATGGTCAGTGACTATGTACAACTAATACTTGTTGATAAGGATTTGTATGCTGAGGGGTCATCTAGCAAAAGAGGATGTGCAGTAGGAAAGCAGTGAATTAGGACTGAAAAGAAGATGAAACATGCAGTGGCTGTCAAAGCCCCTATTTGAAGAACTCATGCTGCTATTTATATCTTTGTTGAACTTGTCTCATAAAGTGCAAGAGCTTCTAACTAAAGTTCCCTTCAGTATTTATGTTTGACCATGACAATCTCCTTATAAATTTATGACTTTCTTTTCTAAGTTTCTTTTTTTTTCTTTTTCCCTTGCATACTTCACAACGTTATTTAAAACCTTAATAAGTTGSTCTTTGAATGTGACCCTTGAGATTTGCAGTGAGGCCATCATACTTTTAATACTCCTTGAAGCATAAACACATGCTCCCAGGTGGAGGTTTCTAACTGGTTGGATACAAAATGAATTGCTTTACATTTTACAGTTCTCTCTTTTTCTTTCTCTTTGTCTTTCACGATCTGCTTAGATTGCCACTGAGGAGCCGTTGAATCCCATTAAACAAGATACAAAGAAAGGAAAGCTTCGATATGTGGCAAATATCTTTCCTCACAAGGGTTATATATGGAATTATGGTGCCCTCCCTCAGGTAACATTTTTGTTATAATGGTGAAACTTTTCTGTCTTCTGAGTAAATTGCCTTGTAAATCTTGAGTAGTGTCTGAACGAAAAATCAGTTGGAATAAGGATGTTTCTGTTTCATAGGTTTGTAAATTAGGATTTTTTTTTAATGTAGAGCTTTATTGTGGCCATAAATTTTGATCAGAATTTGGGTGTGGATGTAGATAAGCACTCTGTTTCAGGAAGGAGTTAAATAATCAAGRAACTTTGAACTCTTACTGCCTGCCTCTCTATACTGCAGTGACAGAATTGAATTGCCATGCGCTGCCATTCAAGCATACTTTGTCTAATGCTTTCCTGTTTAAACAAGACATTCTTTAAAAAAAAAAAACACATAAGTGCTTCATTTATTGCAGTGTAAATGTTAATTGGAATTTCTTAATATCAAAAAACAGGAACCCAAGAGCTGTTCTTTTTCAAATTAAATCCTGAATGCCTCAGTTACTCAGTTAACTTCCTTGTGAACTATGAGACTTTTCTGATCATAGAACACTTAAAACTTGCCACTTGAGCCTTGGGGGAGCGGGGGGTTGAGGGAAGAGAAGGCGGGGGGGGGTGGAAAAAAAGCTCATAGTACAACTTCTGCACATAACTGGAAGTTTTATTAACTTGGTTATTTCATTTCTGTGGATAACACGTTGTTAAATTAGTATTATAAAACCTGATGGAGACGGAAAGAGTAATTTCTTATACAATGATGGATTGTTGCATGAGCAATGAAAACTTCTGAAAATCTGCTARTGTATTTAATCCCCAAAAGGAGATACCAGGTAGGTGGTGAAATATGGGGAAAAAGTTCATATCCAGTCAGCAATGTCAATAGACAAAAGTTCTAATTAGAAATTGTTGGGAACCAACAATTCCAATGTTTGGCAATTTGTTTGCACTTTAATACAAAGTCAAGGTTAAACATTGAAATGTTTGCATGTGTGAAGTGAGGTAGTTTGGACTGATGATACTTTCCCCGGGAGGACATGTTCAACTCCTCCTGTTACCTTGTGAGCCAGAGAACTGGAGATAATTTTCATTGTTCTTTTCTGAAATAACTTTAAAAGATCCTTGGATCATTACACTTCCAATTGTCGACATCTAGACGATGCACCAAATTCTTATTAGCAGCTGTCACAAACACTGAGTCTGAGTCTCCATTATCACAGGATTTGTCATCAGCATCAGCAGTTGCCAGAAGTTTAACTGTGTTATAAGGTTAAATGATATCTATTTGTTGCAGATCTTACTGAGGCTGCTATTTTATGCAGTGGAACAGAGAAGAAAAAAAGTATGACTAGACAATAGGAGTGTCAGTATCTCAGGAGTTGCTGTGGTATTGTCTGGAGAACACTGCATTCCTAGCTAAGCATCTCTCTGTCCTTATGAAAGCTACTGTCTCAGGGATCTGCCTCAGTAGGAGGATCAGTAGTTTTCTAGGACTCATATAGCAGAACTGGCCTAAAATACAGTCTTAAAAAGTGCCCTGGAAGAATATTGAAAACTGAGTTTTAAGTTTAAATTCTCTTTTGATTCCACTTAAGCAATTATTGATAACGATATTGCTACCTAGATACTTCAGTACTTGGTTTTTACAGTTTCACCTTTGAATGTTAGTCCGATTTTCAAAAGTTAGATTTAGGGAGTCCTAACTGTGGACGACAGGAACTAACAGTATAGCTTCTCAAGAGATAATTTTATAATATGTTTTCAGTGAGACTTCACTGGAGTCAAAATTCTTATCCGAGTAACTTGTCAATAAAATTTTTATCCCAAGCAAGTAAGACAAAGTGAATACTGCCCTGGTAATGATTAAATACTAAAATGGAGCTCAAAGCAGGGTTTTGAACCTACATTCCAGGAAAAATTCTTTGGTCTTGAGCTGTTGACTGTTCTTAGGTATGTGTGCATCTTTGTATTGAAAAATGAATCATAGCTACATTTCTATATTTTAAAGAGGTTATTAGGTGCCCATAATTGCATGCATAAAAGCTTCATCAGCTCAAAGCTTAGCTGTTTTTTAAAGCAACTTCTGTTAGCCCAGGTATACCAGAAGAAAATATATGAAGTACATTATTGTAGGGTGACCTAGCTTAATCCTGCAAGCAGGAGTAACCAGAGTAATACATGTTCAGTGTCTTTGGACACCTTGATCACTGCAAATGGATAAAGCTGCATTTGTAAAGCTGTATTTTTTAATGCAGCTGAGAATTTTGTTACTGTATTTCCTTTTTTCTTCTATTTCTTCATAGCAAGGCTTCTCAGAAAGCTGATTTTTTTTTTAACTGGTGTTTTCATTAATCTTGGTAGTTTAGTGGCTAGAGGAACTATAACTGTGTAACAGTTGGTAATTTATATTTTTCTTTCCTTTAACAGACTTGGGAAGATCCAAATCATACAGATAAGATTACAGGATGTTGTGGGGATAATGATCCTATTGATGTTTGTGAAATAGGTTCAAAGGTTTGTTATCTTTATTGAGATTAATTTATTGAGATTATTTTAATATTTTGGTAACTGTTTTTGCAAGAGAGAGGCAGATGGAAAACCGCAAACAAAATGACAAAAGCAGTAATAGAAGATCCATGAGGGAATAGATAAGTAAACATGGATTTTTGAAGAAAAGGTAAGATTTGATAGCAGAATAGAGTGAGGGAGAAAGAGGTAGGATTTGACTCTGGGATAAAGGGAGAAGTAATACATCATTATCCAGAGCTTCTGTAGCTGAAGAGTGAGTTTTGGCTGAGGAAGGAGAGAGCTGTGATTTGGGAGAAGAAAATAGAAAAGTCTGTTTTATTTTTTTCTCCGCTATCTGTTAGCAGTACTAGAATTAAAAGTAGATTTCTGAAAGATAAGGTAATATGACAGCATGATGTGTATAAGATCGCAAAAGCAGACCTACAGAGGATGTAGATTTTAGAATTTTTCTCTTAAGTGCAAATAGAAGTAGACCCTTTTCCCTAGAGGAAGGGACAGTAGTCCCTTACAGAATGTTATGTTGGACTGTAGAGAAAGGAAGAGCAAGGGGAAGATGAAGACCAAGAGTCGAGAGATTTAGAAGATAGGAAGAAGAAATTAGAAAATGAGCGAGAGAAACCTTTGTCTTGCACATTGGGTGAAGATAGAAAAGGTGGGAGGGGAACTAGAGTAGAAAAGATTTTTCTAGTATATGTTTTTCTCCTTTAAATGCTTACCAGAGAATTGAGATTTTAATAGAGTGGTGATAGATGAAAGCAACTCTAGATGATGTTTATTGAGTTCACGGATGTGTTTTGCAGTTCTGCTAACTACTGGTCAAAAAAAGTAATGAAACCATTTTGTCTCTAAAACAAAAGATAAATTCTAAAGTAAAAGAGAAATGTAGCTTTTGCCAATCTGTGAGATTGTGCTCTTTTTCAGGTTCGTTCATCTGGTGAAATTATTCAAGTGAAGGTCCTGGGAGTTTTAGCTCTTATTGATGAAGGAGAGACAGATTGGAAGATAATTGCTATCAGTGTGGATGACCCAGAAGCCCAGAAAATCCATGGCAAGTATCTTTACCTTTCCTAACACAGGTTATGTCAGCAACCTGCACAACGGAATAGCATCTTTAGAACACCCAGGACAAGAAGAGGGAGATGCCAAGAGATGAGCTTATTCTTTTTTCTTTTTTACATTAAGCTTTTGGAAAGGTTCACTTGGATTTTCAAGTGGGCCTGTCAGGCAGAAGGTGTTCTGATTGTTGAAACACAACTGTCTCAAAGTCACTGCTGAYAATTACAATTTATGGGTGTGCATATTTATCCAGTCAGGTGATGTAGCAATGTCCATTTTCCTTATTGAAGATTCCTGTTATTTTTGTAGCATCATCTTGTATTCTGAAATGGACTGCACATTTTCAGTGTTTTGTCACCTTTTAGCTGGGCTATTTGAAGGGATTGTTGCCTAATATGAGTGTTTGCATTTTAGTTTTTAAACTTGCRAATTTGCACAGCAAACTGCTTACGCAGATCACTGTAATACGAGCCTTGTTGCAGCAATGCCATTGCAGTGAGACATATTGTCTTCTGCATGCAGATTGTCCTTTCAGAAGAAAATTTGGACGTGTTAGGCCTGGAAAGAATAAGTTTTTTACAGCACAGAAAAGGTGCAACTGTTTTCCTGGCACAAAACTTGACTTTCTCAAGGATAAATTCAATGGGAATCATGAGAATTAAGTGAGGATTTGTGTAAAATTTAGTGATTGTTATTGGTAAAAAATCTTCTGTAGCCTCARGCTTGTAAGATGAGGACCCATTCTTTGCTGACAGGAGAGCACTCATTTTAATAGCTTCTCCGTAAGAATGGGATTATCCAGTAATTACTGAAGAATTATGCTTCTCATTGTGTATTTTTCCTAGTTTCTGAATGTGTAGCCCTCCCACTCAGTTTTCTCACAGGTTACTCTGAAATGGAAATTACTTGACTTGTGAGGGAAGAAATGAGGAAAAAGAAACTCTTGGGGTGATGCTGATTGAAATCACTGGACAGATGAAAATGCTGTGTAGCGTTTGACACTTTAACTGCTTTGGCAGTTAGAGGTTAAGAAGTTCAGTTTAAGAAAATAATAAGTAATAGTTTGCCCTTAATGCTAGTGTCAAGTTAAACCTCTCCATGATGGTTGTGCAGTAGGTTGTGCTATAAGTGTCAATTAAGGCAAGTAATTAGCACTTTGTTTCTATGTAGTGGTCTGTTCTTTTTATGTCTTACCTTTTCTCTTCAGTAATTTGAGAGACTTTCATTGAGAGAGTTTAAAAAGACTTTCATTGAGAGAGTTTAAAAAGGAACAAGTTAAGTTTGTTTTAAAAAAAGGGGCAAAGTGAAATAGGGGCAAAACTTGGTTACTTTATGCCACTGAGTTAAGTAGCTCCGTTTGAAAGCTCCCTGTTTTTCTCAAACAATAGTTTTTTGGTTGTCAGTGGCTGATTTGTCAGCAATGACAGAGCACGCTCATTTGTCTGGGAATGGTGTAAGAGTTCTTAGAAGTCTTTTAAGAAATGCAAGCCCTTGCCTGTAGTTGATAACATTGTGTATCCTTTCTCATCAGAGAATAGCTGCAAAACTTGGAGAGCTGTTCTGCTGAGATTCAGGGAAGTGGAGAAATATCTCTGATTTAATATAATTTCACCTTGGGATTGGAATTGCAGTTCAGGATTAAAAAAGTGTCCCCCATCTGCTTTCACAAAGCATGCCTGTAGCCTGCAGTGTTTAGCAGCAATCCTTCTTCATTCTGAAAACAYACAAATCTGCTGGAATATTCAGTACAATATGTCCTTTTATATTTGTTTTCTTTCCCCCTTTCCAGAGATGTTAATTATTTCAGCATAAAGGGACAGCAGCTGCAGATAAAACTGATATCTTGCTTAACTGAAATGCTGCTGTGTTACAGTAGCATGCTTCTAGGGAAAGAGGCTAAGTGTTGCCTTCTAAGTCTATGCAGTCATTTCTGTATYTTTCATTAAACATTTCCGATTGGTCTGAGAATCATCACATTTGCTTTCTGCCCAGTGTGTGCGTAGCCCCAGCGAACATTTGGAAAGATAATTCTGAGGCACCAGAGTGATGATTACTTGAAAAGCCCATCCTGAGCCTGCACACCGTATTAATTCCTCTTGCAGCCTTAAGCACACCCAAGGTACTCTGTATATTCTCCTTCTGGGATTGTGATAGTTCTCATAAGTGCAGTTGATTTTTGTGAGACTTCACAGAACTTAAAACGGAGCAGTCCCAAATTCTGAGCAGTTCTCATTGTTGATTCACAGTGCTCCGCAGTTTTATGTCCTGCAGGCACCTATTGATAAATACAGCTTTAAATTGGAAACCCTGCCTCCAACTCTGTCTTTGACACAGAAAAAGGAAAAACTRTGGTTTATGGTTATAATGCTCAGAAAAGGATCAGTGATGCTCAGAATCTTATCGAGTGGGAACTGCATTATCAGTAGCAATAGCAGGGGCTAATGTCGTCCTGGTCTGAGTTCTAGAAAGTAATCTGTTTGAAATTATAGCGCTTAATATTGGTGGATCTCTCTCTCTTTCCCTCTTTCTCCTCCTGTCTAAATAGAAGCTGTACATCAGATGCAGGTGTGTGTATGAGAGATTCTTTTATACTAAAGCTGTCTACTTTCAGATTTATCCATTTGAGTAAGATCTGCCTTTGTAGCTACCTGAAAATTACTGAGTTATCTTTCTGCTTAGGCAGCTGCTAGCCAGATGGCTTTTAGTAGACTAACAGAACAACTTCAGTCCAAGCAGGTCTGGGAAAGGGCCTAAAATCTCCTTGCACTATGAAACACTAAATCTTGGCAGTATATTAGTTCCTGGCCTTCTTTTTAATGTAACATATTGGCCAAAGAAAGAAGCAAATTCTTGGAGTAGAAAAGCTTCCTGTCTGCTTATCTCATAATTTGGACTGAATTAAATAAATTGACATATATATATAATATGCTTTACAAAGAAGCACCAAAAAAATGAACAGTGTCTTTACAGATGTTGTAATTTGGTCCAAGTGTATACAGCATTTTTTACATTGGACAAGAATTTTTGAAAATGACTGGCAATGGAAGTGTGCGTAAAGCAGCTTATGAAAAAGCTGGCTCTCAATCTTCTTACCTTCCCTAAAAATGTTGGGCAAGTGGTGTAGATGGGGCAAAGATGGTATTTCTGGGATGACTTGCTGGCTTGGGAATTAAGCAGCTGTTTTATGCTATTGTTTGCTGGAAAGATATCTGTCTATGATCAACAAAAGTCAGCGGCTTCCACCGGCTTTTGTGCACCATTTCCTAGTGCTGATATAGTTAGCTGTGCTATACTGTCATGCTTTTTTCCCCTATATGCCCGCTCAAGATTGTTTTTTTTTGAGTTATTTGATCACACCCTAAATGGCAAAAATAAAGCATATTGAACACTTTGTGCTSTATATTGTTATATATCCTTACTTGTGAGTGTATTTATATGCAGAGGAGCAGCAGAGTCTCCGAAAACCTTTGTTGTGGATTTGTGTAAACCTTCAATTTGAAGAAATTAATTATCTGTACTAGGGTTCCACTCCTACCCTCTCACACCATGCTATACAAAATACACCAAATGCCTTTATATGGAATGTAGCTGCTGCTTCCTGTAAATGTTTATAGGATGTTATTAAAAACATATGTCCTCTCTTCCCACAGACCTTGTTTAGAAAGCTTGCTGCGAGCATGTTGTTTTAGCTTTCCTTGCAAAAAGCAGCATCTGTTGTACTAAAAATGGTAGTTCAGTACAAATCTTTTTGTCACTCCTTTTTGTAAGGCCTGCTAGAATTGGGAGCCACATTTGCCTTGGCTCACTCTCTTGCCAGAGAGCTAGCACCGGTTTGTGCCAGCCTCAAGAGATTTTCTTTACTGAGTCTAAACTGCAGCCCATAATGTGATAGCCAACTCATCCTGCTTAACTTTGGTGCCCGGAAAGCTTGAATCTCTAGTTGCATGTAGGCAACAGAAAGAAGTTATAGCCTAGAGGCCAGTGGATGCCTTTTGAGGTGTGTTACCTGCAGGAGCCTGACCTTTCTCTTCCCCATCCCAGTATGCAGCGCTTGCTTGCAGAGATAGAATCCCATTAGACCAGGTCTGTGCTTGTGGCTTCCATGTATGCCTAGCCCCCTTTGACATTTGTGTATGTAACTCTAAGACAAGGTAAGAGTGGCAGTCAGGGTCAGAAAACTGTGTCTGCTGTGGAGGAGACACCTGTTTTCTCTTTGTTCATATATTCCTTGGGATATGAGGCTAGCTCTACAGATATTAGTGCATTAAATCAATGTACTGCCTACCATTAACTTTTCTTTTACCTTTCTTTGCTGCTTCTTCTATTCTCTGTGAATCTTTTTCTCTTCCTTCCCTTGATACTCCAAAGCTGTAGTTTGGATTTCAAACCAAGTGGAGGATAGGCTGTCTTTCAAGCTTTTCTATGATGCCTTTTAAGAGGTAGCTTGTGAAGGCTGCTCTTTTTTTTTTTTTTTTTTTTTT